ACGTCTATTAATGTATGTAAAGGTCTTTGATATTAAATGATTTATATTTAAGTCAATTATAGTCAGTCTATTCAGAATATACTTCTATTTGAAATCCCTATGTGAAAGTATGCTTACTATTTCAATTCAATAATTTATCTTTTTGCAAAGTATTTATGATTTTGATTCTAGTAGAAGTGAAGAGTAAAATACATATGTAATGATACTCTACAACAAAATATGGAGTGAATTTCATCATGAAAACACTGCACAAAATCTGCAGTGTTAACCACCGATCTAGTTTTCAAACTAGATTGGTGGTTAGCTGTTGTAGAAAGTTATGCTAAAACATATTTGAATATTCAAATAGCAAATATCTATACAAAATGATTGAATCTTGATAAAGCTTTATCAGTTCTCCTAAAGGTTTCAACAATGAAAGCATGGTAAAACAAACTATGAAATGTATGCTAAACTTTATCCTCAATAGCAATTTCATATAGATGAAAATTGAACAGAGCTACAATGTACAATGATATTTCATCACAACTTCTCCGTGAGGCAATTCCAAATTGATATGAACAAATTTATTGCTCAAAGAGAAAATGAAGTTGCATGACCAGAATATGGCCAATGAGTTATGATAATATCTCTAAAGTATATTAAATCTAAAACCTCTGATATTTTGTAATTATGAACTTCCAACTCCCGATATAGTGTTTTGTTGTGAAAAGCTGTTTTTTACCCTAACTATGTACCAAATTTTTCACCGTAGAAACTGATGTCATCATCTAAAAAACCTTAATAAAATCACTTAAAATCACCTTATTGAAAATAATTCCTAATGTACTGACATACAAGTGGGTTCATGGATAGAATGGGACATAAAGCTATCTATCAAGGCATACATTTTCACTCTTACTTATATTTCAAGTCTTTAGGTTGAATTTTCACTCGCATTAAATAGATGCAACAATCGTGGAATTCAGATAAAGTCCTTTGTGGAGCTAATCATAAAAAATGGATGAAAGTTTTATGTTATTCTAAAATACTCTTCAGCTTATACTACCGTTATATATTGTCGTCTTATACAAAATATCATGTGATTGACTGTATGTGGCTAATACAGTACCCGCTTGCAAAATAGTGCAACTTTGAACACAAAATAATATAATTTTCGCTGTCATCTTCTTCCTTCCTCTAGCACTTACTTCTTCTAATATAACGCAAATATCATGATAGAAGTAAAAGGAGCAATATTCATTATATATAGTCCATTAGATTTTTGGTAACCTAACAAATAATAAGCGAAAATCATGTCTTGCCATGTTTTGCACAAGAGATTTTCTGAGTAATCACAACGCAGTCTAAAATATTCCCAAGATAGATAAAGATTAAACATTGATGTTTTCCACGACCAGATCAATTCTTCTAGGAAAATCAAGAAACATTGATGTTTGCCATTGAAGAGATTTGTCTAAGAAAAGTTTGGATTAACTTTGATTGACGGATAGCTTACAGTTTTTTATATTTTTCCAAGATAACATAACCTTGTAATTTGTAATTTTTTCTAGTTTAACTTGCCATCCAAAATAAAATGATGAAAATAAAACAAAAGAGTATACTTGGTCTTTATTAAGAAATTGGATTGAATTTTGGTGCATCATTGTGTAATAAATTGACTTCATAAACATCGCTAAGTTTCAGAGACAAAGTTTTTTAATTAAGCTGTATAGACAGTATTCATAGTATATCAAGTAAAATATATGAATTTAAAACTTTACGCATATTGTTCAGAATTTGCGTTTGCGCTGAAATGAAGGCCAGAACACTCCCTACGGCTATATACTGCAAAGAGTTATAAACAATATAATTTTGTATTGTTCCGTCATAAACTCATGGGAGTGTGATAGAGCTAGTCATAGTCTTACAAGAAACTTTATCTCTCAGAATATTAAATGATGTCTCATCACAAAACTGTGCATGCTTAACTTGAGATGACTTAATAAAAAAAATAAAATGAAGTTGCTCGTCATAAAAATTTTAGTGGCGCACCATAAAATTCTATTAGACTATCGACCACAATCGAGGCCAATTTAAGGGCTTGCTCCAGCTACGATATATTGAAATAATTTTATATCTCAAATTGCTTCAGTACTAATTTTTGACGTGTGAAATGAAAAATCATTGAAGTGGAAAGAGGTCAAAGGATAGAGAAAAAGTATGGGAGCACTTAACATCATTTTTGAATTGTTTAAAATCTTCAAGATAATGGTAATTATTTTTGGAAACGGCCTATGGGAAGAAGTAAATCAGACCCGTACACGATTGGATACATGTGGCTACAGGAAGGAGATTACATGGTTCGTGGTCCCTACAGTCAGAATCCAGAGATTCCGTGGTTCGACGAGTCGTAGGGCTACAGTAGGTGGGCCTTCCTCCTCGCCTCAGGGACCTGTAAGAGCTACGCAGTTCTCTCGACAAAAAAACAATAGCTACCATGTGGATAATCGACGCCGTGGAGTCGAAGATCATCAGGAGCCGTCAGATCTCATCTACGGCAGCGGTACCGCGGAGAAGCGATCCACTGTTAGAGGATGCATGTGGTTCGAGTTCACCGAATAGCAGAAAGAGGATACATGTGTATCACTGTGGGAGTGCCACGTGCCGAGCTGAATGGCTAACGAGCCAAACCAAACCGAGATGTGTTTTCGATGATTCCCCATGCGATTCGATCCCATTGGGGCGTGACTCCATGTTAGCCTTTTCATTTCATCGTGTATTACTTGATTAATTGATTTTTTTGTCTATAATTCGGTAACTTCTGAGTTTCGAATTTTTTTCTATAATTCTAACATTACAGTAGATGATTTTTTCTTATCGAAGAATTTATGTTTGGGTGTTTTAGATAGAACACTGGCTCTTGAGGTTATTTCATCCCTGCACTGCCATGGTTGGAGCAGTCGTGTCCCCCGAGTCATCAAACATCAAGAGCTGTCCCGAAGTGTGCCAACATGGGACTTGTCCGCAGACGCTAGTCTGCATCCAGTCAACGCTGGAATCTCCTGGCAAATGATTCATGTATCAATGTTGATTTATTGATGGACTAGAATTTTCACAATTTCTACAGTTTTTTTAATATTTCATTTTCAGGCAATTCTTTGAGCCTGACTAACTTTCTGACGAGCAATCTTTTATGAACTTGAACTCACAAAATAATATTATCTGTACGTAGACATGGACTTGATTGTGTTCGAAGATCATTTTAAATACTCTCCTTGATAAATTTTCAGAAAGCAATAAATATCTTCCTGCAACAGCGACTCCAACTGGATGACATGTTTGTGACTGAATGGTTAGAGAGAATATATGAAAAGTTGCATGTCATCCATAAATCTAGGCTCACGCGTAATGAGAAACTCGTGGAGGATATTACAAGCCGCAATAGCGCCTTGAGATTATCCTTTTATATAACCCTCATTGTACAAAAATCCCAACAAAGGACGCGAAACGAAAACACGAGGCATCATTTTACAAGCAGAGCAGACAAAACAGTATTTTCTCTCGCTTATTTTTTTGAAAGAGGAGAAATAATGAACACGCTTTTGAGCTAAGAATCTTTTTCGAGCATCATTGTCAAAGGGTTCAGAGTAACATTAATTTCGAAACTCGGTTAGAATCCTAGGACGTAGAAATGCTCGAAAATAATTGACATAATCCTCGGTCTACAGCCTCGTGAGAAAATAGGGTGGTTCTGACCATACAGTACTTCTCTTGGGTTCATTTTCATGACCCAACTTTCATTATCGTCAGTACTTATTTTATCACAAACTGTGAAAAACCTGTCTTCTGTTACATTTGGGTTTATCCCTACACGATCCCCCAAATGCATTTCAGACGTATCAAACCTTAAGATTATCTTGGTCGTTGTTACCATTCATCGTTTCTAGCTAGAGAGTGTAAGAACGAAATGTAAAGTAGAGATTATATGGACACATTCTCAACCAAGGCCTTTCGCTCACAAGGAGAGAAAGAACGAACCAAGAAGCTTGAATATATGTGTCCCCCCTATTCAAGAAAAGATTAGAAAATAAGTTCGTGATTCTGGACGATTTTTCTCTTGGTTGCCAGTGTAAAACAGAAGCTTATTCTCCTAATGGACTGAACGAGTGCAAGTGGACAATCTTGAGGCGATTCGTCTCCTCTCTCGAGAACCGATATCAGCACAATGTTGCTCAAGATGTTATCACCTTCTCTTGCACGTGAGCAGCACAATGCAGAATCGGTCAAATGTAGAGTAACTGTCACAGTGCTATTGAGTACGAGATACCAAATTTCCAAATTGCCTAATAATGGCTTCGCTCGCTCAAGTTGTTGGGGGAAGGCGCAGAGATCATAACGTCGGACAATGCAGCGAGAGACTTTGAGGCGGAAGACCACCGACGAACGGGGCAATCGAAGGTTGAAAGAGAAGGAACCTAGTCAAGAATGAATGGCTCAGTTCGCATAAATCCAAGCTCGTGAAGGCGAAGGAGACCAAGCGAGCGCAATCTTCCAGCCTAGCGTAAATGAGGCGCAGTACGGCCGAACCTCCAGACAACGCAGACGACGATTCCAATAGAAACCCAGCAAATTCGTCCAGGCCAAATCAAATGCTCGTCATCGAGGAAGAAAGGCTCCGCTCAAATCGCAGACCCCCCGAGAGCTCGCAAATGAAGGAAGCCGGAGAACCTCCATCGCGCCTCATAAATGCCATCATTGTCACAGTATAATCGTCCTCGTGGAAGTGAGGAGAAGGGAAGGGAAGGGAAGGGAAGGTCACATTCTCGACATGCAGAAGGCGATGCGTTGCTGCTATATAAGCAAAGGGTCGGTCCGGTCGGCAACGGGCAGTGGTTGTCTGCGGCGGCCTAGCCGAGCTTAGCTAAGGGCCCCGAGGCCGAGGGTGAGGGAGGGAGGGAGGGAGGGAGGCACGGGCAAAGCACGATTAGCGGATCGCTAAGCAGAGGTTAGCGGGAGGGTGATTAGTTAGAGGAGGAGGCGAGGGGCGCTAATGCGGGATTAAGAAATAGCGGTCCAGAGCAGAAGAGGCAGCCGAGCCGCTGCTGCAGCGCCTCAACGCTCTCTCTCGCCCGCCCTCTGTCTTCCGCTGCGCCTTCTTCTCGGCGCCTCTTTCTGTCGAGAGGAGCGGCAGCTGCAGCTCTCGAGAGAGGGGAGCAGGACGAGAGCGAGGGCGAATCCGCCGAGAGTCGATCGGGATTGGGTAGAAGGAGGAGAAGGAGGAGAAGAGGAGGAGGAGGAGCAGCGATGGAGGCGTACGAGATGGTGGATAGTTTTGTGTCGAAGACGGTTTTCGAAACGCTGCAGAGACTGAGGGGCGGAGTCGTGTTGACGGAATCTGCGATCACCAAAGGTTTGCCATGCGTCGATAGCCCGACGCCGATCGTTCTTGGGTTGTCGTCCTACTTGACATTCGTGTTTCTCGGGCTCATTGTCATCAAGAGCCTGGATCTTAAGCCCCGCTCCAAGGAGCCCGCCATTTTGAACCTGTTTGTGATCTTCCACAACTTCGTCTGCTTCGCACTCAGTCTGTACATGTGCGTGGGAATTGTCCGTCAAGCTATCCTCAACAGGTATCGATCTTCGTCCGTCTCTGCCTCCCCTGCGCGCTTTCCTTCGCTCCACCTCTGGGTCTTCTCGTCGGCCGCAGTCTTAGATTAAGGGCGTCATATAGTTTCGAGATGCACGTGGAAGCAGCTTTCGGAAATCGCAGTGCTGTCAAGAATGTGGGTTTTTAAGGGAAGGGGATTCGATTCACGGAGATGGGGGATTCGGGAACAATGCTTTCCCGTCGGTCTGAAGCTTCGTTTCTTTTGCAGGTACTCTCTGTGGGGCAATGCGTACAATCCCAAAGAAGTTCAAGTGAGTGTTCAACCCGTCGTGCTTCATGACCTCCTAATGCTTGTGATTGATGAGTTCGTTGATGAACTGGGAATCATTACTGGCTCCATCGACATTCCTTCTCTTTTTAATCGTTCATTCTTTTCTGTGGGATTTGGTCTCTGTTTCTGGTCGATCGCCGTGGATGTCTGTAAAGTGGCGAAGAGTGTTCAAATTTCTGCGTGATTGAAACCACGTGTAGGTTTTCAATATGAGATTTGTGTCAGACTCGTGTGATCGCGTTAATTGACGGTCGTATCGCTCTGCGATATCTGTTGAAACAGATGGGCCACCTGCTCTACATTTTCTACATGTCAAAGTACATCGAGTTTATGGACACGGTAAGACACCACTCTGGACTGTTACTTTAAGCCTGCGAGCAGTAATTACGAGTTGTAGATTCTGGTGTACGTGAACTCGTACGAGATGAATGTCGCTGTGTATCGTCTCACGTGTTCTTGTACTGGTCTCAGGTCATTATGATTTTGAAGCGCAACACGCGCCAGATCACTGTGTTGCATGTGTACCACCACGCATCCATCTCCTTCATCTGGTGGATCATCGCCTACCATGCTCCTGGCGGTGAAGGTAAATTTTGATGGAATCCTCGCCTTTGGAGTGTTACATGCTGTGCCAAGCTGCACAATATTCCCTTGGACGCGCCCATCGCAATCATCGGTCTCAGATCGCGCATTCACGTACTCTTGTCTGCTGTCCATTCTTTGCCCTGGGACTGCCTCTTCCTGTCCAGTCAGTCAAGTCTATACTTAAACCTGGTGTGCGGGCAGTTGTTCGGTAGTTGCGGAGTTGGTTTCGGTCTTGCAAACTAAATTTAGCAGTCTGTCCAAGTTTATAATTTGGAGAATACTGAACCATCGTCTTGTCCGTGCTCTCGATGCAGCTTATTTCTCTGCCGCATTGAACTCCGGAGTACATGTGCTCATGTACCTCTACTACCTTTTGGCAGCAACTCTGGGAAAGAACGAGAAAGCTCGCCGCAAGTACCTATGGTGGGGAAAGTGAGTCTCCTAACAACTGCACCCGACAGCTTCTGACGTACATCAGGGTCTTGCTCTGCAATCATTACGTGTTCCAAGCTGAAATTACGATCTCACGTATTTGGGCAGGCCTCTCATAACTGAACACGTATTTTGCAGATACTTGACACAGCTGCAGATGTTCCAGTTTGTCCTTAACATGATTCAGGCTTACTACGATATTAAGAACAACTCGCCTTACCCACAATTTTTGATCCAGGTGAGGCTTCGTTCTTCCCCTCCAAGCATTCGGTGTGATGGGAGGTTTACATTGAGCTTCATCCCATACATAAGTTGAGACTCGTATCTTTAACTCACTTTCCTCTTCCTTTTTGGTTGTGGTTGCAGATTTTGTTCTACTACATGATCTCGCTTTTAGCGCTATTTGGAAACTTTTACGTTCACAAATACGTATCAGCGCCCGCAAAACCTGCGAAGATCAAGAGCAAAAAGGCAGAATAAGACACCACCCTAGTGACAAGAAGATTTTACACTAAACTGTAGTTTTAGCACCCATCGTTGACACGAATACATTCTGGTTCTGCCTGTCTTGGAAGAGTCGAAGCATTCAGGAGCTCTCCCGTTCCATCGATCAAACTCGGAACGAAGTGCACCTTTTAGCTGCGATGAGAGTCTTTACTTCCTGAGCCGTCGTTCTTGATGTGGTCTGTAGCTCAGCCATACGTGTAGCATAGCTGGAACATCTGGCTTTTCAGGAAAGTCGGCAAGGCAAGAATTCGACCCTTGAACTAGACAAGGTTCTGCTGATTCAGCAACCATTAGTGAGTCACTGGTTAACAAAATCACAGTTTTGGGCCCTTAGTTAGTGACAACCAACCCTAACACTTTGATACACGAGTTATCGTTCGCGAGTGGAAGTGTAAAAATGTGCTTTCCCAATCATCTTGAGTTGGTTCCTTTTGAAGTAAAGGAAAATTCTATGATTGTTGAGTCCTTTTCACGCGCGTGTTTTATGTTGCCATTCAGGTGCAGACTCTCTGTTGTCAATGTGAATTTGAGAATTATTGCACAGAGGATAATGGTCAGTGGCGGGATGTAACGTATCCAGAAGAATATACCAACCGTCATCTCGATCTGCCGGTGTAACCAACTCCATAGAAGAACTTACTGTGAACATCTGGACTGTCGGTGGTTTTACGATGATTATTCATAACACGAACCTAGAAGTAATTGCCTGTCCAGAGTGCACAGTGTATGCTATTGTAAGAAGAACGTATAGTCAGAGGTTTCGATATTTTACGCGAAGACAATTTGCTCTGACGTGAAAATATACATCACGAGCGCTTAATTTGGAACTGTTGTCTATGAACATGCAGCAGAGAGACATCTGTGCAGCTGTTACACTGTGAAAAACTGCTGATTTAGACAAGTCGCTGGTAGTTTGGAAGGAGAAACGATGTGGTACGATACTCGACAGCATTTCGGTCTTGACTGTGGGACAACGAAGTCACATTTTGCCAGATGCTACCGTCCATCCTTCTGAGACGTCTTGGACGCGGGGTACGTACTTACTCTGTGCCCGTACCTACAGAAAGGTCCACTGGCATGCAACGAGACTTGTGCAGAAAACGTGAACAGTCCGAGCAAGTACTCTACGAGTCATCATCATATTCCTCGTTGAGAAGCTCATCGCATCCGCTGTTCAGTTGCAACCCCAAAATTTTCATCACGTTTTTCTGCAACTATGAGTGGCCACTGTCAGACCATCCTTGGCCTTCAATCGACCTCGTTTTTCTTTGTGATGATGCTGCATGCCATAATATGCTCTTGCTCCCACTCCCCATGCGCAGACCCTTTTCTCGTTCCACAAGCAGAACAAGTACGAGACGCAGCAACGACGAAAAACACCGAGACACCTTTGCTGTGAAGCCGGTTTATTTTTATATTCAAGTCCAGCGATACGCATCATAACAGGAGTACATGTATGAGTAGACTAGCCCCAACATCGGGAATCTGAGGGAAACACGTTCCATCGAGAATTTCATGCGCCGTACGTACACGGACGGACGGACGGACGGACGTTGATTCGTTCGTAGGTGCAGAGAGGGGGATAGTTTACAGTTGAGCAACAAGCATGCGGAGTGCAGCGACACAGGTTCGAATAGATTCGGCCTGTGGAGCGAACGTCCGGACGGACCCACCGAATATATATATATATATATACACACAGGGTGCCGCTCCCACCAGCCGCGGGACAGTCTGACCGCTGTCTGACAGGGATTTGGAGCTACGCAGTTGGTTGCCAGTGCCCGTGCCAGTGCCATGACTGTGCTCCGCGCTCCCACCAGCACACGGGATGCGACGATCTGCGCAGACCGAGTGAGGCCAGTCTGGAGAATCTCGGCATGAACTCGAGCACCACGACGAGGACGGGGACGACAGTCTTGGCTACGTTGGAGTTACTCTACTGTAAAGCAGACGGGGAAATCAGAGTCAGTGCAAAGCAGGTGAGAATGAGAGAGAGAGAGAGAGATATGGAGGGGGGACGACGAGAAAGAAAAGTCAGTGAGAAAATATAAGACGGGACAGATTTGCTTGCGTTCACCTACCCCTGCAATAATCACGATTACGGTAACTCCAGGAGCCGAGTCGAGCCTTCTCTGGAGCCGCTGAAAGCGAGCACTGTGGAGTGCGGTGCAGTGCAGTTCAGTGCAGTTGGCGGCTGCTGTTCGAGGAACACAAGAAGTACAAGAGCCTTGCCTTGCCAGGTATCCCGTTCAGATAACTCGTGCAGATTAATCGTGTCCAAGGGTCGGCCCGCTGGCGTCACCTGCCTCGCGTGGCCCCTGGCCCTCTCTCCCCTTTGCTACAGCAGGACCTCGTTCTGCCTAAGAAGACGATGTTGTACCATGTCATGAAAAGGTGATGGCTAGACTGAATTGCTCACTTCCCTCTTTCCGAGGCAAGCAAATCAGGCCCTAAGATCTGATCGAGTGCATTAGTCGCTCGAGGGACGAGTGCAAAGCCAGCTGCTCTCCCGCCCGCCCTCCCTCCCTCCCTCCCTCCCTACCTCCCACCTGTGCCAATATGAAACCTGCATCACGAGGCCTCTGTTAGTTCGCAAACCATAGAAGTCTGCCCACCACGTTCTGGTATCGAAGCAACCTGAAGAGTGTTGCTTCTGGGCAGCCAGATCCTGCCGATCACGACATGACGCCATGACTATCGGCGATTACCACTCCAAATATTGCCGTCTGCTCTAATGTCTCGGATCTAGTTATGTCGATGGCAAAAGCGACTTGTCGTACAGATAGAGAGACTTTGAAGACATCTACAACTCATCGTGAAAAGCATCGGCATATTTCGAGCAGATTCCCCACCCACATTTGCGCTTAATCATGCATCCACATACACGGAACAATTCGATTCGAATTTGAAAGTGTCGAACTTTGCGCGACAGAGGATGGTACAATGCGGGGCTGTCTACGGCCCACAGCGGCAATTCATAAGGTACATCTACGCGACCTAGTCATAAAGCTTACTGCCCTGACGTACAATACCAATTTTTGGCAATTTTCAAAGTCATGGTAGCGTTGGACTCTCCCTCCACCGAAGCAAGAAGTGAAGCTTACCTTCTGTCCGAGTGCACCTCATGCGATTATGCATCAAGAGCAGCGCACTTGCGGGGGAGGGGGCATGAGATCACGAAGGTCTCTGCTTGGGATCTGACAATTTGACAAGCTTGCACTCGACAGCAAAAGCAAGCTCTCGAAAGAAAGGACATTTCATCTGTACTGTATACGATGCTGTAAAAAAAAGCCTGAAGCCTAGAGCTCCTCGCGACATTTCTCCAGTGCACAATGAGCCTCCCCGCAGCTTTCCCGTCTTCAATTCGGAGCGCACAGATGTGCAATCCGGTAGATGCGGCGGTGAGTACCGAGCCAAAAGTGCAGAACTCGCGGGTCCATCCATCCCGTCGTGGAGCCGCTCGTCCGAAGCCTCAATCCCACAGACCGGTCGGTAGGTGCACCGAACTCTCGTTCTCTCGAGGTTATTCTCAGCGAAAAGTCTTGTGCCAATACGGGCTCGAGTGTCGACTATGTGAGCTTGCTCTTCGATGGCCTCCTTTTGACGACCGACAGAGCGGAATCCAACACGCCCACGTACTGCTCCACTGCCTCCGAGGCCCTCTGCGCATTTCCGTTTCTTTCCTCGGGGGCCATCTCGCCGCTCTTCTCGTCCACGGGCGCGACGATGCCCGTGCCGAAGGTGCCATTCTTGCCGCTCTTCCGCAGTCTCAAGGCCTTGGTCCAGGCGATCACTCGGTCCAGCACGTCGACGCATTTGGAGACCTCGGCGCTCGACTGGTCCTCCAAATTGTAGTAAGGCTCGTCCCACTCGCCGCTGTTCAGATGGGTGGCATTGAAGGACTCGCACGAGGCGCCAGTCTGCCTCGAGAGCGCGGCATTCTCAGCGGCCGCAGATTCCTTCTGCCTCTCGGACGACTTCCACTCGGGAAGCGTCGGCATGGGAGGAGCGGAGCCTCCGAGCGAGAATTCGCCGGCCTGATCGACCTCCGAGGCCGACAGAGTGGTGATTCCCACGGTGAACGACGGGCCGACCAGGCTTAAACTCGGCCTCCGCCTGTTGCTGAGAACCGACGTCAATTCCCTCGATCGATTCGACGGGGACGCTCTGAGCCGAGGCGTCCCGGGATTGCTTCCTCGCTGAGACTGCCCTCCTGCAGCAGCGGAGGCAGAGGAGTCGTCGACGAGGTCGGGACTGCCGAGAGCGTCGTCGTCCGCAATGCCGTGCTCGTCGTCGTCGTCGGCGGGCGGCGCGCGGGAGAGGATGAGAGCTCGCGCGCGCCGGATGGCCTCCGCCGTTTCGTACTCCATTCTGCGCACGTCCTCCATCGTGAGGCCGAACCACTCGTCGAGCCAGCAGAAGCACTTGCGGTGGCCCTCGAGCAGGATCTTGCGCTGCGCGTTCTTCGAGATGAACTTCTCGATCCTGGACCCGAACCCCCAGTACGGCACGTCCACCGTCACGCACTTGTAGGCGCACATCACCGGCTCGCAATTCTGCTGCCAGCCCTCGCGCAGCGGGCCCCTGCCGGTCTTCCTCGACGCGAACAGCGTCGGGTCCTCCTCCTCGACGTAACGCTCGGGCTGGTCCATGGCGATGTCGATGTACTCGACCTGCCGCTTCTTCAACGTCTTGGGATCCAGGTTCAGCGCGTTGCTGCTCGTGCCGCGGTCCGCAACGTGCGTCGAATCGAGGATGAGCTTGAACTTGTTGAGGAACGGGCACTTGAGGATCGTGGTGCAGTGCGGGTACGCGTTCCATGCCTCTTCCTCGAGGATCAGCGCCTTCTTCGGCAGCAGGCTCACGAGCCAGCTCGGCAGCTTGCTGGCCAGGTGGTAGACCTTGTGCGTGTACTGCCCGCGTCGATCCTTCTCCACGAACGGTTCGTTCTTCAGAATCTCCACCCCGTCGCCGTTGTCGCCCGTCGACTCGCTCGCGCTGTACTTGGCCACCATGTACAGCTGCGCGATTTCATACTCCTCGATGGTGAACGGCAGCGGGATGCGGTACTCGTAGATTGCGACCATCGTGCGCGTGCCGGTGTGATCGCCTAATCTTGTCTCTCGGGGTCGTCGACGACACGCGGCTTCGGAAGACTACGACGAAATCATGCCCCGCGACGCCTCATGAATCGCACCATCCCGCTCGGATGATCGTGGCCGAGCCCAATGTCCAGTCGCGTAGAGACAACCTCCTCCTCCTCCTCTTCCTCTTCCTCTTCCTCGTTCGACGAAGACGATGCCGATGACGACTCTACCTCTCGACACGCCCCTCCTCTGCTTCACACTCGTCCGCATTTCCCTTCCGAGGTTTGCTATTCGCGCCCGCATTTCTCAAGTTCTGGCTCCCCCCGCTCTCTCGAAGCTCCGTGAACGCGAGCGCCTTCGACATCATCGTCGGATAACTCATTCGCTCCGCTCCTGACGCTGCGGTCGCGATCGGAACTTCTTTCCGCGAGCAGAGCAAGAGCGCATTTTCCAGAGCCAGAGGGAATGTGCGTGGCCGGCTTCTACGTGCTCCGCGAGTGAGTCACTCTTCCGCGCAAACGCAAGCGCAAGAGCAAGAGCCCCAGAAACCGGCACCGAGCATCATTGCGCGCAACATCTCGAATTGCTCTCAGGCCTCGGCAGAAACAGAGGCGCCAGAACACCAGAACACAGCGTCGGCTCTCGGCACTCGCACTCGCACTCGGACCAGTTCAGCTCGACGCGCAGCCGAACGGGACGCGCTCGCATTCTACGATGATGCTGGAGCCGGGGCAGAGCTCCTCCTGCGCACGACCACCTCATCGCTTTCAACATCATCTGCCCTCCTCATCCTCTCGGAGCGCCAAGACCAGCTCTACAGGAGCCGCAAAAGTCTAGTCAACTCCCCCCCCGCCCCCCTCCCTACCTCCCCCTTCCCCCCTCCTTCCCCGGTGCCAGCAGAAGCGGACGATGAGAGTGCCATCCCGGCGCCGATCGCAACTGTCAGACGTGTAATTTGCGCAGGATCTTCCTCGCCAATCACATCTCCAATCGCCTCGCTAAACCTCTCGCTCTCTCCTTCAGGCAGGCAGGCAGGCAGGCAGGCAGTCGAGCCTGGCCGGGCCGGGACGGGGACGAAGGTGGGGAGGAACACGACGGGGAGAAGGGAACGTTGCTGGTCCAACAAGAAAGCCGAGAAGGGGCCTGTGTGATGATGATAATGCCGCGATTTCGGCAGCTTCCTCGTCCCGGCGAAGCTCGCTGCGCCCTTCGGCCACAAGCTCAATGCTCCGCGTTCCGTCGACGGCATAAATGCGGACGACGATCTCGAAAGGCAGCGACGAGATCCGCCCCCGCCCTCGCCCCCGCCCCCCGGGCACATACGGACGTCGGGGCTCGCAGTACTGTACTGCACTCCCCGAGTCCCCGCGGGCTCCACGGCGGCATACTGTACGGAGAAGGAGAGGAGTACGCGCCGTCTCGATCCCCTCTCTGATTGTTTTGCCTTCGCGGCCGACGAGGAGGAGGAGGAGGAGGCCTTCGACGGATTCGAGATTGGGATTTGCGATATGCTCGGAGAGATCGCGCCTTTGATTCCCGGCGTCGCCCTTCGCTCGTCCTCTCCGTCGAACCGTGAGCTCCGGATTCCGCGACGAATGTGCGCTTGTCGGGTTCTCCACCGGTTTTGCGCGTCTGGTAGTTCCGGTCAGCACCGTCGAGGAAGCAGATCCGGATTCTATCTGCGTTGTTGCGGTCGCGCACCGTCGTCACCTCGTCGATGCCGCCGTCGATCGTACGCCGTCTTTCGCCTCGTGAGGGCGACGGTATTTCCGGCAGACAGCCGCCGATCGGTTGATGCGTCAACGACTTGAGAGCCCCGAGTTTGCCGCCATGCGAGGCTTGCGACTAACGGACTGACGGACTGACGGAGGGACTGACTGACTGACGGCTGGGGCAGACGTCGTCTCGGAGAATAATGTAGAGGGAATGGAATACACGTCTCTTCTTTCATGTGTCTTCCGAACGTATTTTCTGCGAATATAAAAATGAAAGGTTCATGATTTCGAATGATCTCTGTCGTATGAAGCAGCCTTTGATCGCGCTTTTGACGGATGAATGTTGAGTGATACTATTATTTCTGTTGAATGATTGGGCACATATTCCTCGATTGGGCTCGAGCGTTTGTTGAGATTCCCTTATGATGACCGTGAAATACCTTTCCCTTTCCCCTCTCGATTGCAGCATTTGTCTTCAATTTTAATACCTTGGGATGTTTATAAAGACAATAAAGGGACGATCGGAGGGTTGGTAGTTGAATGCAAACGCAAACCTTGCTTGTTCTCTCCCGACTTCTTCACGGTGAGTGACGTTCGAAACTACAGAGAAAAATTTTATATAAATTATATTACAATATACATATTAAGGTAAAGAACGAAGGATCTGATCGCATCACTTTTTCCACTCAGCTGGAAAAATGACACGACCCAAGTCAAATGGAAGCCTCGATAAACGCGTGAATTGTTTCAAGTGGAAGATTTCCTCGGACCGGGCAAGATTCTGAGTGTCATTTCCGGCTTTCCGTAAAGTTTCTTGTTTCAAGACGCGTCTCCCTCCATCTCCGAAGACTGCACAGCCGCATCACTTGCGTCAAAACTCACCAGACGCAAATATGCAAGAACACGGCAAATCGACGCAGTAAGCAGAAGCGGCGGGCATGAAGACGCAACTGTAACTCTCCCGGTCGAGACTTAAGGTCCAACTCCCGACACAGAGGAAGCCTCTGTCCATGTCGGCCTGTAGGTGAAATTCATGGTGCTCACAGTTAACGGATAACGCTTAGGCAGACAAAGTCAATCATCATCGTCGTCGTGCCCCAAAGTTGACGAGAGCTCTTTCCACGAAGCGAGTTCTGTAATAAGCTGCCAAACTATCTCCCTGGATTCAAAACTTGGATCTTATAAAATTAGAGGTCAAATATATAAATTCCTGCGTCTTGGCCCTGAAGTTCTGGTGGACGTAACTGTACTGTTTTTGGCCATATCTGCTACGCTCATGGCCGGTCTCGAATAATTACGTGTTTCCATTAATGCAGTTGACAACTTAAGCTCTTCAAGTTGTCGCTAATTGACCTCAGCGTGCCCGCTTTTGTCCGCATACCGTTGGATTCTAGAAAGTCTCGGTCCCGTATCGCTTTGACTTCCGGATATAATGATATGATACCGGATTATATTTGGGGCAGAAGTATAATTTGCGTGTAATCATCTCCGTCTTGATGTCTGTTCTTCGTATCGTGGATCAAAGTCGGAGTATGGAACGGGGGGGAGATATTATTCGGAAGCTCGGCTACCGCTGCTTTCGCTGGAGTTGTGCCCGAGGATTTGACCTCCCTTCCTCTCTCCTCCCCTTCCCCTTCCCCTGCCCTCCCCCGCGTCATACCCGCAGCAGAAAGAGGAATCAAATGGCGTCGAGGGAAAGTGTGTTCCAGCATATATCATTCAGTATGTCCTTGGTTGTTCCAGAGATCCATTTCGCCCATCTCTCTTTCCCTTTTGAATACTTTTGCTGATGAATCATTTAAAGCTTCGAGTTCTTTCCAGAATATTGGAGGAATGCAGGTTGGTGATACAGAATCTTGAGCCATGGCATGAGTAACTTATGCTGATGTTTGCTATTATGCAACAATGTGCACTGGACATCAGCCTGACAGAAACTAGAGCAAAGTTAATGGTTTTATTTTTCTTCCCCGCTCTTTTTATCTTTTTATCGGTATTTATAGGGGCTTCATTCTACATAGTGTGCTTTGAAAGATGTACAACAAGACAGAAAATATTCCACGCCTGCAAGAGGCCATCAGGTCCAGAATGCGAGACAGAAGCTCAGAGTTTAACGAGCCACATTGAGCCCATGGGAGCATTTAGTTGCATTCCTTTTTATAGAAACCAAGACCTTTGGATTTCGATTTTTTGAATGTCTTTCCACCTGAGATGCTCGCGAAACAAAGATATTACGATGTTCACTACGAATGCAAGAGATGATCCTGTCACTTTAAGTCTTCATTCATGCCCCATGTGCCGGCCTGTTCAGTGCAGGCGATCCTATGCGAAGGCGCCTAAACTACCTAAACTAGATTACGGGGGTGCGCCTACTTATTCTACCCTTCATTTACGCAGACATCTTTACTCTACAATTACAAGGTACCTGCATCTGCTGGAGACACTGGATATGCTAGACACAAAATCATATACCTTAAGTTTCAATCAAAACTTTTAGAAAAACTTGGGTCAAATCAAATGCCACCAAAAGGTTTCTGTAGATTTACTACTGCAGTGTTAGAGTGGATGTGATGAGTTGCCTGGTTGGTTATTGAGAGTAGTGGGAAGTTCTCTGTAGCTTCTAAGCGTGCATATGACTTCCCTTTGAGTATGAAACATGCCGATAGAGTTGTGCAGGTGAGTCCTTGATTGTAACTAAGTTTACGCATTAAGAACTTCCAGGGAACCAAAACTGTTCCTCGAGGATTATTGCGAAGATTCAAGGACATGTCCTAAGGTGCACCCTGAGGATTATTGCGAAGATTCAAGGACATGTCCTAAGGTGCACCCTGAGCCAGCGGGTTTAGAAAACAAGGGTGCTGGATTTTATGGAGATAAACTGAACGGTTCAGTGATATATAAGGTTTCTTCGGATGGCAAATTAGAGTTCCTTCGTAGAGGTGGATTGCTGATAATCACAGACATCATATTGGGCTACTGTCAGTTCCGGATAACAGCATTGTGATATTGAACAGGAGGGAAATCCAGAGAAGGATTTCAAAACAGGATGATTGAAAACCTGAATAAACGCCAAGTAGGTCTGTTGCCCATGAAATGAACATTTTATGCACTCTAAGTGCTTAAGAAAATTCACATATGCCCACCGCCTAACCTAAGCCTAAATGAAAGTCTCCTCGTGCGACTAAATTAAGCTAATTTAGGCGCCCGACCCAGCTGTCAACACTTTATAAGCTGGAGAAAATGTGGTTACTTCAGCCGAAAGCAAGCACGGGCTTTCACAATATCGGGGCACATCATAATCAAGATCAAGAAGAATTCCCAGTTGTACCCAACTGACATACCTTCGGCTCTCGAGATAATTAAAGGAAAAGGTCACTTTAGTTCTACGATTACTTCGGGATCCTTAGCTCGTGTAGATACGTGACACTCGATTCCCAGAGTGAGTAAAATAATATTATCAGACAACAAAGAAATATTTGGAAAAGATGGTACTTTCGGAGAGTGTGTTACGAGATCAGCGACGTCGTCAAAGTGGCGGCCAGCGGCACGTCCCAAGCCTTCGTCCCTCACCTTTCAGCATTCGAAGTACAGTACACGTACAATACTGTATACGTACGCTTGCCGAGGGGAGAGTCCTCGAAGCCACTTGGAGCGACAAACTCGCCGGATCGCGAATGGGCTCCGCGATGGTCGCCAAATCCTGCCGCGCGGGGCCCACCTCCTGCGAGGGGCTGGCGTCGTCGCGTCGTGCGCGCGGTTGGTCGTCTGTGAGCTCCCCGGACTCCGGTACAGCTCCTCATTGATCCGGAGCTGGCCCGGAAGTCTTCTCACACGGCTTAGGCTCCGGGCCCAGGTTAGTCCCGGTAATCCCACCATGATTATGATAATGAGGTCATAATTAGACGCAAATGCCCCGTAATGCGTCTTTCGAGTCGGCCAGGAGACCTGTCAACCGTATGTCACGTCCGTACGGGAGCCGGACAGAACCTCAGAGCGCATTATTTTCCTCGCTCCGGTGGTGAGCTCGGTCGGCACCATCTTGGAAAGGCAGCTCAGTCTGCAGTACGAATATCCGTCAGAGCGGTCTAAATCCATCCGGCCGCAAATGATGACGCCCCATAAAAAATTCGTTTTTCCTCTCTGATGAGAACTCTCGGCGCCTGATAATTCAGCTCACCAATATCTCCCGTCTCGCGGGCTCACTCGTGACGCATATCTCCCTCCGTCCGTCAGATTCCCTGCCAAAGTTGGCGGAAGCTGCAGTTAATGAGGTTTGTCTGTAGCGCGGTTAGTTTTCCCACCTCTGACCTGAGACACCTGACCGCGCCTGACATGCGGTCACCTCAGAAGCTCACCAGCCCAATGGCGTCGCAAGCTCTTGCACGCTATGGCCACCGTCTTCTGCGCGGATCGTAGCAAGTTCGAGAAATCAGGAAGCTCTCGAATTGGGGGTGTTTCGGAATTTCCTCTCGTATTTTGCCTGCCAGATTGCCGCAGGATCGTCGGCCAACCTACATCGGATGCCATACTCCTCGCAGGGAAGATGATGTCGTCTTTCTTCTGCTTCTTCTCCTTTTTTTGGGGACCTAATTTAGTGGTGTAGTTTTGCTGTGAGAACTCTTGTGATCATTCGTGTTTCTTGAGGGGTCCAGGATCTGGAGTGCAGGAGTTGATGTGTGGGAGAACCTGTGCGAAGATCAGGGCTCAGGAGAGGGGTATGTACAACTCACAGGTTGCCGATGCTGATGTGTTCTTGGATGCTTGGATGCTTGGAGACTTCACAATAGTGATGGTGTCTCGTCCCTGGAAATTGACCAGCTTGCGCTGGTCAATTTGGTGGGTTTCAGAGTGCAGCTCCGCATTTTGCTGAGAGATTCAAAAGAATATAGATATGAGTTGGAAGCGTTAAATGGTGTTGCAAGTGCGCACAACACGGAAAAGGTTAAGACCCCGCCAGGCAATGTGAACTCCGAAAATATTGTTCACTCTCATGGAATTGACCGCTCATTAAGAACAACAATTGTATATTATCAAAACATGATATGACCTCTCCTAGCTCCCCGAAAGTCGGAGCACACCGCAATGCAGTGGATTGTACGCACAAGCCGCAATTAATGAGGAGCTGCTTTTGGATGAGAACAGGAGGACTTGAAGACTGAAGGAGGGCCAAGTGGATGGCAAAGACGACGGAAGACCCCGTGACTCGAAGTTTTCATTGGGCTTGTGCGAGATCCTGCAGATGAGACTCGGAGGAATGTAGTTAGAATGTGTCGCGGAGGTCGGAGAAAATCTTCCACCATCATCTGGGACGAAAGGTGGGTCACGAACCAGCTCTTTTCACCAGGCCATTTTACAAGTTCTCTCTTTTTTCCGACTTATGCTTTGTATCATTCTACCCAGCGGTTTGTCTGAATGAAGGATTACTATAGATGATTTTGACTCACTTTTTTATTCCAAAGCGATCACGCCACATGAGACATGTATTTCGCTTTTCAAAAGATTTGAGGTTTTTCCAAATTCGTTTGGAAAGAACGTGATCTGGCCTGGAAACACGAAAGAAGAATATTTGGATCTCATATGCAGATACTAGAAGGTGAGATTGTTCACAATCGAAATGCGACAAGTTTGGTTGAATTCGAGTATTATCGACTGCGGCTAATTACAAGTATCATGGATCTCACGTCTTGTTTATTTCTTCAGTGGCGCTTCCCGGTTTCGCCGGCCATCCCTTGAACCCTGGGCGACATTCCATGATAAATATCATCTCGTCTTTTTTGCCAAGCCCATGCATTTTCTATATTCCCTGTCTTCAATGGTTCACTAGCTTACCATGTTAACCACATGACAATGACTCATAGGGTTATCTTACACCAAATATCTCTAGATGATGGAACATCCTTCCTCATTAATCTCTAGTGAGTGAATGAATGAGAGAGAGAGAGAGAGAGAGAGAGAAAGAGAAAGAAAGAAAAAGAGAATAAAAATATCCGTGGAATTTCTTTGCATAAAAATATCTTGCATCATTGAGTTGCATGAGGATTTCGTAGTAACTTTGTTTTAACAAAATAAAAAATAGCCCATAAAAATATCATTGGATAATGAGAGCTTGAACTACCTCTCTCGTGGTCGTAGCAAACACCGAATATTTCCAGGTTCTGAATTATTCATGGCAAGTGTCTGTCCTAAATTGTGAAAAGGCCTCGCGATTATACACATGACTTTCACATATTGCTTTCAGTCAATCATGAAATCAAAAGCAGAAAGATCATAACAAGTAAAATATCAAGCCAATCAATCTCCAACCTCATCTGTTCTTTGAGTGGGGCCATGAAGAACACATGATTCTTCCAGTTATCAAAACGGTAGCGGTAAGTTTCTCTTCCTGATAGAAATGAAACTTACGTTGTGTTTTACATGCTCACCTTTGAACTCGTGCAGTTTTGACCGAGTACAGTTTTCAGCAGATGTTGCAAGTTGTCAAATCCTCAACAAGCGTGACAACCAAAAAGGAAATGCCAAAGTAGAGGAGACAAAGATCTCGTCCAAGTTCAACGTCATTTAGCTGTCAAATGCAGAGGACAAAGGGTGGACTACATGATAGCTTGCTGGAAAAGTACCCACTATACCTTGTCTCCAATGATCAGTTAAAAACTATACATCGAACAGCTTGTCCCGTTGACATTTTTTCATTAAAAGTATGCATTCTGTATGTTTCTTTTGTTGTTGGCCTCAGTAGGAGTTGAGAAAAATTACCTGAGATTCTCACTTTATTCTTGTAAAGTCCAAAGTACTCTACCTTGACAAACTCTCAACATTGTAGCATTCACTGGACCTACGAGAGTAGATTTGCTAGACGTCCTATATGACTCACCAGGTTGAGAATGAAAATATTCTAGGGCCTAAGGATGTATCCGATGGAATGAAGAGAAAACTTCAAGATTGCTCAAGAGAGCGAAGGTCACCAAAGCGGTCAAGTTACAGTGTCTGATTGCAAGAAAAGTACAAGTAACGCTAAGACCAGAAGAACGATAATCAATCACTAATGGCAATATTAATTTAGAGATCAGCAAACTCAACCATCATCAAACCTTCTGCAGTATTAACAGAGATGAGGACATGCCCACTATTGAACCTCGAAGATTTTATAATACGCCCCTGATTGATGGGGTGCATTACTCTGGATAATTAGTTAGATAGATCATACAGACAGATGGCCCTGTACCGCGATGACAAAGCGTATCCCTGAGCACATGTATGTTGTAAGCTTACTAACTCCTTTGTTCCTAAGAAGCACAACGCTTGTGTTCATAAAGTGAAGGATTTTCCGTAATAGAGATTGGAACGGATTTTCTGGAAGTCGCTCTCGCGCAGTCAAACGACGGCAACCACAGAATCATGCGACTGACAGATATTCTTCTATGAGATGCTGAGGCGAGACACATACTGCTCTGGTTCGAAGAATGTAAACCTCTCGATTCCTGTTGAATAGTATACTTCTATTCCTCTTGATATCTATATACTCCTGTAGGTAACTTTTAAAGGATCCTGTAGTCAGTCGAGGTAAATCACCTGCACCGTCTGTGGTGTCGCTGCACAATTTGCATGAAAATTTACTAACCCGTGTCTCCTTGTCTTTCATGATAGAGCTGGAATGAATTCCTGTTATGATGAAAGAACCCGAAATCTCAAGATGCTGACCGTCTTCTGTGCTCTCTTCCTGAAAGAGTGATGATGCTGATGCAAGCAAATGTCATACTTTTTATGCAACTCAGTCTCAACAATGTTATTTCCTTGTATAAGAAAGTCAACGGCCACTTTGCTACAAGGCTCACGGGAGATGGAAAAAGGACACCGTGAAGTTCAGATATCATGTTGAAATTTCAGTCCAATCCAATGCCGGGGTCTGGCAGCCACGGAAGTTGTGCGAGACACCATACTGGGAGTTGGACTTCCACCGGGAGAATGGCCTTGAGGACCACGCCCCTAGCATCTACCGCGGCTGTGCAGCGAACGAGGCATGGGGTGACGTTTACGTTATTTTGAGGGAAACGCCCGAAGTATCTACCAAACGTGTGTTGGGCATGCAACTCTGGGTGCGAGGTCTCGTTAATAGTAAATGATATCAGAGCCTGAAGTTAATCACTTGGATTGATTCCTCCCTCGTTTTATGACATGAAGAGGTAGAGCACTTGTGGGGTGTTTTGCATCGAGAGCTGCAATCCGGGAAGCTAGCCTTGGAAGCAGAGCCCCCTTGTTCTAATCGAGACACGACTTTGTGAGGTGAATACTTGTTTTCCTTCTTCACATTTGTTTTGGACTGAAATGAACGTCGGTTACTTCGGCTGTGGGCTACTTGGGATTACCATTGTACTGTGGGTTAAAAAGGGGTGTGATATAATTAAGCGCAGATCCTATTTTTGCTGCTGGGGCTCGTGTACAGTTGGTAGGGCAGGACGTTCAGGTAGCACAGGGAGTAGTGGGTAGAGGTCACGAGGGCAGGAGCTCTGTATGGGCACACTGAACTGAACGACTACGGTAGACCTGTGCAATCCAGCACATGAAGAGAGTTGCTTGAGGTCAGGTCGTTGAATTCCTTTATCGATTGACGCCTTTCTGAGATGCTACCCAGAGCTAGCAGGCCGTGCAAGATATGACATGGAGGTGGGTATTGGAGCGCCGTATTGGAGGTCCTTGGAAGAAAATGCTCTCTTGAAGGTACTAGACCGTCGCAGGTGGATACTTGCAGATTCCAGTTTCGCTGAGAAGATTCCTCGGACGACCAGCACAGCAACTTGAGCTACCAGTCTAGCCGCTCTGCAGCAGGGTTCAGCTTTGGTAGGTATTACTGTAAGTCGTCTAGGTAAGTGCCCATTCAAGCGATAATACGGGTGTCGGAGATAAGGTGATGACTTGAGGGAGGAAGGCAAGTTGATGTGAGCTTTCCTTGCGTGTGGCAAAACAGTGGCGTGGACATCATGGAGCTTAAACTCCACGGACACAAACACCTGATGAGCAACCACAGTAGTGCATTACAATTGCCGTACAGGACATTGTGGATCAGAGGTCAGCACAACACATTGTGCATCACCTACTTGACACCTCCCGTGCGCGAGACTCGGCTTTGTAGGCGCTTAATGTCCATCGGGGCGTTGCATAACGGACTACAGTTGACACTTTGGACATTCTTTTGGCCCGATTAGACTACTTCAGCCGCAGAATTCAACTGCATTAGATGACGCTCCATGCTCACGCGTCATGGCGGATCTAAACCATGCACTGAGACAGATAGGCCGCAGAAGAACCTTCAGATCCTTTTTGAGAAAAGCTTCTTGTCCGCCTTTGGTTAGACAACTCAGATCGAGAGTCCAGCACAGAAGAGTGATTGATTAAACTCCTTCAAAGTTTTTCTGTCATCTTTCCTTCCTCAGTTGGTGCTTTCGGAACTGCTGGCGCTCTCGTTGCTCGCGGGTCAGTTTATATATCGCTGACTCCGGTCAAGCAATCAGCCCTTCTCGCTCCCAAGACCAATGAGAGTAATGTGCGCTGGAAATAGTTCTTCGAGGTGATAGTCAGGTACTAGTGCTGGTGCTAGTTCAGGTCATCAGAATCACGTCCTTTGGCAGTATTTTAGAGGCACCTTTGGTCTACACCTAGGGCTAGAAACGACCCAGGAGTTTTCATGATGAATTCGTTTTCATGATGAATTCGCCTCGTAGTATCAGGTATCATTTGAGAACTTCTCGCTATCTTTGCAGTTGCTGTGGAGGCAAATGAGCTGGACGTGCCGGCAAATCGAGGCAGTTGTGTACATGTCACGATGAAACCCATTTGAATATTCTGAATGTTTTTGAGGACAGCCGCATTGTATCGAGCGAAACAACCGAAAGCCGAAGGGTAGAAACAGCAGAAGGATCAGAGTCGCAAGAATATGGGATGTCTTGTGGTAGGCACATGTTCGTGCAGCAGGGACACAGAGCAACATCCTCATAAACAAATCCCCATGAACCTAACTCTGGGGTCTTTAGAAACTTCAGTCAAACAAGACGCTACGGTGAATCACGAAGCTTCCGAAAAATCGAGAGGCGTTCCTTTTTGAGACTGTCAAAACCTCATCGGGGTTCAGGGTTTAGTATACATATTGTTAAGTGACTTGTAAACTTGGAAACTTTATGAGTATGTACTCTTCAGTATCCATATGGTAGAACTTCTTGCAGCATGATAAACATCATCGTTCAGTTTCCTCGCGGCCAGAACCTTTCACACTTGGTTCTACAAGAGTTTGGACATGATCAGATCTTTGGCCGGCGATAGTAACACCGCTGCGATAGACTTCCAGCTATAAAGTTTATGCCCGTTAAACCCTTCCACACACAATCTTGAGGAACTTATGATATACAAAAGATGGGAAGGGTGGGTCTCGCCTCGATATAAAAATACCACGGGGGAAGGCTAGGGCTCCTCTCAACTTGGAGTGGTGCTGATGATCTTCATCTGCTCGCCACCGTCTTCATAAGTCTTCATCAGTTAATCAAGATGCACCGAGCAGGAGATCCTTCTGCCTTCAAGAGTCGTAATGGGAGGCAGTAGAGCATTGACAGGCCGACATCAACGTTTTCAAGGTTGAGTCCTTCCACAAGAACCAATTTCTGTTACAGAAACCAGACGGCCATCAGCTCCCTAAATCGGTTAGATTGTTATATAAAAGAGGTGAAATGTGCAATCATGAACATGATAAGGCTAAAACACAATTTGTAGTCTCATTATCCATATTTGTGTATTTAGACCCACTGACAGGTAGCGAAGCTTCATCCGTTGTTTGTCTGGATGAACACGCTGAATCCGTCATGAGCTAGAGTAGTGTCCACCTCATATAAATAACGGTGCACATTCTCCAGGCTTACCAACCAGATGGCAGCTCTTGCCTATCATGAGTTTACTGACTTCCCCTTGGTGATGAATTTCCTTTTGCTACTTTCAGGTTCAGACAGTCATACTTTGAAGATAAAACTAGCAATTGATCTCCAAGTTATAGAGGTCTTCACTGTGATTTTTGTAAAACAGTTCCCGAATACGAACATGAGCATCACTAAAAATAGAACAAACAGTAGTATCGACAGTCACCTTCAGAAGAAATGCTCGATGTGGTCCAGTTTGATCAGCGAAAATTGCCACTGAGAGGTAGTCCGTGCCTACATAAACAATCCCACAAGCGCACTGCATGTAAACTTAATGAACTTTCATTGAGACTATTTTTTAAAAAGAATTGCACTAGATTGGATATATTTATTTCTTTGGCTTGGAATATATGCAAAACAGTTTCTTATACCATTTGGTGCATTAGTAACATATGGTGCTTCCAATCCAACCAAAGAGCGACTGGGAATATTCTGACGAAGTTCATTGAATACATTCTGGTGTTCTGGTATGAACCACTCCAGCCCGGGGTTCAATACAAGGGGCAGAAAGCCGATATATTATCCAACAAGGGCCTGCAAGTGTCTGACAGAATGCTGGCCGGGGCAAGGGCCCGATGATGCACACGAACTCAACATCTAAAATGGAAACTCACACCAGTTTCGAAGTTCGCGTTAGCAAAAGTGCCAGACTTACCGATGAGCTTGATGTCTGTGTTGGCAACGAGCCACTCTGCTGCTTCCTTCGTGAATCCGACGTAGCTTCTGTCAAACTGTGATTTGTACATCAAACGCCTGCACATCACCGGGGCATGGAGTCTTCAATGAAAGTGTAAAAATAATATGTAATAATGAAGTATTAAAAATGTAAGTCCGAAGTGATTACTTCACAGAACATCTGCACAGCATCTTCATCACTAGATGTTACAGACTGAGTACACTCTCTCATCACTTTGTCTCCCGATTTGTCTCTCGATTTGGAAGTTCCAGATGTCGACGAGACTTAATGATTTTGCCTCACACAGCCGTGCTCAGTACTCAGATCCTAAAATCAGAGCCGTCGCTGTTTCCTCATCGTCGATGAAACCTCACCTTGCAAGCCAGTGTGAGCCAGAATCCAGTATGTGTGGAGGCCTTAAGTGCCATACAGTTTTCTGAGCCCAATACGTTTCATTCAGCCATTTAACCTTTGAGATTAAACTCCTGGGTGCCTGAACCTTATCCCATTACATGCATTCGTGCGCAGATTTTAATTTTTGTTGGTGAGCACATCTCCTTTCCTTCTCTGAGCGTTCTCTTTATTCCCGTACTGTCCAAAGCTATCTTTAGTGTAAATTTCAGTTCACTAAGCTCTGTTGTTTCATACGTGTGAAATGTTCGATGTGGTCGTATATGATATCGTGTTTCTGGACAAATTATTTACTTTTACTTCCTCGTGTTCGTGAAAAGCCGAACATTGAGATCTGAGCTTATGCCAGTTGCAATAGAACATCACTGTGCTCATCTGTCTAGTGACCTTCCCGTTGTTGAAGCCCAGTGCTCAGACCTTGAATCCACATGCTATTGGAGAGAGTGGTATGCTTAAGACACCTAATTTATACTATATTGGTTTCAATTTTAGTTTGGAGCTGACACAATTCTCGACCAGTGCAGGAAGAAATACTGTTCATAGGAAAACATTTGATCTGCATAGTCCGTGACCTGATAGTGGCATGATACATCTGAAAATGGTTTTCCTCAATGTTTCTCGATGCTAGAATCGAATTTCTCTGTGGACAAGTTTCACAGGTGGATGAGCTACTGAGTAGTTTCTTGGCTGATATCTTGAAGGTCTGAACGAAGCTACTTCACGAGGGAGAAAGATGCAAGAAAGTTATGAAAGAGAAAACCCCGTCACTTTCAAACAGTCCTTCTTCTCGTCTGAATTAGTCTTCTCAGTTAGTTACTACTGAAACGATCAGCCGGTGAGGCTCTTGTCTCCAGTTTAAGACAGGGTGATATTAAGGAGTACAGTAGCTCGATAGAGTCAAATTCAATTCTGGCCACAGACACAAACCTTCACGCTGCTTCGGTCCGATCTTGGAGCTAACATTTAACTTATTTGATGTATATCTGTGCCTTTTAACCTGTATAAACCTTCGAAAACTCTCAAGAGTCTTTGATAAGAAAATCATCTTTAACCCAACATAGAAGCCTACTTCAATTTTAAGCTCAGTTAGATAAGATTTTGGTATGCTAGGGTATTTACTAGTTTACTTTGGAAACTGTAAGAGAAGTACTGGACCAAATATCTCAAAAAACGTCCAATATCAAGCTCCAGTGCAAGTTAATGAACACCAGTGGGAGACACAAAAAAGGGAGATAAACTTTAGAAAATTTCTAAAGTCATATCTTCAGAAGCAGAAGCAATCAAAGATGAGAACTATATGGACCTGTACAAATCTCAAAACATTCGTGCATTGCAAGGGAATTCAGCACGAGCTTACCTGTAAGTGTTGGCAGTTCTAAAGAGAACACGCTCCACACCTCGAGGGATGTTTAACTTTTGCATGACTTGTTCTGACATCCAGTTCCCAAGTATATGAATGGTCAGTGGAAGGGTTACTAAATGTATGCAATTGTGTTGTTCTATCCCTGACAGAAAATGTTCTGAGAACGTCTGCCCACATACGGAAAATGATTATAAACTTCGACGGATGCATGGCCCATTTCGCACATACCTGTAATGTGCCCTTCTTCGTTGGAAACATCGACAATAAGCACTGGACCTGTAATAAAAAATAATCGGACGCCACATCTCAGTTCTAGGCACTAAAATGAAATTCCAGAAGTTTCAGCACTGAGCCAGGATCACATCCCCAGCTCGAAGAATTTCACAGAGTAGAACTGATAAATGCTTCGATATCAGTAGTTCCTAAACTCCATGCCATGAAAAAATTAATACAACAACCCCCGACTATAAAATTCTAGAAGATGAACGGCGTTGGGTGCTTACCAACGAGAACGTTGAGGTCCAAGCCGTTCACATCGAAGCCCGCCTCGTACATCTCGTTCACGAAGTGCCCAGGTGCATCGACATGCGTGCCGGAGTGCACCATGATTTTCAATTCCGACAGATTACAGCTGTGACCGTCGCGTCTCATGCCCTTCAGCAACGTCACGGCATCCGTGAGGGGATTGCCGTCATCGAACGAGGGCAGATCCAGTCGCATCTCGTGCGTGATGTCTACGATCTTACTCGGCCCCTTGGGTTTACCAGCTCGAGCATCACATGCCATGCTCTCCAAGGACGGGTAGGCGTCCTCGACGAGGTCCACGGCATCCACGCTGCTGATCAGCACCAACAGGCACAGCCCAAACCGCTTCATCGTGCCCATCCGAGCAATCCTCCGACTGTCAGCTCCGACTCGATCCTCACACCTGAACGCCGCGTCTCCCTCCCGAGCTCAAACTCGAGAACCGATCCTCCGTGCCGCCTTCAGCTGGTGCAGCAGCTCGTCTGTAAGCTCCCAAATTCCACTTCCCGGAACTCGTGCAGTGATCTGAACCCTCGTCTTCCCCGTTTCTCTCGTTGCCGACATATCCAGACCTCTGTCAGCGCCTGCTGCATGCGTGTCTCGACTGTGTACCTTAAAGCGACCCGCGCTGACGGCTGCTCCTCCTCCAGCTCCCATCGCATTGTGCCACCCAAGCCTCCTCCTCCTCCTCCTCCTCGAGTGTCCTCTGTGGGGCTACTTCTGTCTTCCTTCCCCCTCTAGGCTCTCTGGTCTTCTCTCATCCCACACGCGCAGCGTACCTCATTCCCCCCCAAGCCCCCAAAACAAATATGTTCAACGCATGTCGATAAACTATGCCGAAGTTGGGGGGCAGGGGTTCCAATCGAGGTCTTCGATCGAATCCGCAGAAATGGCTCGCAATCCGGTTGGAGGATCTTCGATGCCACCGACATCGTGTACCTGGCTATGACTAGGTGAGAATGTAGTCATGGACCGAGGGAAGGAGGACACAAATTGACGACGATTCTGGCGATGGAAGCGAAAGGACGAATGAATGAATGTCCATGAGCGCTCACAGTTGACTCCGCAGTAGAGGCTTGCGACGAGGTTCGCACCTCCCGGTTCCAACCGGGTGAGGAGATTGTGGCCCCGCCCAACTCCGACGGAGGCGACGACAGTGACGACTGTGACGACGCTTTCGTCCGTCCATTGCGGGTGGATGTCCACTGAGGTGTCTCTAGAAGGCCGGTAAAAGAACCCGGCATCCAGGGTCCACCTTCTCCGTTCCCGAGGAAGCCGGTACGGACATCCAGGCTACAGCAGGGAGCTCTTCCCTGCTCTGGGCAGCCACGGCGCAGGCGACACTGTCGCGTGGCCGGTTGTCCTCTTCCGTCCTCCACGACCGTCTCCGGCATCTTTCGGTTTTGTCGTTTTGTAGTTCTAGGTACTACGTTGCCCTCCTTTGTCTCCGCTGTTTGTCAACCGGGTAAGGTCCAAAGTACTGTACTGCGTTCTATCGGGAATGAAACCATCTTCCGTGGAGTCCTCGACGTGGTAAATGTAGTTCCCATCCATCTCTCCCGTTCAGTTTTTACTTGCTTGCAATCACATTTACAACACGAAGGAAACTTTGATTATGTACACCGTCCAGTACCAATTAGGTGACGATGCACTGAATGAGATATTTCACGTTGTGATTCTATTGGGACAGTTATTGTAAGACTGGCTTGACGAGGCCTTCACATCTTTTTGCTCTACTTCATGGTGCCTGCTTATACGCAACCTCCATGATATCTCATTAAAAAATATCTATCACCCAACAAATCAGGATGACATGTTAACATAACGTCAGTACATTACAAACTTCACAAGGACGTTGTGGTGTACATCCCCTACGAGCAATTACATTAATTAAGTGATGTTTGTGATAGCGCATAAATATACTAGAGTTTTAGAAACCATGAAATGGGAGATAGTCTAAACCATCGAGAATTAGAGTGCAACGTAAGTGCACTTATTTGTGCTTCAATACTAATCCAAAGTGGAGGTCCGCTGTGTGCACGGTGACTTCAACCTACACAAATTAAAAACTTATAACTTTTTAATTATGCCAAAAACGTCAAGCTCGACCATCAATGATAAGATTGCTTACAGATCTTTCATGGATGAATTATTTTATTTTTGAGTGGTAATGAAAACACATAATTTAGCTTGATAATAAGCTCATAAAATTTTGTTTCCAATTCTAAACTACATATGTTTATCGAGCTGAGAATCTTCAACAGACTAGAAATTCTAATGAAATTATTAGCATGTAACCTAACGACATGTTAGTTCTTTCATGAACTTTATGGACGAAAATTCTCCGAAAACTCATCAAATTAGAGATTGAAGAATTTTAGGTAGGTTATATTATAGAAAATAAATGCATAATTTAAAAATAAACTGAAAGATTAAAATTTTTCTCACATTCTGAAAACTACTTGCACACAAAATTAACATCAATTAAATTTTTTTGGATTCTGTGATTATTTTTTATATATTTATAATCAATGAGAAAAAGTTAAAACATATGCTTCATGTATATCATGTATCGCATGCTTTTTTTTATTGAGAATAACTATCACCAATCTCTACATGAGACATATGTATCGTGATGTATCTGTATACATTTGTTCACAAATTTATACAAGAATCTTCAAACCTAACGATTCTTATTAGTTTATGATCTAAATTTTATATATTGAAAAATAGACAGCAAAGAATAGCGGCAGAATTTTATTTCTGGAATTTTTATTTTATTCTTATCGAAGTAAAATTCGAGAATTTTCTAGAAAGTGTATAGGAGCAATTTCATCTTCCAAGGATAAAACAATGGAGAAAATATACATAGTATATTCTCGTCTTCCAAGCTTCAGGCCTAAACTCTGAAACCTTCACTTGTTACAAATTCGAGGGTGAAATTGCGGAATCTACAGAGGCGACAATATTTGTGCCAATTGGCATGGACTACCTAGTTTAGCGAATGGGGCCCCACCGTCCAACTACGTTCTCGACGGATGAGACCGTGGTTGACTACTGGTGACGAGACTCAGCACAGAAACTGTTCTGAAACCGTGGCATCATTCACGAAGTTAGATGGAGCTTCGTACAGCGATCGTCGTGACGATGCCACGAAACTCTGAGCGAAGTTTCGGGCAGGATCTAAAACGGGCAGGGGGCAGCAGAGAAGAACAGCACAAGACACACACTCAATCCACCGGCTCGAGGCTTTGACCCAAAGGTCGCCGCCCGAGTGTACGGTCCCCATACGATCCTAGCTTCTCTGCTCGCCGCTTCTTCCCGCATTATGGCACACAACGTTCGCTCGCGCTCCCGCCAACTCCGTTACCGACCCCAACCCCCCGGACAGACTTCCGAAGGGTCGCATGTCAGCGTAGTAGACGACAGCGAGGATTTTGCGCGGGAGATTTCGTCAAGGGCCGCCCGTCTGGCCTGCCATGTCACCATCCACCTCGGTCCAGAGCCCTCACCTCTGCCGGACTCGATTGACTACCCCTCCGCGCATACGCCAATGCCATGGGGGATCTGTCGCCGGGGCCCCATCGGCGATCTCCCGTCTGTCGCTTTCGGGTTGTTGTTTCTAAACCGGAGGCAGCAGGTGAATACGACACCGGGTGTCTCCTACGGCGATGGAAGGCACGGGACTGGAGGCACACGGACGCCCGCGATCGAGCCCTAGGGTTACCATCGAGGTTCCTATTTCGAGCCAGGAAGTCGGAACCCCTCCAGAGGCGGAGGATGATCTAGCGTGTTGCCTTGGAATACGGCGGTCCAGAGCGAACGAGTTCACGTGACACCGGCAAGTGGGGCAAGAACCGGCCTGTGCATCGGGTGGTCCTACAACAGGACCTTCCTGGGCCCTCAGTTCGAACCCGGTTAGGTGAAGTGAGCACACACATATCGAGGTAGGTGAAAAGCAATTTCCTCTTCCGCCATCTCACGCAGACCAAGGGTCAAATATTTGCCCCATTTTTTAGGGCTCTTCGAGGGCTCCTTGGCTGCGTCACGCCAAATTCCGGAGCCTAGGTTAGAATAATTAAACCAGAAAATAAAAGCGGACAATACTCTAAAGGGTCATTTTAGCCTATACGCTTGTTTCGACACAATGTGAGTAGAATCAATGAAATAATACATATACGGAGTTTGTACGTAGCCTTGGCCTGAAGGACATCTGTTGCACGAATTAATAACACATTTGTCGGGGTTGTTGATTTCAACCGGTTCTATTATAAGCTGAAATGAGATCATAATATTTCTTCTGACAGAAGAAGAAGAGTTCATGATATTTCTTCTTCTGTCAGAACGACAAAAGAATAATATCTGAAATTGAGATTCATGCTCCGAGCACCAAGAGGAATCTATCGTGATGTAGTAATTTTTCCGACATGCAGAAATGTACCGGAGACGAGATTGAACTGGAACATTTTGAAGGCTTCCAGAAAAATCCCACGCAGCAGAGAGAGGAGGGATGACTGTGCAGTAGGTGCGATGGGGAACTTGTCACTCGAAGATGGCGACTGCATGAGGGCGAGTCGACGGTGCTAAGGGCTCCGCCTCGCAGAGGACTGCCAGGTAGCACCAACTAACGAGGAGGCGCCACGTAGGAGCCAGGAGGACAGCCATGCGTCCGCCAACAGGGCAGCGAAACGGCTCGCCAGATATGACCGGAGCCCTAGATCGGGGCCATCGCACGGCGGGGCGCCTCCGCCGTGAAGATGCGACGAGTGCAGTGTCGCGTCGGTCGCGGCCGAGGAAGAACGCGACGACGGGCACGGACGCCGCAGAATCGCATCCGCGCCTCCCTCGCCCATCGGACGGCCCAGGCTCGCCGATCGGCCTGGCTGCGTGCGAGCTTCCTCGAGTGTGCCGCCCGGCCTTCGCTCCTCGTCCCCCGTCGCACTGTTGAAGCTCTCTCTCCGGAGCCTTGCCTCGTCCGCCCTCTCGATCTCTCGATCTCTCGCGCACTTAAACTTCGCCTCTGCTGCTGCTTCGGAGGAGCTCGATCTAGAACGACGACTGCCTCTCTTTTGCTTCCGAGTGTGGTTTTTTCGAGGTGCGTCCCCGCCCTGTCAGAGATGCGCTTCTGCGCACCTGTTGGCAGCCCGATCGCGGTCGGTCTGTCGGCTCGACCTCGCGATTTCTTGATATTTGTCTCGTCTCATAATTGCTTGACTTGTGTTTTCGTGCCATGATAGACCGCTTCTTTTCGCATCTTGCTTGGCTCGATCGGAGGTTTTCTTTTCAAGATGACGATCTTTTCTCACAAATTTTGGTGTACTCGGACCGATTGGATTTCTTGGAGATTCGGCACTTTTATTTCTGACCTCTTCGGGTCTGGGACGATGAGATGTACGAATGGTTTTCTCGTCGTGACAGCCCGTTGTTTTGTTGGCTTCTTGAGATTGGGAACGAACGACTACACAATGGCTATTATATTTTTCGTTGATTTTTGGTTTTGATGCGCGATGGACGTGATGAAGTGAAGCTACGTAAGATTTCAAGCAGGAGTCCAACCCTTTGATGGACAGAGCCTATAGCTAGCTACCTTGCCGAGCTCATGATATCAATACGAACTTTGTCTACCAGTATTTCACAATATACAGATCCCGCGTCAGTGCATTAGGAGTAGTAGTCCGGTTACTGACAGATCTATTTATTCGAATCTATAGTGAAGCGTGTGCTTCGCTCTGGACAAGTGGAAGGAGCTGACGTGACTGCTGGCTGTCGCAAGGAGTACTCGCGTTGAACCTCGACGGCCGACCACTCTCCTTTTATTCCCCTATGTACTCTAATAAGGATGTTGGTGATCTTGCAGGCAACACTTCCACTATTTTCGGGGAAAATGGCTGCCTCATCTATGATTTCTTCTACCCTTGCTTCTTCCATTTCAACAACGTTGCAGTCCGGAGCTAAGGCAGAAGGACGCAATGCTAACTCACAGTCTATGGTGCGCCTCTATCCCTGAGTTTTAGTTCTCTGTTGTGAATGAGTCTTCTTGAAACGATAAACGTGTTCACATGTATCGTTTCTTTGTCACGAGCTTAATCGTTATTGAAGGATGGTAGTGAAGGAGCTGTTATCTTCTGTCAGTGCATGTTTTCAACTCCACTCCGTCGATTGATCTCATTGTCATTGATCTACGGATGGAAGTATGTTCTTTTAAGAACATGTCATTCTCGAGGTATTCTTGGACCGATTGCCTGACTGAGGATGCCCATGTGCTCAGCTCAGACAAATTTGCGATCCTCCAAATGCCACCTATCTAATTCGTATTCTGCATGCAACCTTCTACTCCTCTCCGTGAAGTTTTCAGATGCTCATGTCAAGCTTCTACGGATCCTGATTCCAGGCAATAACGCAGTTTTCGTCTCGTGTTTGAGACCAACCAGAGCGGGAAAATGTATTCGTCTGATTGTGTCGGAACCGTTGTTCTGTGCAGGTTGCTTTCAGCAACCAGGGCAGGAGCGTCAACATGCAAACCAAGGGATCCTTTTTCTCTTCAACTGAGCTCCTGAGCAGCGGTACTCCCTCAAGGTAATGTTCTTTTACATGTGGAGTACATTATGGTCGGATATTAACTCGCTCGTACCTTAAAAGTCGCCAGATTTGAATGCTTGTCACCACGAGTCCTTAGTTCTTTTGGTTGAATCACGGAAAGTGTTCCTTATATGTAGTTTCGAAGTGACAGAAAGCGTAGTTTGCTTGACGGAGCAATTCTAGTCCTGAACGTTTTTGAAAATCTTTCTACAGGAAGCAGCAATTGAGTGGCCCAATCCGTGCCACCGCGACACAGACCCCCACCATTTCTAAGAGTACGTTTCACTTCCTCATAATTGCTCGGATCTGTAATATTTTAGGCAACAGCGGATGGTAATAGGCCTCTTATAACACTCGTAGTATCATCACGATTCTGACTTCAGAGTGCGAAGAAATTCTTTTACTGAATTGCAACCCTCTGTCACATATTGCAGAATCCGGATCCAAGGAAAAGGCCAAAATTGGAATCAACGGTACGCTTCGAACGCCCCGTTGTTGTCGGTCTCTCAGTCAATCAACGTCGTCTGCTTGTGATGGATGAATACTGTTGAATCGCATCTGTTACGACTTCTTGATTTCAGTCGTTTCTCACCGTAATGATGTTGTTCTCCAGGTTTCGGAAGGATTGGAAGACTTGTTTTGCGAATTGCTCTGTCTAGGGATGATGTCGAAGTTGTCGCAGTCAACGACCCCTTCCTCACAGCTGACTACGTTGTAAGTATTCAAGACGAGCACAGTGTGGCTTCAGAAAGCATGCTCAGTCAAAATTTTTATCGCCTCATTTGTTGCAGGGCAATTATCGTAGTGGCATTCATGGTCACGGGAATTCGAAGAAGTGCTGCGTGTCTGCCAAATTGTAGTATGGCTGCTGATTGTTAAACTTTCTTTGGTTCAGAGATATTTGTTCAAATACGACTCCACGCACGGCGTTTACCCCGGCGAAGTCGAGGTTATTGACGAGAACACTCTGTCCGTTGATGGTCACAAGATCAAGTTTTTCGGATCCAAGTAAGTAATATCTATGTATTTCCCGCCATCACTATTGAAAAACTGTACTCTCTGCTAGTTCCGTCGTTGTGCGGGTCTATGGGGTGGGTTTTCAGGAACTTTTGGACTGACCACTTAATGTCGGCATTTCCCTTTCAGGACTCCAGCTGACATTCCATGGGGCGACTCGGGTGTTGACTACGTTGTCGAGTCAACTGGTGTATTCACCAACATCGCCAAAGCCTCTGCCCATTTGCAGGTAAAAATTCTGACTTGTGATCCCGAATTTCTTTTACCAGTTGCGAAATGGTCTGAACCTGGTTGAGTTTTTGTAGCGCTGGGGATTTGTTTGTTCTCTTCAGCTGATCATTTCTCCTCTATTATCGTCAAATAGGGTGGCGCGAAGAAGGTTATCATCTCCGCTCCATCAGAAGATGCACCCATGTACGTGATGGGTGTTAACGAGGAGAAGTACTCAGCAGACCAGAACATCGTATCCAATGCCAGCTGCACCACCAACTGCCTTGCTCCTCTTGCGAAGGTGAGTTTCAGGTTGGGGCTACGCAGAGACAATCTGAATTTTGTGAACACATCTGACAATTCTACTCGGGGTCTTACCATTTAAAATTATTTTTGTTTGTATGGAGGGGTGCAAAGACCGAAGACTCATCACCGGGGTTGGGCTGTGACGTGAATTCTCAAAGGAGCCTTTGAACTCGTTTACTATCGTAATCTACTCTCTTCGTTGCTGGATTCTTTCCTCAATATGCCCTTGCATAATGCAGCGTTCTAACAAGTCTTCGTATGTAGATTGTACACCAAGAGTTCGGCATCGTGCAGGGTCTCATGACTACCGTCCACGCCACCACCGGTAAGAAATGGTTGAATCTCTCTTGGGCAAAAGGCTACCCGGGGTTCCAGGCAGAGAATTACTCCTTTTCCAATCGCAGAGATTTTGGATGTGTTTTTCACGTTCAAAAATTTAACTCGTATTTCTCCTCTTTACAGCTACCCAGAAAACCGTGGATGGTCCGTCTGGAAAGGATTGGCGCGGAGGAAGAGGTGCTGGTCAGAACATTATCCCCAGCTCAACTGGTGCTGCCAAGGCTGTGGGCAAAGTGCTGCCCGAGCTTAACGGCAAGTTGACAGGAATGGCTTTCCGAGTACCCACCCCTAACGTGTCCGTAGTTGACTTGACCTGCCGATTGGAGAAGAAGGCTAGCTACGACGATATCAAGAAAGTCATTAAGGCTGCATCGGAATCCTCTATGAAGGGTATTCTTGGTTACACTGAGGATGCTGTCGTCTCAAGCGACTTCATCGGCGATGCCAGGTCAAGCATCTTCGATGCCCATGCCGGTATTGGTCTTGGCGATGGATTCATGAAGTTGGTTTCCTGGTACGACAACGAGTGGGGATACAGTAACAGAGTGGTCGACCTTATCGAGCACATCGCAGCAGTTGTGGCGGCTAAGAAGAACTAAGTCGAAAGCCAACGGAATTTACTTCTTGCACTGGTTCAGTATTCAATGAACGATTACAACCACCAACTATCAGGCTTTACGTGTATCCTACATACGCCAGTACACAGTTGCGGTAAAATACTGTCCTCTGTGCCTTCGAAAAGCGGCCTGTCTGGTAGGCCGAGGTTAGCCAGATTATGCGACTGCATTGCCAACCTCTCTACTCCTTTCATATGAGGCACTTGTAGTTACTAATATCATCCCTAGACCGAGCTTCTACACAGCTTTGGTAAAACAGAATCGAGATACTGTTTTTCTCACAAGGCTCCGGCGAACCAAAATATGGCCCTTTACGGGTGAGACAGTGAGAGGTGAAGGTAGGATTGGAGAATACCCCCTGAGAAGCATTTGCAATAGCAAAATGTGGATTTTTGGACTTGATGTGAGCTAGTCACATGAGTTGCTGTGGAATAATTATGCTCTAATAAAGCAACGTTAAACATTGGTCATCATGGTCGATGATAATGATTTATGTGAGTAAGAGTGTTTGTGCTTTATCAACATCGATATATTTCAATTGACCACAGCCGTAGTTGTGTGATATGTCATCCCCAGCGTTTTTGAGATATCTCTGTTTTCTCTGTATGGTGCATATTATTATTATACAGCTGTGTCTGTACTTCACAATGTGGATTCTGGCGGAGGTGTGTCATATTTAAAGACCTTGATCACATGTAATAACATCAATAAATAATGCACATCAGTTTTCGCTATAACTGATTCTTCTAGGTGTTGATTGTGTAAATCAATATTGTGTGGTTAAGATCCTCATGAGCTAGCTGAGTCTAAGTTGGAAGCGTCAACAGATGAAGTTGTTTACACTCGCAATCACGCAAGTAGTACTGAAAGATGTATGCCAGACTCTTGCACTGGGTTTGAAAACTGTACCCATACCCGAACCATTATCCATGACACCTTGTCCATACCATATTCATCCGCCCATCACCAAAAATATACTGTAGACCACAATTTTATTTTTTCCTCCATTTCGATCCACAAACAGCATTCATTTATTATCCTGCAAGCATGGCACTTTGTTCATATCTATCACCAAAACACAGTGTAATCACAATCTTTTTGGTCATCCGTAAAATATGGCACTTAACTCATATCTATCACCAAAGTAAAGTGTAATTATAATCTTCTGCTTTATTACACTTCAATCTATAGACAATATTCATTTGGTTATTAGTAAAATATATGTTAAAAAAAAACTTTTCATTTATATTGACAGATTTATGACTAATAATAGTTAATCAACAAACTGTGCAATTTGAAAACTCAAACAAGTTATTTAACTCAATTGTTTTAAAAACTGCATGCATAATACCCGCATATCCCTTGCATCCATCCCTCACCCATTTACCGATGGGTATTGGGTACCCAATACTCGTGTATTCTAAATTTCCATAGCCTAGTAACAAAGTTGAGCAGCAATTTACTTCGTCGGATAGTGTATTATTTTTGTTTTACACATTCTCCTATAATAACTTGCACACCATTTGTGCGACAATTATGTGCTCTTGCGTGGACCTAAGAATACTAGTTTTCCCAGACATATTCAAAATATTGAAAATCTGCAGATTCTTCTCGCAGGTTGAACTACAGTATCTTGATCTGTTAAGTGAAAGCTGGTGGAGATACGAATCAAACTCAATAGGTAAAGCGGTGCGTTCCGATACTGACTTACACCACTTCATGTACGGAGTAAGTCCCGGAAGACCTGCATGCTGCAGCGCGAGGTCATTTTAGCCAAACGCTTTCTGCAACGAGGACAGTAGAAGCAAAGTTCTGCAAGGATTGACTTTCCCCAATAGTTCAAATGCTTGAGTTTCTTCCACAACATTGAGGCGTGGATGTCATAATTCAACAAGCTCTTGCAGTACTAGATGCTACAATCGAATGCCGCTGAGTGTCACTAAAAGTCATAGACGGAGATTATCACTATACAGATTGAATGCTCGAAGTCGCCATCCTGGACCCGGCATTCTCTGGAAGATTGACCCGCGAAATTTGGGGATCAGCGACAATCACATGCTATTACTCCACTTCCTAAACTGAAACCAAAGAAGAGAATCAACCGATTTCCGAAGTACCAGGAAGTGGGCGGCGAACTCAAAAGCTCTGCACTGCACTGTGCACGCGACTGCGGCCGGTGGCTGGGATGACTTCGTCTGGGCGCCTAATCTTGGAATCAGTAGCCGTACGCAATACTGTACTCTGTACTCTAGTGGACAGTCCTGTACCGTAGCTTGAGGGGAATGTCCGAATCAGTGCCACGAAAGTCAAAAAGGGAATGAGCGAATGCTTTCTAGTCATCGAGACCGCGGTCCTCTTCGTGGACCGGGGAAGCACCGAAAGCCGAAAGCGGGCGTGCAAGGGCCAGAAGTGGTCAGACCATTCTTCAGATCGGGCACCAATGCGGAATTTATTGCAATCCGTATTGTCTGGGAGCAGCCTAATTGCCGCGCCAGGAGTTCTACCTGCACCGGTCTCGTCACATGCCCAAGATGCAAGCGAGCATTGGATCGAAAGGCTCCGGATCTTACAAGGAGACAGAGAGAACGAGATGTGGTCGTTGTTCAGACGGGCGCCTGACCATCATCTTTGTTTTCCACTCGAGAAAGGTTGGTCTCAAGGCCGCGCCCGATTGGAAGAGAGTTTTTTCTCGAGGTGGAAGAGTAATTTTGGTTCCTGTCTCGTTGAGTGTGAAATTTTGCGGTTAATTCACGTCCGAAGTCGCCCGCTAGTCTTTACACATATCTTTGGGTCGGGTCACAATTTAGGTTTAGTGTGAACGCGCGGGGATTCATCGATTTCATCTTCTTGGGTTGATTTCTGTGGCGAGTCTTCTTACGGTTCCTTGAATTTGCGTGGATGCCTTCTGCAGTGTTGAAGTTCGGGGTTCTTCTCCCAGCTGGAATTCTTGGGAGAACCATGCACTTCGAAATACGCAGGAACGTAATCATTACAGCGGACGAGAACCTTCGTGGATGATGAGCTCGGGACCCGTTTGCCACTGAAAAGCCATGCTCGAGAAGGAATTGCTGGTATCAGCGTAAAAGTCTCCAGGCCGGGTAAACACCTCAAAACTCATTTGAATCAAACTTCATGCTTAAACTTTCGCGGGGAGTGATGATGGGAAGCGTTGTGTGTGGTTGTGATGGATTTGCTCTCTAAAGAATACGCCTGCTCTTGTATGAGTTGAAGAACACCTTAAACATGAGAAGTCGGTTGCAACTATAGAAGTTAACTACTGCATACTTGGACTTCAAGAAGATGAATATTGTAGGTTCGTCATGTGCTTTGGAACTGGTCTAGATTCATTGATCATACTTGTCCTTGTTTGAGTTGAAAAAGACTTGAAATTCTAAAGTTGGTAGATTTATGGTGTCGAATTCAGAGTACCACGTGCTTGAAATCTAGGATGATTATTCTTTCAGGCTCGTCATTTCTTGTGAAGTGAAGTTTGTATAAATTTTGGTGATATGAGACTAACTGGAACTGTAACGGAAACATGTGTGCTATGCGGTAGGTGATGTACATCTGCATTGAAGGCAACATGCTTCTAACCTTAAGAAAAGTCACAAGTACACTCCCTGTTTAAATGTGTGTTTTTGTATTCTTATTTACCTCTGAATTCGTGATTACTCGACTGCAATCATTACCAATAAAGATTGTCATTCCTGCTCTATTATATACGTTGAACATTACCCCTCTCTCTCTGCTGGTGTTCTTCAGTCCATCTGTGTATGATGTTTGTTACTTTTCCCACGGAGGTCATCTCTATCTCAATCTCGGTGGATGGGTTGATAGACGAAACCAACAATGTCAAACTTCTTTGTTAGAAGTGCCATCTCTCATTCTTTGAAATTTGCATCTTTCAGTTTCAGTTTTGAGACCTTCTGGTGTGTTTCCAATATACGAGCAGCCATAGAATGGTAAACTACCTTGTCTGTAGTTTCGCTCTGACGGCGACAATGTCATAAATATAGCCACAGTTTATTCTTCAAGAAGTTCGATTCGTTAGTACTGAACTCAAATTGAGTTTCATAATGGATCATGAAAGCTCCAACACTGGACACAATACATCGTGTCAAGTTCTTCCTGTTTTTGTTACTTGTCTAATCGTCTGCTCGTCAATTCTGTCAGTGTGAAAATCCAGCGCATCAACGATCCGTTCAACACACTACAGCCACGGTCATGGAAGAGGTCGGAAAGGAACTGGACCGACTGTCTGGAGTGTCAGGGGAGGGAGAGCTAAAAATTTTGCAATTTTTTGGAAGTCCCAGTACCCTGGAGGCCTTGGTCTCTCTTTCAGATCTCGACATAAATGCGGCTAAATTAGATTTCCTGAAGCTGTTATCCTTACGCCCAAATATTGTCAATACGAATGAGGAGTACAAAACACGGCGCACAGCTCTAATGGTCGCTTCAAGTACTGGATATACCAAGGCGGTGGAGCTTCTGATCCATCATGAAGCTGATATACTTATTACTGGTGCTGAAGGTTTAAGTTGCTTGCACCTCGCTGTCGCGGGAGGTCATTTGGATGTTGTCCGGGTAATACTCAACACAATGGAGGTAATCATGACAGCAAAAGACACAGCTCCTTTGAGGCAAGAATTTATACACACCACGGGGCCAAATGAACACGAGCCAGAAATAAGCACAACTTAGAATAGCTACTTTGGAGTGACATCTTTGTATGCTGGAAAACCTGTGAATGAAGAGAAATGCAATTTTTCTAAAAGGAAACATGTAAGAGGACCTTAGTGGATTTATTCTAATCTGTTTTAACCATTTTCATATTTAGGCTTCCTACTCCACTCGAACTTTCGTAGATTTGGAGACTACAGAAGGACACACGGCCTTGATGCTTGCATGCAAGGAAGGACACCTGGAGATTTCAAAGTTGCTGATAGAGAAAAATGCGAATATGGAAGTCTCAGCGCACGGATGGAACTGTTTACACTTTTCTGCAAGATACGGCCACCACGAGGTTTCAATTTTGATAATTGAATCTTGTCGCAATTTAATTGATTCTGCAATTCGAGGTAAAGAAAGTCAATCCTCCATGTTGGGATTTACATCTTTGATGCTGGCGAGTAATTTTGGACATCATGATGTCGTAGAGTTGTTGTTAGATTACAAAGCCAATGTGATGATGACCAGCGAAGAAGGATGGAATTGTTTACACTATGCCGCAAGACGGTGTCATGGTGAGACGTTGAGGTTGATCCTGGAATCTCATCCCGATTCAGTAGATTCAACAATACAAGGTAAGTTACGACTAGGATATACACCTTTGATGCTGGCCTGTGAATTCGGACATGAGGAGGTTGTGACGTTGTTGCTAGATTACAGGGCAAGTGTTACGATGAGCAGCGAAGAAGGAATGAACGCTCTACATTATGCCGCAAGATTCGGTCGTTTTAGGGCCACCAAGTCCATTGTTGAAAGGTGTGCTGAAGCAATAAACAGTGTAACCTTAAGGTTGAAAACCACATCTGAAACACAGGTGCAAAACAAATCATCACTGATGTTTGCTTGTCAATATGGACACGTAACAATTGTAAATATTCTGCTAGACCATAGGGCGGATGTGATGATTTATAGTGAGTTGGGGTGGAATTGTATACACTATGCTGCAAAAGGTGGTAGACCAAATGTTCTCAACATGATAGTCAAGGAACGTCCAAATTTGATAAACAGTCTAACTTTAAGTCCACAAACTACATCAACTGTAGAAGTACAGAAGAAATCAGCATTGATGTTGGCTTGTCAGTTCAATCGCTCCGAACTTGTGAAAATCTTCTTAAAATACGGGGCAGATTTCATGATTTACAGTGCAGAAGGTTGGAACTGTTTACATTACGCTGCGAGATGTGGTCATTACGATGTCTCAGAGTTATTAGTCAATGCTTGTGCAGAACTCATAAATACTCAAACAAGAAGGTCAGTAAAGAAAAAAACTATAAATGGCCCCTCAGAGGTGAAAGGTAAAACCGCAATAATGTTTGCTAGTCAGTTTGGGCATGTGGAAGTTCTAAAAACCTTATTAAAATACAAGGCAGATGTGACGCTGTGCAGTGAAGACGGATGGAACTGTTTACACTTAGCTGCAAGATATGGTCGTTCTGATGTGATAAGGTTGATTCTTGACGTTCGTGCCGACATTGTCGATAGTGGTTCAGTGCCGAGTTATTCGTCTGAAAGGGTAACCAAATCAGCGCTGATGCTAGCTTGTCAATATGGACATTCGGGAGTGGTGAGCAGTTTGTTGGAACACAAAGCCAATGTGATGCTGTACAGTGAAGCAGGATGGAATTGTTTCCACTATGCTGCAAGATGGGGTCATTTTGAGGTGTCAAAGTTGATAATTGAAGCTTGTGTAGAAATCATAAATTATGGAACAATAAGAAGTAAAGGCACAGCCGATTTAGAATATATCAACTCAAATAGAACACCATTGATGTTGGCTTGTCAGTACGGACATGAACGAATTGTAGAGCTTTTGTTAGAACTCAAGGCGAATGTGAGGATGAGGACTAAGTTGGGATGGAATTGTCTGCACTATGCTGGAAGATGGGGTCATTTTGAGGTGTCGAGATTGATAATCAAAGCGTGTGCAGAAATGATTAATGATCGTACAGAGAACGGCTATCTGGGTGTGGTCAGAACAACATTGATGTTGGCTTGTGAGTATGGACATGAGGATGTTGTAAAGCTTTTGCTGGAACACAAGGCTGATGTGATGATTTTCAGTGACTATGGATGGAACTGTTTCCACTTTGCTGCAAGATGGGGTCGTTTTGAGGTGTCCAAGTTGATAATTGAAGCTTGTGTAGGTATCATAAACATAGGCACTCTCGGTGGTGATAGAACTGGACTTATGCTGGCATGTGGGTCCGGACATGAGCAAGTTGTAAGGCTTTTATTAGCTCATAAGGCCGATGTGATGGTATACAGCGAAAGTGGACGGAATTGTTTGCACTATGCTGCGGAAAGTGGTCATTCTGAGGTCTCAAGTTTGTTAATTGAAGAATTTCCACAACTCAGAGACAGTACTATCAGAGGTGCCGCCAACTGCCCACCGTATGATTCCGGCAAAACAGCATTGATGCTGGCTTCGCAATTTGGGAAGGTGGAAGTGGTGAGGACTTTGCTCTCTCACAAAGCAGACGTAATGCTTCGTAGTGAAGAAGGATGCGATGTTTTGCTATATGCTGCAAGATCAGATGATTTAAAAGTGTTGGAGTTGATTATTGAAGCGGTTGTAAAATCTGTTGTCGACGCGAGTTCGCTATGGTGGCAAAGGACATTAATATGGGCATCAGAAATAGGTCACCTGAGTGTTGTAGGTATGCTGCTGAAATACAAGATAGATGTGACACTCCAAAATGGAGATGGGCACAATTGTCTTCATCTCGCTGCCAAGAATGGTCATTTTGAGTTCTTGGAGGCGATTCTTGAGAAGGATACTGAAGGTTTCGTGAATAGTACAACAAGAGCAGGTGAAACATCATTAATGTTAGCAGCTCAGAAAGGAGACGTGGAAGTTGCAAAGATTTTGCTAAAGTACAAGGCAAGTGTGCTCGAGTGCAATGAAGATGGTTGGAATTGTCTACACTTTGCTGCGTCCCAGGGTAAAGTAAAGGTGATGCTCGAGATTCTCAACCATCCTGATCTCGAGAAGCTAGTAGATAGTAAAACAAAAGCAGGCCGCACTGCATTGATACTTGCTGCTGAGAATGGATATGCAGATGTTGTTAAGCTTCTTATACATAAGAACTGTAATGAACTCCTTTGCGATGATGAAGGATTCAGTTGCTTGCATGTGGCTGCAAAGTATGGTCATCGTGAGGTCCTGAGTCACCTTCTTTCGGAAGAAGGTGACGAAGATTATTGGGATAAGGAATGCTTGTGGCTAGGAGACATAGAGAGTAAGATTCGTAGGTTGGATCCAAACAGTCTCCTTCTTACGTCCAAACGTCTGAAACTTATGGAGGTAAGAAGCTGCTGCGAGCAGCTCACAGCCCTCCACATGGCTGGCATTGGCCACCGTACTGCGATAGTTGCGTTTTTGGAGAGAACGTATTTCACTTTAGCTCTTAGGTCTAGACGTTTCCTGCTGGATCCTGTGACCACGTTCATTTGTTACGAAGCCCAATCATTAAATATTTTCAACCTGAGAGTTGACGATTTCTTTTATGGGAGCGCTTTATCTGCTACTACAGAGTTGCAGTACCCCCAGTTGGAGTACTTCCAGTTGTTGGAGTACTTCCGAGCTTCTCGAAAAAAGTTCATGGAACCTGTGAGAGGACTTGTTAGATGTGCCGAGTTGGAGGCGAGGATTGGTTTGGAAGAAAATTGGCGTCAATTACTAGGCAGAAACCATGAAGTTGAGGACTTTGTGGCGGATAAGGCTGATTATGATGGGTTGTCAACCTCCAATCTCCTTGATTTATCCGGAATGGTAGAGGCGAACCTAGCTGTCGTCCGATATGTCAATGCCAGGGATATTATAGGGCGGACAGCTTTGCATTACCTCGCAGCAACTTGTGATTGTGAACGAGGAAAGGAGAGAGACGGTTGCAGGATAGCTTTTCTGAACGTCCTTGGAACACCGTTTTATGATGTAGTTGCTGCTGATTGGCGAGGCTATACACCTTTACATCTCGCAGCTTATAAAAAAAACTCGGCTTTTATTACAATGTTCGTGACTTCGACGTGTAGTAGTGAAGAAAAGAGACTCATGTATAATTCCAAAGGAGCCAGAATCATGAATGTAGAAGACAGTCTACGCGAAGCCGTGCATGAGGCTGGGGGCGCAGATTGCGAATTCTACCAGCCAAGGAATGGACACATACACAAGTGTCTTTGGCAAGAGGAACGTGATGGAATAATTCCTCTACACTATGCTGTAGAGAAATACTACCCAGATTATGGTGATGTTGTGGAACGCTTGGTTAAGGCTAGCAGACTGAACCTCATAACTAAGACTTCCAATCTTGAGTCATCATTTACCATAGCTATGTCTCAAGGAGCTTATCTCTACGATTCAAGAGGAAATAAAAATGGAATGTCAAGGGATAACATTTTGAGTCCAGGTCGTCAACATGCTACACAACCTTCGAACATGAACATCGAATGTCAAGATAATCAACTTTCCATGTTCAAAAGCTTAGAAAAGCAGGCTGTGCTTAGCATATATGACCCTGATGTAACTAGGGAAGAACGAAATAGTATCTGGGTTGAACTTATATGGTCAATGAGGGAAATTCTTGAAGAGCAACAGATCGATGTAGACGAGCGAGGTCAGATGCTGAAAGAAATGAATGAGACAGGTCATTGTGGGGGTCTGACTATTTTGCATTATGCTGCTTTCAGAGGGCTTCTTAATGAGCTTCAACACCTCCTGGGTTTTCGAGAACTTCGAGAGATGGTCGATTGTCCATGCACGGTCAGTGGACAGACTATGATGCATTTTGCCGTTATCGAAAAACAAACAGAAGTTCTGAACTGGCTACGCACGGAATCATATGGGAGGCTGGATGAAGAAGATAAACAAGGGCGGACTCCTTACGAGCTGCTCTTAGAAGTATTGATTGCATCTTCGTCCCCTGAACTGAAGAATTGTGAAGCATCTCTGCGGGGCGAGAAGACAATAATGAACTATATTGAGAAACAATATCGAGATCGACAAATTCACGTCGATGCTGGAAACACAGCCCTTGTAGGAGCTGCATTAATTGCAAGTGTCACCTTCGCAGGATGGCTTCAGCCTCCACTGGGCTACATGGAGTACCAACAGTATACATTTCCCGACTCTAACAATCCTGAGTCTTTTGCTGCAGTCCAGCAATACAGCAGTGTCAGAGTGTTTTGGGTGCTCAATAGTTTGTCCTTTTTCTTCGCTGTGGCAACAGTTGTTTGCGGAGCGAGAGCAGTGCTCCCTGCTTCTTCAACTGTCTTCATTTCCAAAGAAGTGAGGCTCATCCGAAATTGGCTTGTAAGAACATCTATCCTGCTAGTCATTTCTATTATTTGTGTACTGGGTGCTTTTGGAGCCGCCGGTTTTGCTGCTTTGCCACCAGATTCCAAATATCAGACCAGCATGACAATCACTTCGGTAGTTGGAGGTTCGACTTGTGTTGTTTTTCTTTTCTGTTATTTTCTCAGACTTAACGAAATTAAACATTGGCTTCCCTCATTTGATGGTCAGTCTATCAAATTGTGGTTGACTGGAGGACATCGAGAACTAGGCTCATCTGAGACGTGTAGGAAATCAGGTAAGTCAGTTGAGACCAAATTCTACGCTCTTAGAACTGCAAAACGTCGGTGGAGAAACCTTTGGGGCTTGATGTGAACCAGTGCCTAGATCTCGTCTTTCAAACTTGGAAGACCAGTATAAGATTTTAACTTTTAAAGTTTGCGGTAAGGATACCTGTTCCAATATTATGCACTGGTTGTGACGTTTGATTGGCTCGCTATTAAAACTTAGGTTTTGTGGTTAGTAACATATTCATATTTCACATACTTTCTCTAGACTTTATATTTCTGATTTGTCTCAGATTTAGTTTTGAACGTGACCTCGAGTTATGTTTGATCCGGTTAAACTTTGCTTTGCTTCGGATACTTCTTGGTATAAACTGTGGAGACATGAAATAAGGTAGAGAAATTTCTCTATCTACGTCAAGGAATTTTCGAAAGAAGAGGAATGTTGCCGAGTGAAATGCGAGGAAGCCAAATCTTTAGACATGAATATGTCAGGTTAGAGCGGTAGATGGGAGAGACATGGGACGATCTCATCATTTTATATATGAATTTGTGGGGAGGATGTGGATTGGGTATGCTGGTGATAGTATTTTTTAAGATGTTTGGTTTTGAGTTTCTTTTGGCCCAGGTTTGGTGAGAACTGAAGTTTCAAACCAGTGGATGGATGACGATGACAAAGAGAGTGATGCTGAGACGAAAAATTTGGATTCTGTCGTGAGTCGGTGGTTGAGTGGAAAGTTGCGACATCTGAGCTCAGGAGAGATCCAGTGACGAGTTTGAGGGACATGAGCTTTCGAGTGTTCATGTTTGAGTACGGGAGTCACGTACCTACAGTAGAGAGGGTTCAATGCCGAGTGGGAGCAAAAAGGTTTTGAGGGATGTACATAGAGTGGACAGGGACAAAATCTGGATTTGTGAAAGCTGAGTGAGAGCATAGATTGGATGTGAAGGGCGAGCCTCGTAATAGAAAAGAAATGCGATGATATACGATCACAAGTTCTTATCATCGTGGAAACGTGAAAATCCCATTAGGTTTGTAGTACTAGCTAGTGTTGAACGTAGTCTCTGAATGCAGAAGAACATCCGACTGCAAATTACATCCAACTGTTGTTGATAAATGAGGGAGAGTGATTCCAGGGAGCAGGGTGACTGTGTTGACTTTTTATATACGAAGGAGGACGACTGGAGTTTGTAGCATGACCATGTGTACTTCATGTACATGCTCCTTGGAAGTTGAGGAGTTGCCAAGAACCTTATCTGCAAGAGGGGAGAAAATTACATCAGTTCGAGGAGTGTTATCTTATCCGGGTAAACTTGAGCCTTGAGTGGTTGAGTTTGAAAGCAGGAACGATCATGAGGTTGGATACAGAGGAGATGGTTTTATGCTTTTAAAAACAAAATACATAAGGCCTGAAGGGAATTGTATGGTCAGGATATCTCAGATTTTTCGATGTTCTTGAAATTCGGCCGACTGAGAGATGACTGTTGTAAAAAGAGGAAGGTTTAGGAGCTGGGATGGAAGACCTGCACATGGTGAGGTCAAGATGAAACTGAGGAGGACGCTGTCGTTCAAAAGACTTGTGAAACAACATCGCGCGGAGGAAGTATTGGAGGGATTTTCAAGGAAGAAAGCGACTTGTCTGTAGATAATAGTAGTTTAGTGGCTTGAGAATCATCAAACAGGATCCCGTTGATAGGAGACGTCGAGAAGCAAATCAACAGCAGCATGAAATCACAGAAGCAGAAGGACCAAAGGGAAGGAGCGGTCGTCAGGTGCTAGTGAAGTGGTTACGTCAAAAACAGGGACTCTTGTGCAATTCCAGCTTACGTCTCATTTGTCAAGAGCAATCAATCTGTATTCTTTGTTATGAAGTGTCACTGTTTCCTCGTCACGTATTTAGGGCAAGTCCTCTACAAAGTGAGACAGTTTTGTAAAGAAATGTGTTCCATTCTCTTGTTTCGTCTTGATAAGCATCATTCGCTTTGGATTTGGAAATCTTGCAACTTTTTATCGTTCCTGAATCTCTTCCTACTTAAGTCCCGTGGAATTAGACTTTCCTTGCCGAATTTTTTTCCATGCGAAAATGCACATGGTGTAAGTTCTGCCGCCTTCTTCAACTATGTAAAATCTTCTATTAGACGTTTCTACCTTACTTCGTGTGCAAGTTCACGTTTTGTTCCAGACTTGTGTTGTATCTTTGGATACACGAGTCTCTTTCCGTCGTTCAAACCTGTCAAAGTTCAAACCATGTAGAGTAGGATGTGAGCCGATGTTTGACCAAGTGAAAGGACCTTCAGATGGAGAAGAAGAGCACAGGAAGTGGAAGCCTTGCTTGTTCAAGGATGTTGTTGTCTTAGAGCGGTTTGGAAGTGGTGGATGGAAGGGTTTTACATTCGGCGGATAAGAATAAAAATAAGATATTGGAGAGCTGAGGTAGATGGCATTCGCGCAATGCACCGGCATTGAGCGACAAACGAGCCAACTTCACATAACAGCAGTCTAGGCTGGACAACTCCATGGAGTTTGGAAGTTCTGAAGAGATGCAGACATTCCGAGATGGCCATGGATATGGGGCGTAATAAAGGTGAGAAGAGGAGTGTTGGAGTTTCAGATCTACGGGATGTTGTAGGTGCTAAGCGTCCTTGTATAAGTAGATGCACAGGTTTCCAATGTTGTGGATGACTACGTGCCATTAGTATGTCACCGGCAAGTATGATGCATCGAATCTCAAACATGTGTTCATACACGTTATTTTCAGTAGATAGAACTTGTTTTACCGTTCTCCAAGCAAAATGAAAAAGTCGTATCAATCTCATGCATCATGATTCCAACTTATCGATGCAGATCAGACCAGGCGAGGTCAAGTATGGTTACAGCTCATATATAACGGAGATAGTGAACTCACGGTGAAGGTCCTCTCACTATTGGACTCAGATGTAAGATGGAGCACTTGGAACTTTGAATCCCAGGTATCTTATCTGCACCATCTCTAACCTAAGCTTGCAACATTTGTAAGTGTTAGACAAAATTATTGCTTCTCCATTGCTGTCCTGCTCACCAGCTTTGTAGATTGCTCCACTGTTTGTGAACTGCCAGACCGTACCCGCTGGGTACACCACTGCTGAGCCCATACCTGAGACCTCCCTAGGAATACTGATAAAAGCAACGATTCTGATAGAGCTAATTGTTTATTGTTCAGCGATCCCCTCTGTACGAATGGGGTCTCCTTCGTCTTGGCACCGTTTTACTAGGAGCTGAGACTTGGATAAAGTGAACGATTCAAACTGAATCTGGGTTTGAAAGTTCCAGAAATTTGAAGACACCGGCAATGGTACACAATGCTTCGGTGGAAATTCAGTGAATGAATCCTCATGGGATCAATTTAACGTCAGCCTTGCAGAAGTTATATAAGAAATGAACGACAACGTTTGGTGAGAATATGAATCTCATCAACACTAATGTGCTTCAGCCAGTTGTAGAATGTTTTGGAATATATTGGGATTTAGGATTCCTGTCCTTGTGGTAAATATTCTTAGTAATATTCTAGTAAGTAGTAATATTCTTAGTCCGCTGGCTGGTTGGCCTCTTCAGAACAAGAAGTAAGTATACTTGATCTTTTTATCGCTTGATGTAAGAGGTCACCAAGTTATTATTATCGTGAAAGTGCTCATGTCGACAATAATTGGAACTTTGTTACAGACATCGTTCGGAAGACAAACAGTTATGAAGTGGAGACTTTGTTGATGTCCCTAATGTCTTGCAGGGACTAGGGCTGTGGGAAGAACTTGTAACAATTGAGAGTCACAATCAAACCTCACTTTTCTAACAAAAGTGGAGAAACAACAGGTGTCAGTTTCTACACAACGAACTGTTGTCATTTTCAGAGACTCATGACTTGTGACTTTTCGGAATTGTTCTCTATTGTTTTTGTTATTGTCTTTCATCAAAGAGAAACCCACAGGAGGTTCGCGCAGTTATTAGTTAGCGTAGAACATCTGATATTTTCTTGTGCCTAACAAACTTTACTTTCTCGATGCAGGAAGAGCCCCTTTGCAGTCCGAGTGCATGTAAAATGTATTGCAGATATCTACCGCCAAGTAGAAAATTAAGAGTGAATATCTTGTGCCGATGTGCAGTATGTCGTATTGCTCCAAGGTTGCTCCAAGGCAAAAGCCTGAAAGCCCCGCGAGTCAGCCTCCCATTCGACGCCATGTCGATGTAATTACTCCGTCCATTGTCCACTTGTGTTCAGGATAGTGTCTTCACTATATTACCTGCCGAGGAGGAATTTTGGAAGTTGAGTAGAGACTTACTATCATACCGTGTGCTGGATAATGTGAAGGTCTGATTATGACTTGGCTGCTGGTAATTGGATGATTCAGTCATCGTCTGGAGCAGACAGATTGGTCCACTGCCTGCCACGAGGACATCGGCACCTGGTTTTCCAGCATCAGAAGATCGTGAAGCAGTGGAAACCTCTGCGTACCGAACCGAGATCGCTGGAACAGTGGATGCGTCAAGCTTCAAGCTGTCGTGCATCTCCCTTGCCAGCTGCAGCTCTGCTCCGATCCTTATCAGCGTAATTTCTCATACTCGAGGTTCTATTTGCTACTTGGCGTGCGGAGCTATCGGGCCCCTGCGGAACTCCCGAGCTATAGGAGTTTCGAGACATCCAAGTGCATGGCATCGCCTATTACAAGCGATGGATGGGTGTACAGCCCCACAAACAGTTCCTGAGGCTTGAAGTCCTCTGCCGATCTGGATTTCAAGTTATCACGAGCTCTGTAGATTCAAACCTTGGATCCAACCTCTTTCTCTTCGACCAAGTGCTTAAGAATCTGTCGGTGTGGATCGGTTTCCATTACAAGTTTTACAATCAACGCAAATGATCAAGCGGAAATACTTGTAATAGCAGGCGAGGGGAGGAGCTACGGAGCTACCACTATCTATCTATTGCCCGGGCTCAGGATACGGAAATGATTTTAGGCTGATACTGAACTTTCAAGTCTAAACTCCAAGAATGACCAGAACAGTCTGAACTTTCTGGTTTGGTTCAGAACTTGATCCACATTTTGAAATGTTGCATCCATTGCAAGTGAAACCAAGTCAAGTAGCGGGGGTTATGGGATCAGCCCATCAACATCAAGGACGACATGGACATGGGTGTATGAAACCAAAGTGGTCAGATGGGGCTAGGCCTGAGCCCCATCTTACGTCTATGACAAATGGTGAGGCGCATGAAGCTTCATGCACAGCTCTTGACATCTTTCTGAGCCTTCCGACTGTTCGATGGAGTCAAGAGGTTCTCTTGGCATCATCGAGTTGCACGAGCTTCCAGATTCTCTTTATCCCGGGGAATAGTTTTGGCAGTGGCAGCTGATTCTCTCATGCATTTGCGCTCAGGAAAGACTTTTGTACATCATCAACTGTTCACTCGTCCAATATCCATGAAATTTGGAAGTATCTTCATTCATGGTGGTTTTCTTTATATCCCAAAATTTTTGGTTGTAGATGGGCTTTGAAGAAACTTTGTGAGTAAACATTAACCAGATTAAGATAGAAGAGATGTCAAACTTTAAGTATTATAAGAAGGTAGGGGTGAGTTAAGGGTTAACCCCTAATTAATCTTCACCTTACTATACACTTTAAGCTTTAGCCGGATCATGGTTAATCGTGCAGGATTGTTTGTGATTTAGGTACCACGAGGAACTACCCAAGTACTCGGGCCCGTTCTCCGGTGCCACCCCATTGTACTTGACTGGTGAGTTCCCCGTTGACTATGGTTGGAACACCACCTGAATATCTGCCGACACTGATCTGGTTTTGGTGCCACCCCATTGTACTTGACTGGTGAGTTCCCCGTGACTATGGTTGGAACACCACCGAACTCTCTGCCGACACCGATCTGGTTTGACCTTCGCCAAAAGCCGGTAGTTGGAGGTGATCCACGCCCGATGGACCATGTTGGGAGCTTTGGGATGTGTGACCCCTAAATTGTTAGCCAAGAACAGAGTGAAATTTAGCGAGGCAATCTGGTTCAGTCCTGATCGTAGATCTTCTCTGAGGGAGGTCTAGACTTCCTTGGCAGCTGTGGCCTCTCCTCTAGAGCATTCTGGCCATCTAGCCTGCCAAGTCTTGCCCATGGGAGCCGTCAAGGGATACAGAGTGGCAGGAGTATCCCTAGGAGAGGTGAACGTATCTCTCTACCTTGGTCAATTCGACACCTTGAATTTGGTTGAGGATCCCAACACCCTGAACTTGGTTGAGGAACCCGACACCTTTGCCGAGCTGAAGAACGGAAGGCTGGAGATGTTCTTAATGTTCGAATTCTCGTTCAAGCTATTGTCAACTGCAAGTATCCGATGGAGAACTTGTCGAACCACTTGGCTGATTTGTTAATTATCCATTATACTAGTATAGTAGGTTGAGGGATAATTAGCCATAACTTTGGTCAAAACATCAATTTGATTAAATTTATATTCTATTTTGACAAGTTCACTGGTTTTTTATCATAAATTTTACGTCTGATAAAATGAAACATGAGTATCCTAGGAGAGGTGATATTATCCCCTATCATTTTTATATTTTAGCGATGATATTATCTTGTGTACGACCATCAGATATATAAGATTGAATACAATTTGATAATAGTGAACACATGATAATTTTACTTTATCAATGACATTGAGTTACAAAAAATTTGAAATCTACTTCCAAAGTAGTGTATCATTCTTTAAATTTTTCTCTGTTAAATATATTTGCTCTTACTCAACCATAATATTTTTTTTCCAAATCTTTATGAATATTTCTTATATGTAATCTAATATTCAACTTTCTCAAGTTTTTATATGAATTTTCAATTGATTTTTGCATCTATCAACGCAATTTTAATTCTAAGACAAAATAAGTATATATATCAGGTTAAGTACTAGAATAATAAAGTTAAAATTTTTATTATTCATTACTTTCATTTTTATTATTTTCGGTTCAACCTCACATTCTGCCTTTCTACGAGCACTGTAGTGCTCTTTGGTGCCCCCAAGAAAGCAAGAAGGGCTGCGTTCCATCTTTTGGCCAGCTCGCCGCCTGCTTGATACCGAGTCGACAAATTTTTGGAGTTATTGTAAGCACGTCCTCGATCGCGCGCTTATCTGTGACCGATTTCCCGGTAGGAAAAGCTTTTGCTTCAATTAGCTGGAAAACTAATCTATGGGTTGATATTTATCTCGCTGCGTTCCCAATGAGCTATGGCTCCGGAGAGTGATATCTCAGAAGTCATATTTAGTATGCGTTGTAATGTGCTATTGTTGAGGGCAATAGTATTTGTGGTTTTATCTGATAAGATCATTTAAAATATTAATCCAGTGTTGAAATCCAGATATGCAGAAAGATATAGTAAGGATTAGGAGTTTATGAACGCTTACTTTGACATGTTTTTCATAAAGTGCGTAATAATTCTTCACATATAGCACTGTTTTTAATTGATGGCATATTTTAGAAAACATGAATTTATCCAGAACATCACAAGAAGATTATCCTAATCACAAAGTAAAAATCAATCGGTTTATTTTAGTTCATAGATATTGTAGGTCCATCAAAATACATCTACCATGTTGACATCTAGCCCCATGTAACATTTTATGGGTAATAGCACCATTTTAAATAAATCTACTTTGTTCTCTTATAACATTTCCGAGGTGAGTTGTGACAAACGCATCGTGTGATTCATTACAATAGTCAATGCCGGCACAAGAACAATGTTTGGGGCCACCACCTGGCCATCTGAGTCAGCTAGGACAATCAGGGCCATGTAGGTCCCACGTGGCACACACATAGCGCTATTATTCCCTGGGAAAAGAGAGTACACACAAAAGAGAAATTTACTCGATGGACCATCGGAACGCTGAATGTTTGATGGAACCCATTTTACCTGATGGGAACATCTACGGGTTATGTTATTGTAACTCCTTTGTTTTGAATTTAATGAACAAAATAATTTTTGTCAAGAGCATAATTTCTCACATCCCAAAATGATTTTAGAGTTATAATGTATAGGCATAATCCATTTAATCTGTGTTTTTTTTGCCAAAGTCACCAATATTGAAATCACTTTTAAACAGATAACAGCATTGCTTTTACTAACCCGGATTCAAAGCAATTACAAAAAATCCTAGTAGAATATAGGTGAAGGGTCCCGTCCCGTACAATATAACTTATTGGGTCCCATAAGACTTACCATTATGATGGGTCCATCAAGTAATTCTCTCCATAAATATGTGATTTGTAATAATTTAGCTAACAGCGGATGGTAATAGGCTCTTATAACACTCGTATTATCATCACGATTCTGCTTCAGAGTGCGAAAAAATTCTGTTACTGAATTGCAGCCCTCCGTCACATATTGCAGAATCCGGATCCAAGGAAATGGCCAAAATTGGAATCAACGGTGTGCTTCGAACGCCTCGTTGTTGTCGTTCTCTAAGTCATTCAGCGTCGTCTGCTTGAGATGGATGAATACTGTTGAATTGCATCTGTTCCGATTTCTTGAAATCAGTCGTTTCTCTGCGTAATGATGATGTTCTCCAGGTTTCGGAAGGACGGGAACACTTGTTTTACGAATTGCTCTGTCTAGGGATGATGTCGAAGTTGTCGCAGTCAACGACCCCTTCCTCACAGCTGACTACGTTGTAAGTATTCAAGACGAGCACAGTGTGGCTTCAGAAAGCATGCTCAATCAAACCTTGTATCGCCTCATTTGTTGCAGGGCAATTATCGTAGTGGCATTCATGATCACGGGAATTCGAAAAAGTGCTGCGCGTTTTCGATTTGTTTAATGCACTCTCCGATAATAACTTGCGCACCATTTGTGCGACCATTATGTGGTTTTGCTTGGACCTATGAATCCTAGTTTTTCCAGTCCCAATTGAACGCCCTGTTGATCCTCATGCACGTAGTGATTGCCTAATTATTCCACACATATTCAATATATTGAAAACCTGCAGGTTCTCCTCGCAGGTTGAACTACACTATCTTGAACTGTAAGGTGGAAGCTGGTGGAGATATGAATCAAACTCGATAGGTAAGGCGGGGCGTTCCTCCGATGGTTGATCAAATTGTTATCGGCTGTCGAATGCCAATTCTGACTCACATGACTTCATGTACGGAGTAAGTCCCGGAAGGCCTGGATGCTGAAGCGCGAGGTAATTTTAGCCAAACGCTTTCTCCAACGAGGTCAGTAGAAGGTAAAAGTTCTGCAAGGATTGACTTTCCCCAACAGTTTAAATGCTTGAGTTTCTTCCATAACATTGAGGCGTGGATGTCATAATTCAACAAGCTCTTGAATTACCAGATGCCTCAATCGAATGCCACTGAGTGTCACTAAAAGTCATAGACGGAGATTATCACTATAGAGATCGAAGGCGCGAAGTCACCATCCTGGACCCCGCATTCTCTGGAAGATCGACCCGCGAAATTGGGGAATCAGCGATATTCACATGATATTACTCCTCTTCCTAAACTGAAACCAGAAAAGAGAATCATCCGGTCCGAGACCCGAAGTACCAGGAAGTGAGCGGCGAACTCAAAAGGTCTGCGCTGTGCATGCTCTGATCGCATTTCATGCGCCTAATTTTGGAATCAGTCCTGTACTCTGTACTGTAGTGGACAGCCCTATACCGTAGTTTGAGGTGAATGTCCGAATCAGTGCCACGAAAGTCAACTGAGCGAATGAGCGAATGCTTTCTAGTTATCGAGACCGCTTTCGGTCTTCTTCGTGGACCGAAAGCGGGCTTGCAAGGGCCAGAAGAGGTCAGAGCAGTCTTCAGACCGGGTCCAAAGGCGGAATTTATTACAATCCCCATTGTCTGGGAGCAGCTGATCGTCGCGCCAGAAGTTCTACCTGCACCTGTCTCGTCACATGTCCAAGAAGAAGGCGAGCTGTGGATCGAAAGGCTGCGGATCTCGCAAGCAGACGGAGAGAACGAGGTTAGTCGATGTTCAGACGGGCCCCTGACCATCATCTTTGTTTTCCATTCGAGAAAGGTTGGTCTCAAGGTCGCGTCCGATTGGAAGAGAGGTTTTTCTCGAGGTGGAAGAGGAATTTTGGTTCCTGTTTCGTTGAGTGTGAAGTTTTGCTGATAATTCACGTCCGAAGTCGCCCGCTCGTCTTTTACACATATCTTTGGGTCGGGTCACAATTTAAGTTTACTGTGAACGCGCGGAGATCAGCTGCCATCGCAGCATAGCTGCGATGACAGCTCGTTGTGCCGTTTCATCGACTTCATTCTCTTGGGTTGATTTCTGTGGCTAGTGTTCTTATTTGCGTTACTTGAATTTGCGTGTATGCCTTCTGCAGTGTTGAAGTTCGGGGTTGTTCTCGCAGCCGGAATTCTTGGGAGAAACGTGCACTTCGAAATACGCACGAATGTGATCGTTACAGCGGACGAGAACATTCGTGGATGATGAGCTCGGGACCCCTTTGCTTCCACCGAAGAGCCATGCTCGAGAAGGAAGTGCTGGTATCAGCGTAAAAGTCCCCAGGCCGGGTAAACACCTCAAAACTCATTTGAATCAAACTTCATGCTTAAACTTTCGCGGGGAGTGATGGTGGGAAGCATCATGTGTGGTTGTGATCGATTTGCTCTCTATAAAGAATACGCCTGCTCTTGTATGAGTTGAAGAACATCTTAAACATGAGAAGTCGGTTGCAACTATAGAAGTTAACTACTGCATACTTGGACTTCAAGAAGAAGAATATTATAGGTTCGTCATGTGCTGGAACTGGTCTAGATTCATTGATCATACTTGTCCTTGTTTGAGTTTGAAAAAGACTTGAAATTCTAAAGTTGGTAGATTTATGGTGTCGAATTCAGAGTACTGCTTGCTTGAAATCTAGGATGATTATTCTTTCAGGCTCGTCGTTTCTTGTGAAGTGAAGTTTGTGTAATTTTTTGTGATATGAGACTAACTGGAACTGAAACTGAAACATGTGTGCTATGCGGTAGGTGATGTACATCTGCATTGAAGGCAACATGCTTCTAACCTTGAGAAAAGTCACAAGTAAACTCCCTGTTTAAATGTGTGTTTTTGTATTCTTATTTACCTCTGAATTCGTGATTACTCGACTGCAATCATTACCAAGAGGGATTGTCATTCCTGCTCTATTATATACATTACCCCTCTCTCTCTGCTGGTGTTCTTCAGTCCATCTATGTATGATGTTTGTTACTTTTCCCACGGAGGTCATCTCTATCTCAATCTCGGTGGATGGGTTGATAGACGAAACCAATAATGTCAAACTTCTGTGTTAGAAGTGCCATCTCTCGTTCTTTAAATTTTGCATCTTTCAGTTTCAGTTCTGAGAGCTTCTGGTGTGTTTCCAATAATACGAGCAGCCATAGAATGGTAAACTACCTTGTCTGAAGTTTGTTCTGACGGCGACAATGTCATAAATATAGCCACAGTTTATTCTTCAAGAAGTTCGATTCGTTAGTACTGAACTCAAATTTTGAGTTTCATAGTGGATCATGAAAGCTCCAACACTGGACACAATACATCGTGTCAAGTTCTTCCTGTTTTTGTTACTTGTCTAAACGTCTGCTCGTCAATTCTGTCAGCTGTGAAAATCCAGCGCATCAATGTTCCGTTCAACACACTACAGCCACGGCCATGGAAGAGTTGTGAAAAGAACTGGACCGACTGTCTGGAGTGTCAGCGGAGGAGGAGCTAAAAATTGCAAAATTTTTTGGATGTCCCAGTACCCTGGAAGCCTTGGTCTCTTGGTTGGAACTGTTTACATTACACTGCGAGATGGGGTCATTACGATGTCTCAGAGTTACTAGTCAATGCTTGTGCAGAACTCATAAATACTCAAACAAGAAGGTCAGTAAAGAAAAAAACTATAAATGGCCCCTCAGAGGTGAAAGGTACAACCGCAATAATGTTTGCTAGTCAGTTTGGGCATGTGGAAGTTCTAAAAACCTAATTAAAATACAAGGCATATGTGACGCTGTGCAGTGAAGACGGATGGAACTGTTTACACTTTGCTGCAAGATATGGTCGTTCTGATGTGCTAAGGTTGATTCTTGACGTTCGTGCCGACATTGTCGATAGTGGTTCAGTGCCGAGTTATTCGTCTGAAAGGGTAACCAAATCAGCGCTGATGCTAGCTTGTCAATATGGACATTCGGGAGTGGTGAGCAGTTTGTTGGAACATAAAGCCAATGTGATGCTGTACAGTGAAGCATGATGGAATTGTTTCCACTATGCTGCAACATGGGGTCATTTTGAGGTGTCAAAGTTGATAACTGAAGCTTGTGTAGAAATCATAAATGATGGAACAATAAGGAGTAAAGGCACAGCCGATTTAGAATATATCAACTCAAATAAAACACCATTGATGTTGGCTTGTCGGTACGGACATGAACTAGTTGTAGAACTTTTGTTAGAACACAAGGCGAATGTGAGGATGAGGACTGAGTTGGGATGGAATAGTCTGCACTATGCTGGAAGATGGGGTCATTTTGGGGTGTCGAGATTGATTATTAAAGCGTGTGCAGAAATAATTAATGATCGTACAGAGAACGGCAATCTGGGTGTGGTTAGAACAACATTGATGTTGGCTTGTCAGTATGGATATGAGGATGTTGTAAAGCTTCTACTGGAACACAAGGCTGATGTGATGATTTTCAGTGACTATGGATGGAACTGTTTCCACTATGCTGCAAGATGGGGTCGTTTTGAGGTGTCAAAGTTGATAATTGAATCTTGTGTAGTTATCATAAACATAGGGACTCTCGGTGGTGATATTATTAATAATAGTAGTAGCAGTAGTAGTACTCCTCAAAGATCAACTCCTGTTGTGAATGTCAAGAATAAAACTGGACTTATGCTGGCATGTGAGAACGGACATGAGCAAGTTGTAAGGCTTTTATTAGCTCATAAGGCCGATGTGATGGTATACAGCGAAACTGGATGGAATTGTTTTCACTATGCTGCGGAAAGTGGTCATTCTGAGGTGTCAAGTTTGTTAATTGAAGAATTTCCACAGCTCAGAGACAGTACTATCAGAGGTGCCGCCAACTGCCCACCGTATGATTCCGGCAAAACAGCATTGATGCTAGCTTCGCAATTTGGGAAGGTGGAAGTGGTGAGGACTTTGTTCTCTCACAAAGCGGACGTAATGCTTCGTAGTGAAGAAGGATGCGATGTTTTGCTATATGCTGCAAGATCAGATGATTTAAAAGTGTTGGAGTTGATTATTGAAGCGGTTGTAATATCTGTTGTCGATGCGAGTTCGCTATGGTGGCAAAGGACATTAATTTGGGCATCAGAAATAGGTCACCTGAGTGTTGTAGGCATGCTGCTGAAATACAAGATAGATGTGACGCTCCAATTTGGAGATGGGCACAACTGTCTTCATCTCGCTGCCAAAAATGGTCATTTTGAGTTCTTGGAGGCGATTCTTGCGAAGGATACTGAAGGTTTCGTGAATAGTACAACAAGCGCAGGTGAAACAGCATTGATGTTAGCAGCTCAGAAAGGAGACGTGGAAGTTGCAAAGATTTTGCTAAAATACAAGGCAAGTGTGCTCGGGTGCGATGAATATGGTTGGAATTGTCTACACTTTGCTGCGTCGAAGGGTAACGCAAAGTTGATGCTCGAGATTCTCAACCATCCTGATCTGGAGAAGCTAGTAGATAGTAAAACAAAAGCAGGCCGTACTGCCTTGATACTTGCTGCTGAGAATGGATATGCAGATGTTGTTAAGCTTCTTATACATAAGAACTGTAATGAACTCCTTTGCGATGATGAAGGATTCAGTTGCTTGCATGTGGCTGCAAAGCATGGTCATCGTGAGGTCCTGAGTCACCTTCTTTCGGAAGAAGGTGATGAAGATTATTGGGATAAGGAATGCTTGTGGGTAGGAGACATAGAGAGTAAGGTTCGTAGGTTGGATCCAAAAAATCTCCTTCTTACGTCCAAACGTCTGAAACTTATGGAGGTAAGAAGCTGCTTCGAGCAGCCTGTTGGCACTCCACATGGCGGCTGGCATTAGCCACCGTACTGCGATAGTTGCGTTTTTTAAGAGAACGTATTACACTTTAGCTCTTAGGTCTAGACGTTTCCTGCTGGATCCTGTGACCACGTTCATTTGTTACGAAGCCCAATCATTATATATTTTCAACCTGAGAGTTGACAATTTCTTTTATGGGAGCGCTTTCTCTGCTACAATAATTCGTTGTTAATTACTTCATTCCAATGGATTACTTCAGATCAACCCACGTTAGAACAGTTCAAAATCGGCCTCTGATAACTCTAAGTATTGTGGATTCTGGGTTATAACGAAGATGAATTTGACACTGATGACGATACTCTTATATATATATATATATCTATATCGGTGGGGTTAGAGACTTTATATCTCAATACAAATACTTTTGTAGAGTATCGAGATCAGAGCGGAGTGAAATTTAGCATCTCAATCTTACAAATTAAAATTTGCATAATATTGTACAATATAATATTAAACTCAAAAATATTTTATGGTAAATAGTATATCTAACCCTATTCTCATGAGCTAGTTTCTCCAGACTCCTGACCCTAAAATTCTAGTGCTCGATAGGCTCAAACAGCCAGCGAATAATGAAAAGCAATGTGTCCGAATCCGGACAGGCTGCCCCGATTTCGGCTCACAGGTCTTACTCCTCCGGGTCTCCAGGCAGCCATTAATTCGGTTCGAACTCCTATTCTGCCTTTCTACGAGCACTGTTGTGCTCTTTGGTGCCCCCAAGCAAGCAAGAAGGGTCGTGTTTGGTCTTTTGGCCAGCTCGCCTTGCTTGAATACCAGAGTCGAAAATTTTGAGAGTTATTGTAAGCACGTCCTCGATCGCGCGCTGATCTGTGGCCGATTTCCCGGTAGGAAAACCTTTTGCTCAAATTAGCTGGAAAACTAATCTATGGGCTGATATTTATCTCGCTGCGTTCCCAATGTGCTAGGGCTCCGGAGAGAGGTATCTCAAATGTCATATTTAGTATGCATTGTAATGGGCTATTGTTGAGGGCAGAAGTATTTGTGGTTTTATATGATTAGATCATTTAAAATATTATTCCACTGTTGAAATCGAGATATGCAGAAAGATAAAATATGGAATAGGGGTTTATGAACGCTTACTTTCACATGGAACAATAAGGAGTAAAGGCTCAGCCGATTTCGAAAATATGGACTCAAATTTAACACCATTGATGGTCACTTGTCAGTACGGACATGAACGAATTGTAGAGCTTCTGTTAAAGCACAAGGCGGATGTGAGGACGAGGACTGAGTTGGGATGGAATTGTCTGCACTATGCTGGAAGATGGGGTCATTTTGAGGTGTCGAGATTGATAATCAAAGCGTGCGCAGAAATGATTAATGATCGTACAGAGAACGGCAATCTGGGTGGGGGTAGAACAACATTGATGGTGGCTTGTGAGGATGGACATGAGGATGTTGTAAAGCTTCTGCTGGAACACAAGGCTGATGTGATGATTTTCAGTCACTCTGGATTGAACTGTTTACACTATGCTGCAGGAAATGGTCATTTTGAGGTGTCAAAGTTGATAATTGAAGAATTTCCACAACTCAGAGACAGTACTACCGCCAAGGGCCAACAGTATAGTTCCGGCATAACAGCATTGATGCTGGCGAGTGAATCTGGACATCATGATGTCGTAAAGTTGTTGTTAGAACACAAAGCCAGTGTGATGATGACCAGCGAAGCAGGATGGAATTGTTTACACTATGCCGCAGGAAATGGTCATTTTGAGGTGTCAAAGTTGATAATTGAAGAATTTCCACAATTCAGAGACAGTACTACCGCCAAGGGCCAACAGTATAGTTCCGGCATAACAGCATTGATGCCGGCGAGTGAATCTGGACATCATGATGTCGTAAAGTTGCTGTTAGAACACAAAGCCAGTGTGATGATGACCAGCGAAGCAGGATGGAATTGTTTACACTATGCCGCAGGAAATGGTCATTTTGAGGTGTCGAGATTGATAATCAAAGCGTGTGCAGGAATGATTAATGATCGTAATCCGCGTGTGGTCATAACAACATTGATGTTGGCTTGTGAGAAAGGACATGAGGATGTTGTAAAGCTTCTGCTGGAACACAAGGCTGATGTGATGATTTTCAGTGACTCTGGATTGAACTGTTTACACTATGCCGCAAGTTTGGGTCATTTTGAGGTGTCAACGTTGATACTTGAAGCTTGTCCAGAAATCATAAATTATGGAACAATAAGGAGTAAAGGCTCAGCCGATTTAGAAATTATGGACTCAAATTTAACACCATTGATGTGGGCTTGTGAGAAAGGACATGAGGATGTTGTAAAGCTTCTGCTGGAACACAAGGCTGATGTGATGATTTTCAGTGACTCTTGATTGAACTGTTTACACTATGCCGCAAGATCGGGTCATTTTGAGGTGTCAAAGTTGATACTTGAAGCTTGTCCAGAAATCATAAATTATGGAACGATAAGGAGTAAAGGCTCAGCCGATGTAGAACATATGGACTCAAATTTAACACCATTGATGTTGGCTTGTCAGTACGGACATGACAGAATTGTAGAGCTTTGGTTAAAACACAAGGCGGATGTGAGGATGAGGACTGAGTTGGGATGGAATTGTCTGCACCATGCTGGAAGATGGGGTCATTTTGAGGTGTCGAGATTGATAATCAAAGCGTGCGCAGAAATGATTAATGATCGTACAGAGAACGGCAATCTGGGTGGGGGTAGAACAACATTGATGTGGGCTTGCCAGAATGGACATGAGGATGTCGTAAAGTTGTTGTTAGAACACAAAGCCAGTGTGATGATGACCAGCGAAGAAGGATGGAACTGTTTACACTATGCTGCAATAAACGGCCACCACGAGGTTTCAAGTTTGATAATTGAATCTTGTCGCAATGTAATTGATTCTGCAATCCGAGGTAAAGAAAGTCTATCCTCCATGTTGGGGTTGACATCTTTGATGCTGGCGAGTATATTAGGACATCATGATGTCGTAAAGTTGTTGTTAGAACACAAAGCCAGTGTGATGATGACCAGCGAAGAAGGATGGAATTGTTTACACTATGCCGCAAGATCGGGTCATTTTGAGGTGTCAAAGTTGATACATGAAGCTTGTCCAGAAATCATAAAGTATGGAACAATAAGGAGTAAAGGCTCAGCCGATTTAGAATATATGGACTCAAATTTAACACCATTGATGTTGGCTTGTCGGGACGGACATGAACGAATTGTAGAGCTTTTGGTAAAACACAAGGCGGATGTGAGGATGAGGACTGAGTTGGGATGGAATTGTCTGCACTATGCAGGAAGATGTGGTCATTTTGAGGTGTCGAGATTGATAATCAAAGCGTGCGCAGAAATGATTAATGATCGTACAGAGAATGGCAATCTGGGTGGGGGTAGATCAACATTGATGGTGGCTTGTGAGAATGGATATGAGGATGTTGTAAAGCTTCTGCTGGAACACAAGGCTGATGTGATGATTTTCAGTGACTATGGATGGAACTGTTTCCACTATGCTGCAGGAAATGGTCATTTTGAGGTGTCAAAGTTGATACTTGAAGCTTGTCCAGAGATCAAAAACAGAGGGACTCTGGGTGGTGATATTATTAATAGTAGAAGTAGCAGTAGTAGTACTCCTCAAAGATCAACTCCTGTTGTGAATGTCAAGAATAAAACTGGACTTATGCTGGCATGTGAGAACGGACATGAGCAAGTTGTAAGGCTTTTATTAGCTCATAAGGCCGATGTGATGGTATACAGCGAAACTGGATGGAATTGTTTGCACTATGCTGCGGAAAGTGGTCATTCTGAGGTGTCAAGTTTGTCAATTGAAGAATTTCCACAGCTCAGAGACAGTACTACCAGATGTGCCGCCAAATGTACACCATATTGCAGATTTTCCGGCAGAACAGCATTGATGCTGGCGAGTGAATCTGGACATCATGATGTCGTAAAGTTGTTGTTCGAACACAAAGCCAGTGTGATGATGACCAGCGAAGAAGGATGGAACTGTTTACACTATGCTGCAATGAGCGGCCACCATGAGGTTTCAAGTTTGATAATTGAATCTTGTCGCAATGTAATTGATTCTGCAATCCGAGGTAAAGAAAGTCTATCCTCCCAGCTTACATCTTTAATGATAGCGAGTTATTTTGGACATCATGATGACGTAAAGTTTTTAGAACACAGAGCCACATATGAACGTCTATCCTCCATGTCGGGGTTGACATCTTTGATGCATGCGAGTTATTTTGGACATCATGATGTAGTAAAGTTGTTGTTTGAACACAAAGCCAGTGTGATGTTGACCAGCGAAGCAGGATGGAATTGTTTACACTATGCTGCAAGATCGGGTCATTTTGAGGTGTCAAAATTGATACTTGAAGCTTGTCCAGAAATCATAAATTATGGAACAATAAGGAGTAAAGGCTCAGCCGATTTAGAAAATATGGACTCAACTTTAACACCATTGATGGTCGCTTGTCAGGACGGACATGAAAGAATTGAAGAGCTTTTGTTAAAACACAAGGCGGATGTGAGGATGAGGACTGAGTTGGGATGGAATTGTCTGCACTATGCTGGAAGATGGGGTCATTTTGAGGTGTCGAGATTGATAATCAAAGCGTGCGCAGAAATGATAAATGATCGTACAGAGAACGGCAATCTGGGTGAGGTCAGAATAACATTGATGTTGGCTTGTGAGAATGGACATGACGATGTTGTAAAGCTTCTGCTGGAACACAAGGCTGATGTGATGATTTTCAGTGACTCTGGATTGAATTGTTTACACTATGCTGCAGGAAATGGTCATTTTGAGGTGTCAAAGTTGATACTTGAAGCTTGTCCAGAAATCATAAACAGAGGGACTCTGGGTGGTGATATTATTTATAGTAGAAGTAGCAGTATTAGTATTCCTCAAAGATCAACTCCTGTTGTGAATGTCAACAATAAAACTGGACTTATGCTGGCATGTCAGTCCGGACATGAGCAAGTTGTAAGGCTTTTATTAGCTCATAAGGCCGATGTGATGGTATACTGCGAAAATGGACGGAACTGTTTGCACTATGCTGCAGAAAGGGGTCATTCTGAGGTGTCAAGTTTGTTAATTCAAGAATTTCCACAACTCAGAGACAGTACTACCAGAGGTGCCGCCAAATGCCCACCGAATGATTCCGGCAAAACAGCATTGATGCTAGCTTCGCAATATGGATAGGTGGAAGTGGTGAGGACTTTGCTCTCTCACAAAGCAGACGTAATGCTTCGTAGTGAAGAAGGATGTGATGTTTTGCTATATGCTGCAAGATCAGATGATTTAAAAGTGTTGGAGTTGATTATTGAAGCGGTTGTAAAATCTGTTGTCGACGCGAATTCGCCATGGTGGCAAAGGACATTAATATGGGCATCAGAAATAGGTCACCTGAGTGTTGTAGGCATGCTGCTGAAATACAAGATAGATGTGACGCTCCAAAATGGAGATGGGCACAACTGTCTTCATCTCGCTGCCAAAAATGGTCATTTTGAGTTCTTGGAGGCGATTCTTGCGAAGGATACTGAAGGTTTCGTGAATAGTACAACAAGCGCGGGTGAAACATCATTAATGTTAGCAGCTCAGAAAGGAGACGTGGAAGTTGCAAAGATTTGGCTAAAATACAAGGCAAGTGTGCTCGAGTGCGATGAAAATGGTTGGAATTGTCTACACTTTGCTGCGTCGAAGGGTAACGCAAAGGTGATGCTCGAGATTCTCAACCATCCTGATCTGGAGAAGCTAGTAGATAGTAAAACAAAAGCAGGCCGCACTGCCTTGATACTTGCTGCTGAGAATGGATATGCAGATGTTGTTAAGCTTCTTATACATAAGAACTGTAATGAACTCCTTTGCGATGATGAAGGATTCAGTTGCTTGCATGTGGCTGCAAAGCATGGTCATCGTGAGGTCCTGAGTCACCTTCTTTCGGAAGAAGGTGACGAAGATTACTGGGATAGGGAATGCTTGTGGGTAGGAGACATAGAGAGTAAGATTCGTAGGTTGGATCCAAACAGTGTCCTTCTTACGTCCAAACGTCTGAAACTTATGGAGGTAAGAAGCTGCTTCGAGCAGCTCACAGCCCTCCACATGGCTGGCATTAGCCACCGTACTGCGATAGTTTCGTTTTTGGAGAGAACGTATTTCACTTTAGCTCTTAGGTCTAGACGTTTCCTGCTGGGTCCTGTGACCACGTTCATTTGTTACGAAGCCCAATCATTATATATTTTCAACCTGATAGTTGACAATTTCTTTTATGGGAGCGCTTTCTCTGCTACAATAGTTCGTTGTCAATTACTTCATTCCAATGGGTTACTTCAGATCAACCCACGTTAGAACAGTTCAAAATCGGCCTCTGATAACTCTAAGTACTGTGAATTCTAGGTTACAACGAAGATGAATTTGACACTGATGACGATACTCTGATATATATATATATATATACCGGTGGGGTTAGAGAACTATATCGCAATACAAATACTTTTGTAGAGTATCGAGATCAGAGCGGAGTGAAATTTAGCATCTCAATCTTACAAATTAAAATTTGCATAATATTGTACAATATAATATTAAACTCAAAAATATTTTATGGTAAATAGTATATCTAACCCTATTCTCATGAGCTAGTTTCTCCAGACTCCTGACCCTAAAATTCTAGTGCTCGATAGGCTCAAACAGCCAGCGAATAATGAAAAGCAATGTGTCCGAATCCGGACAGGCTGCCCCGATTTCGGCTCACAGGTCTTACTCCTCCGGGTCTCCAGGCAGCCATTAATTCGGTTCGAACTCCTATTCTGCCTTTCTACGAGCACTGTTGTGCTCTTTGGTGCCCCCAAGCAAGCAAGAAGGGTCGTGTTTGGTCTTTTGGCCAGCTCGCCTTGCTTGAATACCAGAGTCGAAAATTTTGAGAGTTATTGTAAGCACGTCCTCGATCGCGCGCTGATCTGTGGCCGATTTCCCGGTAGGAAAACCTTTTGCTCAAATTAGCTGGAAAACTAATCTATGGGCTGATATTTATCTCGCTGCGTTCCCAATGTGCTAGGGCTCCGGAGAGAGGAATCTCAAATGTCATAACCACAAATACTAAAGTATTTGTGGTTTTATATGATTAGATCATTTAAAATATTATTCCACTGTTGAAATCGAGATATGCAGAAAGATATAATATGGAATAGGGGTTTATGAACGCTTACTTTCACATGTTTTCCACAAAGTACGTTATAATCCCCCACATATAGCACTGATTTTAATTTATGGCATAATATAGAAAACAGGAATTTTTTCAGAATATCACAAAAAGGTTATCCTAATCATGAAGAAAAAATCAGTCGGTTTAGTTCCATCAAAATTCATTTACCCTGTTGACGTCTAATCCCATGTAACATTGAGATATTTGTTTGATGAGATTTCATTTAAACATAAATTGATTGATGGGATCCATCAAATTTTAATTTACACGATGTGATACCACAAACGGCCCACGTCACACTGTTATCTGTTCATAGTAGAACAGATAACGGTGATTTGCCGAACAAACCGAATAGCTGCACAATTTGCAAAAGCAAATGGTGAAGCCTTGTGTACCGTTAGTGCCAAGTGGTTGAATCCGATGTGTTTGAGCGGTGGCGAATAAAATTGCCGGGAGCATCGCTGTGAAAGGAAGCAAATCTTAATGATGTATCCTACACATTGTTCTACTTTCGGATCGGTTACTCGTGAAGACCGCTCTGTTTAAACTCTAGTGGCACGCGACATAAACCATCGTGAAAACACAAATTAGAATATATTTATACAAGAATACATGTTTACAAGAATAACTATTAGAACATATTATTACAAAAACGCATATTAGAACTTATTTGTACAAGAACATAATCGTACTATAACATCTATCAGAATTCAACGACATCACACCGTCCTTGATTAAATGGAACTTGATTGTTATACTCAATCAATTTACGTTTGGTTGGGTCTAGCAAATACCTCTGTAACCTTTTATGGTTGATAGAACCAATTTAAATAAATCTACTTTGTTCTCTTAGTACATTTCCGAGGTGAGTTGTGATAAACGCACCGTGTGAGTCATTACAATAGTCAATCCTGGCACAAGAACAATGTTTAGACCACAACCTGGCCATCTGAGTCCGCTAAGACAATGAGGGCCACGTAGGTCCCACGTGGCACGCACAGAGCCCTATAATTCTCCGGGAAAAGAGAAAACACATAAATATCGAGAAATTTACTTGATGGATCCAATACGTTGCATTTTACTATATGGGTCACCGTCAGTTTTGGTCTTGTAGTTGTTTTGTTTTCACTTCAATGGAAAAAGGAAATTACTTCCCATGGAATTTCTTCCGAATTTGGGCTCTTGCCCAAATTCTCACGTCCCAAAATGATTCAACATGTATGGGCATAATCTACTTACTCCTCTTGGAAACAGTCCTGTACCGTAGCGTGAATATCCGAATCAGTGGCACGAAAGTCAACTGAGCGAATGCTTTCTAGATATCGAGACCGCCGTCGGTCCTCTTCGTGCAAGGGCCAGAAGAGGTCAGAGCATTTTTCAGACCGGGTCCAAATGCGGAATTTAGCAGGAAGTGAGCGGCGAGCTCAAAAGCTCTGCGCTGTGCACGCAGCTGCGGCCGGGAGGACTTCGTCTCAGCACATCTCATGCGCCTAATCTTGGAATCAGTACTGTACTCTGTACTCTAGTGGACAGTCCTGTACCGTAGCTTCAGGTGAATGTCCGAATCAGTGCCACGAAAGTCAACTGAGCGAATGCTTTCTAGATATCGAGACCGCCGTCGGTCCTCTTCGTGTACCGAAAGCGGGCATGCAAGGGCCAGAAGAGGTCAGAGCATTCTTCAGATCGGGTCCAAACGCGGAATTGATTACAATCCGCGTAGTCTGGGAGCAGCCTGATCGTCGTGCCAGAAGTTCTACCTGCACCGGTCTCGTCACATGTCCAAGAAGAAGGTGAGCAGTGGATCGAAAGGCTGCGGATCTCGCAAGCAGACGGAGAGATCGAGGTTAGTCGATGTTCAAACGGCGATTGACCATCATCTTCGTTTTCCAGTCGAAAAAGGTTGGTCTGAAGGCCGCGTCCGATTGGAAGAGAGGTTTTTCTCGAGGTGGAAGAGGAATTTTGGTTCCTGTTTCGTTGAGTGTGAAGTTTTGCTGATAATTCACGTCCGAAGTCGCCCGCTCGTCTTTAACACATATCTTTGGGTCGGGTCACAATTTAAGTTTACTGTGAACGCGCGGAGATCAGCTGCCATCGCAGCGATGCTGCGATGACAGCTCGTTGTGCCGGTTTCATGGACTTCATCCTCTTGGGTTGATTTCTGTGGCGAGTGTTCTTATTTGCGTTACTTGAATTTGCGTGTATGCCTTCTGCAGTGTTGAAGTTCGGGGTTGTTCTCGCAGCCGGAATTCTTGTGAGAAACGTGCACTTCGAAATACGCACGAATGTGATCGTTACAGCGGACGAGAACATTCGTGGATGATGAGCTGGGGATCCCTTTGTTTCCACCGAAGAGCCGTGCTCGAGAAGGAAGTGCTGGTGTCAGCGTAAAAGTCTCCAGGCCTCCGGGTAAACACCTCAAAACTCATTTGAATCAACCTTCATGCTTAAACTTTCGCGGGGAGTGATTATGGGAAGCATCGTGTGTGGTTGTGATCGATTTGCTCTCTATAAAGAATACTCCGGCTCTTGTGTGAGTTGAAGAGCACCTTCAACATGAAAAGTCGGCAATGCAACTATAGAAGTCAACTAGTGCATTCGTGGACTTCAGGAAGGTGAATATTGTAGGTTCGTCATGTGCTTTGGGCCTGGTCTAGATTCATCGATCACACTTGTCCTTGTTATGTTACTGTAAGCCCGCGAAAACATTTGTGAGGCCAGTTAGGAAATCAGGGGAGTTGAAAAAGACTTGAAATTCTAAAAGTTGGTAGATTTCTGGTGTCGAATTCAGAGTACTGCGTAAGAAGTTCGACTCGTTAGTGCTGAACTAAAATTTGAGTCTCATAGTGGATCATGAAAGCTCCAACACTGGACAACATACATCGTGTCAAGTTCTGCCTGTTGTTGTTACTTGTCTAATCGTCTGCTCGTCAACTCTGTCAGTTGTGAAAATCCAGCGCATCAACGATCTATTCAACACACTACAACCACGGTCATGGAAGAGTTCGGAAAAGAACTGGACCCACTGTCTGGAGTGTCAGGGAAGGAAGAGCTAAGAATTTTGCAATTTTTTGGAAGTCCCAGTACCCTGGAAGCCTTGGTCTCTCCTCTTTCAGGTCTCGACATAAATGCTGCTAAATATGATTTCCTGACGCTGTTATCCTCACGACCAAATATTGTCAATACGAATGAGGAGTACGAGACACGGCGCACAGCTCTAATGGTCGCTTCAAGTACTGGATATACCAAAGCGGTGGAGCTTCTGATCCATCATAAAGCAGATATATTTATAATTGATGCTGAAGGTTTAAGTTGCTTGCACCTCGCTGTCGCGGGAGGTCACTTGGATGTTGTCCGGGTATTACTCAACACAATGGAGGTAATCATGACAGCAAAAGACACAGCTCCTGTGAGGCAAGATTTTATACACACCACGGGCCAAATGAACACGAGCCAGAAATAAGCACAACTTAGAATAGCTACTTTGGAGTGACATCTTTGTATGCTGGAAATTCTGTGAATGAAGAGAAATGCAATTTTTCTAAAAGGAAACATGTAAGAGGACCTTAGTGGATTTATTCTAATCTGTTTTAACCATTTTCATATTTAGGCTTCCTACTCCACTCGAACTTTCGTAGATTTGGAGACTACAGAAGGAGACACGGCCTTGATGCTTGCATGCAAGGAAGGACACTTGGAGATTTCAAAGTTGCTGATAGAGAAAAATGCAAATATGGAAGTTTCAGCGCACGGATGGAACTGTTTACACTTTTCTGCAAGATACGGCCACCACGAGGTTTCATTTTTGATGCTTGAATCTTGTCGCAATCTAATTGATTCTGCAATTCGAGGTAAAGAAAGCCTATCCTCCATGTTGGGGTTTACTTCTTTGATGCTGGCGAGTAAATTTGGACATCATGATGTCGTAAAGTTGTTGTTAGAACACAAAGCCAGTGTGATGATGACCAGCAAAGAAGGATGGAATTGTTTACACTATGCCGCAAGATGGGGTCATTTTGAAGTGTCAAAGTTGATACTTGAAGCTTGTCCAAAAATCATAAATTATGGAACAATAAGGAGTAAAGGCTCAGCCGATGTAGAACATATGGACTCAAATTTAACACCATTGATGTTGGCTTGTCAGTACGGACATGAAAGAATTGTAGAGCTTTTGTTAGAACACAAGGCGGATGTGAGGATGAGGACTGAGTTGGGATGGAATTGTCTGCACTATGCTGGAAGATGGGGTCATTTTGAGGTGTCGAGATTGATAATCAAAGCGTGCGCAGAAATGATTAATGATCGTACAGAGAACGGCAATCTGGGTGAGGTCAGAACAACATTGATGTTGGCTTGTGAGAATGGACATGAGGATGTTGTAAAGCTTCTGCTGGAACACAAGGCTGATGTGATGATTTTCAGTGACTTTGGATGGAACTGTTTCCACTATGCTGCAAGATGGGGTGGTTTTGAGGTGTCAAAGTTGATAATTGAAGCTTGTGTAGTTATCATAAACATAGGTACTTTGGGGACTAATAGTAGTAGTAGTAGTAGAAGCAGCAGTAGTAGTGTTCTTCAAGGATCTACTCCTGATAAAAATGTGATGAATGAAACTGGACTTATGCTGGCATGTGAGTCCGGAAATGAGCAAGTTGTAAGGCTTTTATTAGCTCATAAGGCCGATGTGATGGTATACAGCGAATGTGGACGGAACTGTTTGCACTATGCTGCAAGATGGGGTCATTCTGAGGTGTCAAGTTTGTTAATTCAAGAATTTCCACAACTCAGAGACAGTACTATCAGAGGTGCCGCCAAGTGCCCACCGAATGATTGCGGCAAAACAGCATTGATGCTGGCGAGTCAATTTGGACATGATGATGTCGTTAAGTCGTTGTTAGAACACAAAGCCAGTGTGCTGATGACCAGCGAAGCAGGATTGAATTGTTTACACTATGCCGCAAGATGGGGTCATTTTGAGGTGTCAAAGTTGATAATTGAAGCTTGTCCAGAAATCATAAATGATGGAACAATGAGGACTAAAATCACAGCCGATTTAGAGTTTGACGTCTCAAATGAAACACCATTGATGTTGGCTTGTTTGTATGGACATGAGGATGTTGTAAAGCTTCTGCTGGAACACAAGGCTGATGTGATGGTATACAGCGAAAGTGGACGGAACTGTTTGCACTATGCTGCGGAAAGTGGTCATTCTGAGGTGTCAAGTTTGTTAATTCAAGAATTTCCACAACTCAGAGACAGTACTATCAGAGGTGCCGCCAAGTGCCCACCGAATGATTGCGGCAAAACAGCATTGATGCTGGCGAGTCAATCTGGACATCATGATGTCGTTAAGTCGTTGTTAGAACACAAAGCCAGTGTGATGATGACCAGCGAAGCAGGATTGAATTGTTTACACTATGCCGCAAGATCGGGTCATTTTGAGGTGTCAAAGTTGATACTTGAAGCTTGTCCAGAAATCATAAATGATGGAACAATGAGGACTAAAATCACAGCCGATTTAGAGTATGACGTCTCAAATGAAACACCATTGATGTTGGCTTGTTTGTATGGACATGAGGATGTTGTAAAGCTTCTGCTGGAACACAAGGCTGATGTGATGGTATACAGCGAAAGTGGACGGAACTGTTTGCACTATGCTGCAAGATGGGGTCATTCTGAGGTGTCAAGTTTGTTAATTCAAGAATTTCCACAACTCAGAGACAGTACTATCAGAGGTGCCGCCAAGTGCCCACCGAATGATTGCGGCAAAACAGCATTGATGCTGGCGAGTCAATCTGGACATCATGATGTCGTTAAGTCGTTGTTAGAACACAAAGCCAGTGTGATGATGACCAGCGAAGCAGGATTGAATTGTTTACACTATGCCGCAAGATCGGGTCATTTTGAGGTGTCAAAGTTGATACTTGAAGCTTGTCCAGAAATCATAAATTATGGAACAATAAGGAGTAAAGGCTCAGACGATTTAGAATATATGGACTCAAATTTAACACCATTGATGTTGGCTTGTCGGGACGGACATGAACGAATTGTAGAGCTTTTGTTAAAACACAAGGCGGATGTGAGGATGAGGACTGAGTTGGGATGGAATTGTCTGCACTATGCTGGAAGATGTGGTCATTTTGAGGTGTCGAGATTGATAATCAAAGCGTGCGCAGAAATGATTAATGATCGTACAGAGAACGGCAATCTGGGAGGGGGTAGAACAACATTGATGTTGGCTTGTGAGAATGGACATGAGGATGTTGTAAAGCTTCTGCTGGAACACAAGGCTGATGTGATGATTTTTAGTGACTATGGATGGAACTGTTTCCACCATGCTGCAGAAAGGGGTCATTCTGAGGTGTCAAGTTTGTTAATTCAAGAATTTCCACAACTCAGAGACAGTACTACCAGAGTTGCCGCCAAGTGCCCACCGGATGATTCCGGCAAAACAGCATTGATGCTGGCGAGTCAATCTGGACAGCATGATGTCGTAAAGTTGTTGTTAGAACACAAAGCCAGTGTGATGATGACCAGCGAAGAAGGATGGAATTGTTTACACTATGCCGCAAGATCGGGTCATTTTGAGGTGTCAAAGTTGATACTTGAAGCTTGTCCAGAAATCATAAATTATGGAACAATAAGGAGTAAAGGCTCAGACGATTTAGAATATATGGACTCAAATTTAACACCATTGATGTTGGCTTGTCAGTATGGACATGAGGATGTTGTAAAGCTTCTGCTGGAACACAAGGCTGATTTATGATTTTCAGTGACTATGGATGGAACTGTTTCCACTATGGTGCACGAAATGGTCATTTTGAGGTGTCAAAGTTGATACTTGAAGCTTGTCCAGAGATCATAAACAGAGGGACTCTGGGTGGTGATATTATTAATAGTAGAAGTAGCAGTAGTAGTACTCCTCAAAGATCAACTCCTGTTGTGAATGCCAAGAATAAAACTGGACTTATGCTGGCATGTGAGAACGGACATGAGCAAGTTGTAAGGCTTTTATTAGCTCATAAGGCCAATGTGATGGTATACAGCGAAAGTGGACGGAACTGTTTGCATTATGCTGCAGAAAGGGGTCATTCTGAGGTGTCAAGTTTGTTAATTCAAGAATTTCCACAACTCAGAGACAGTACTACCAGATTTGCCGCCAAGTGCCCACCGGATGATTCCGGCAAAACAGCATTGATGCTAGCTTCGCAATATGGGAAGGTGGAAGTGGTGAGGACTTTGCTCTCTCACAAAGCAGACGTAATGCTTCGTAGTAAAGAGGGATGCGATGTTTTGCTATATGCTGCAAGATCAGTTGTTGATTGAACACAAAGCCAGTGTGATGATGACCAGCGAAGAAGGATGGAATTGTTTACACTATGCCGCAAGATGGGGTCATTTTGAAGTGTCAAAGTTGATAATTGAAGCTTGTCCAGAAATCATAAATGATGGAACAATGAGGACTAAAATCACAGCCGATTTAGAATATATGAACTCAAATAAAACACCATTGATGATTGCTTGTCGGTACGGACATGAACGAGTTGTAGAGCTTTTGTTAGAACACAAGGCGGATGTGAGGATGAGGGATGAGTGTGGATGGAATTGTCTGCACTATGCTGGAAGATGGGGTGGTTTTGAGGTGTCAAAGTTGATAGTTGAAGCTTGTCCAGAAATCATAAATTATGGAACAAAAAGGAGTAAAGGCTCAGCCGATTTAAATACTATGGACTTAAATAAAACACCATTGATGTTGGCTTGTCTGAATGGACGTGAGGATGTTGTAAAGCTTCTGCTGGAACACAAGGCTGATGTGATGATTTTCAATGACTCTGGATGTAACTGTTTCCACTATGCTGCATCATGGGGTAGATTTGAGGTGTCAAAGTTGATAATTGAAGCTTGTCCAGAAATCATAAACATAGGTACTTTGGGGACTAATAGTAGTATTAGTAGTAGCAGCAGTAGTAGTATTCCTCAAGGATCTACTCCTGTTGTGAAGGTCAAGATTGAGAAGAATATAACTGGACTTATGCTGGCATGTGAGTCCGGAAATGAGCAAGTTGTAAGGCTTTTATTAGCTCATAAGGCCGATGTGATGGTATACTGCGAAAATGGACGGAACTGTTTGCACTATGCTGCAGAAAGGGGTCATTCTGAGGTGTCCAGTTTGTTAATTCAAGAATTTCCACAACTCAGAGACAGTACTACCAGAGGTGCCGCCAAATGCCCACCGAATGATTCCGGCAAAACAGCATTGATGCTAGCTTCGCAATATGGGAAGGTGGAAGTGGTGAGGACTTTGCTCTCTCACAAAGCAGACGTAATGCTTCGTAGTGAAGAAGGATGCGATGTTTTGCTATATGCTGCAAGATCAGATGATTTAAAAGTGTTGGAGTTGATTATTGAAGCGGTTGTAAAATCTGTTGTCGACGCGAATTCGCCATGGTGGCAAAGGACATTAATATGGGCATCAGAAATAGGTCACCTGAGTGTTGTAGGCATGCTGCTGAAATACAAGATAGATGTGACGCTCCAAAATGGAGATGGGCACAACTGTCTTCATCTCGCTGCCAAAAATAGTCATTTTCAGTTCTTGGAGGTGATTCTTGCGAAGGATACTGAAGGTTTCGTGAATAGTACAACAAGCGCAGGTGAAACATCATTAATGTTAGCAGCTCAGAATGGAGACGTGGAAGTTGCAAAGATCTTGCTAAAATACAACGCGAGTGTGCTCGAGTGCAATGAAAATGGTTGGAACTGTCTACACTTTGCTGCGTCCCAGGGTAAAATAAAGGTGATGCTCGAGATTCTCAACCATCCTGATCTGGAGAAGCTAGTAGATAGTAAAACAAAAGCAGGCCGCACTGCATTGATACTTGCTGCTGAGAATGGATATGCAGATGTTGTTAAGCTTCTTATACATAAGAACTGTAATGAACTCCTTTGCGATGATGAAGGATTCAGTTGCTTGCATGTGGCTGCAAAGCATGGTCATCTTGAGGTCCTGAGTCACCTTCTTTCGGAAGAAGGTGACCAAGATTACTGGGATAGGGAACGCTTCTCGGTAGGAGACATAGAGAGTAAGATTCGTAGGTTGGATCCAAACAGTCTCCTTCTTACGTCCAAACGTCTGGAACTTATGGAGGTAAGAAGCTGCTTCGAGCGGCTCACAGCCCTCCACATGGCTGGCATTAGCCACCGTACTGCGATAGTTTCGTTTTTGGAGAGAACGTATTACACTTTAGCTCTTAGGTCTAGACGTTTCCTGCTGGATCCTGTGACCACGTTCATTTGTTACGAAGCCCAATCATTAAATATTGTCAACCTTAGAGTTGACGATTTCTTCTATGGGAGCGCTTTATCTGCTACTACACAGTTGGAGTACTCCCAGTTGTTGGAGTACTTCCGAGCTTCACGAAAGAAGTTCATGGAACCTGTGAGAGGACTTGTTAGATGTGCCGAGTCGGAGGCGAGGAATGGTTTGGAAGAAAATTGGCGTCAATTTCTAGGCAGAAACCATGAAGTTGTGGACTTTGTGGCGGATAAGGCTGATTATGATGGGTTGTCAACCTCCAATCTCCTTGATTTATCAGGAATGGTAGAGGCGAACCTAGCTGTCGTCCGATATGTCAATGCCAGGGATATCACAGGGCGGACAGCTTTGCATTACCTCGCAGCAACTTGTGATTGTGAACACCTAAAGGAGATAGACGGTTGCAGGATGGCTTTTCAGAACGTCCTTGGAACACCGTTTTATGATGTAGTTGCTGCTGATTGGCGAGGCTATACACCTTTACATCTCGCAGCTTATAACAAAAACTCGGATGTTATTAAAATGTTCGTGACTTCGACGTGTAGTAGCGAAGAAAAGAGACTCATGTATAATTCCAAAGGAGCCAGAATCATGAACGTAGAAGACGAACTGCGGGAAGCCGGCGTCGCAGATTGCCGATTCTACCAGCCAAAAAATGGACACATACACAAGTGTCTTTGGCAAGAGGAACGTGATGGAATAATTCCTCTACACTATGCTGTAGAGAAATACTACCCAGATTATGGTGATGTTGTGGAAAGCTTGGTGAAGGCTAGCAGACTGAACCTCATAACTAAAACGTCCAATTTAGATTCACCATTTACCATAGCAATGTCTCAAGGAGCTCATCTCTACGATTCAGGAGGAAATAAAAATGGAATGTCAAGGGATAACATTTTGAGTCCAGGTCGTCAACATGCTACGAAACCTTCGAACATGAACATCAAATGTCAAGGTAATCAACTTTCCATGTTCAAAAGCCTTGAAAAGGAGGCGATCCTTTGCATAGATGACCCTAATGTAACTAAGGAAGACCGAAATAGTTTATGGGTTGAACTTATATGGTCAATGAGGGAAATTCTTGAAGAGAAACAGATCGATGTAGACAAGCGACGTAAAATGCTGACAGACATGAATGAGTTAGGTCATTGTGGGGGTCTGACTATTTTGCATTATGCTGCTTTCAGGGGGCTTCTTGATGAGCTTCAAGACCTCCTGAGAGTTCGAGAACTTCGAGAGATGGTCGATTGTCCATGCACTGTCAGTGGACAAACTATGATGCATTTTGCCGTTATCGAGAAACACACAGAAGTTGTGAACTGGCTACGCAAGGAATCATTTGGGAGGCTAGATGAAGAAGATAAACTAGGGCGGACTCCTTACGAGCTGCTCTTAGAAGTATTGATTGCATCTTCGTCCCCTGAACTGAAGACTTGTGAAGCATCTCTGCGGGGCGAGAAGACAATAATAAACTATATTGAGAAACAATATCGAGATCGACAAATTCACGTCGATGCTGGAAACACAGCCCTTGTAGGAGCTGCATTAATTGCAAGTGTCACCTTCGCAGGATGGCTTCAGCCCCCACTGGGCTACACGGAGTACCAACAGTATACATTTCCCGACTCTAACAATCCTGAGTCTTTTGCTGCAGTCCAGCAATACAGCAGTGTCGAAGTGTTTTGGGTGCTCAATAGTTTGTCCTTTTTCTTCGCTGTGGCAACAGTTGTTTGCGGAGCGAGAGCAGTGCTACCTGCTTCTTCAACTGTCTTCATTGCCAAAGAAGTGAGGCTCATCCGAAATTGGCTTGTAACAACATCTATCCTGCTGGTCATTTCTATTATTTGTGTATTGGGTGCTTTTGGAGCCGCTGGTTTTGCTGGTTTGCCACCAGATTCCAAATATCAGACCAGCATGACAATCACTTCATTAGTTGGAGGTTCGACTTGTGCAGTTTTTCTTTTCTGTTATTTTCTCCGACTTAACGAAATCAAACATTGGTTTCCCTCATTTGATGGTCAGTCTATCAAATTGTGGTTGACTGGAGGACAGCGAGAACTAGGCTCATCTGAGACGTCTAGGAAATCAGGTAAGTCAGTTGAGACCAAATTCTACGCTCTTAGAACTGCAAAACGTCGGTGGATAAACCTTTGGGGCTTGATGTGAACCAGGGCGTAGATCTCGTCTTTCAAACTTGGAAGACCAGAATAAGATTTTTCCTTTTCAGGTTTGCGGTGAGGATACCTGTTCCAGTATTATGCACTGGTTTTGACACTTGATTGGCTCGCTCTTCAGACTTAGGTTTTGTGGTTAGTAACATATTCATAATTCACATACTTTCTCCAGACTTTATTTCTGCGTTATCTCAGATTTTGTTTTGAACGTGGCCTCGAGTAATGTTTAATCCGGTTAAACTTTGCTTTGCTTCGGATACTTCTTGGTAGAAACTGTGGAGACTTGGAGCGAGGTAGAAAAATTTCTCTACCTACATCAAGAAATTTTCGAAAAAAGAAGGATTGTTGCCGAGTGACATGTGAGGAAACTAAATCTTTAGACATGAATATGTCAGGATAGCGCGGTAGATGGGAGAGATGTGGACGATCCGATCATAATAAATGTGAATTTGTGGGGAGGATGTGGATTGGGTATGCTGGTGACAGTACTTTTTAAGATGATTGTTCTTGAGTTTCTTTTGGCCCAGGTTTGGTGAGAACTAGTTTCAAACCAGTGGACGGATGACGATGACAAAGAGAGTGATGCTGAGACGAAAACCAAGGATTCAATCGTGAGTCGGTGGTTGAGTGGAAAGTTGCCACATCTGAGTTCAGGAGAGATCCAGTGACGAGTTTGAGGGACATGAGCTTTCGAGTGTTCATGTTTGAGTACGGGAGTTATGTTCCTATAGTAGAGAGGGTTCAATGCCGAGTGGGAGCAAAATGAGGTTTTGAGGGATGTACATAGAGTGAAAAGCGACAACATCTAGATTTGTAGAAGTTGAGTGAGAACCCAGGTTGAATGTGAAGGGTGAGTCTCTAAATAGAAAAGAAATGCGATGATATACGATCACAAGTTCTTATCATCGTGGAAATGTGAAAATCCCATTAGGTTTGTAGTACTAGCTAGTGTTGAACGTAGTCTCTGAATGCAGAAGAACATCCGACTGGAAAATACATCCAACTGTTCTTGATAAATGAGAGAGAGTCATTTCAGGGAGCAGAGTGAGATCTGTTGTTGATAAATGAGAGAGTCATTTCAGGGAGCAGAGTGAGATCTGTGAGCTCAATTATATGCTCACCTTTTGTCTTAGAACTAGAATAGAAAAGTAGAAGATCTTAGAACAATCAAAGAGAAAAAATAAAAAATAATTAGATAGTGTTAATCAGATGTTAGTTACTTTTTACGTTAAGACGGCTACGTAAAGGAAACGGTTACGTACAAATAACCCTTTCGAGTTGGTGGCGAATTCAAGAACCCACAACGAGGAGTATCATCTTGACGGAGTGCGACTTGGTGATAAAACAACGAGAGGAACTGCGATATTCATTAGCATTGCTCGTTCTTGGAGTGCAATTGAATTGTGAGGTGGAGTATTTGAGGAGGAACTATGAAAAATAAAGCCGCAAGCAGCAAGGTCTGTTTCAAAAGATTGTGACCTGAGCTGTGCAATTTATCAAAAGTAGCGTTCTCCCGGAGGAAAGTGCAGTAGAGGAGAGAGTGTGGCAAGGCCAGAAGTGTTATACTCTTGTGGTAAACTAGTTTTCTTTTCGTTCTCGAAGAAGTTTCAGAGATCTGATGGAGTAAATACCTTATAACGTTTTCAATTAGTACCGCATTGACTTAGTTAGGGTTTTGATAGATAGAACTCCACACGCTCGTTCTAACAAGTCCAAGAACTCCTGAAACAGATAAAGGATCGCTGAGTTATGAATGTCGAAAGTGGTTGATATGGATACGCGAAGGCGAGCAAGGGCCTTCGGAGGAGGCGCCTTCAATGCAAGGAAACTCTGTGCTTCAATGACGATGGGAAGGAGGGTGAAGGCCATAGTGGATTTTCTAGCTTGTTTACATGACTTACAAGTTGCAAGAACTCTACAGTAGCCACGACGAGAGTACGAGCAGCAGTTGCAGATGATGTGCTTTGGTACAAAGAAGGCTGCTGGAAGTTCTCGTTAAGAGTGGGTTTGTATCGGCGGCGGCTAGTATAGGAAGAAATTGGTTTGGAATTGCAAGGAGTTTCAAGATGGGATTGCCTCAAATGTTGAGTGCCGAAGTGGCAAGGGAGAATGTTGGAGCAGTCGCTGTGCAGCGTCTGTGCTCACTACCTGGGCCTCTGTTCTATCGTACTACTGGCCACGGTAGTGACAGGGGTGTGAATGTTAGAGACAGAGATGGAAATGCATCCGGCTCCTGCCTTTGGTGGGGTTGAAAAGATTCTGAAATTGCGAGCAGCAAGGACTCTCTGCAGACAAATTGCCCCTGCAGGTGGTAAGATATGGATGAGGGTATGCGATAGTATGCCAGGTGTCATGCGCTGGGCTTCTTTTCGGATTTTGCGGATTTCGGGGATTGGGTTAAAGTTGACCTGACAGGCTGGTGGCTGCGGGTGCTGGTGGGTTTTAGTGGAGTGCGTCGGAGGTGTGTGGGGCAGTCTTCTTTCTATGTGTTGATTACTCTCGTGGAGGGAGAAGAGAGAAGAGTTAGAGTATGATAGCTAGAGTTTATTGGCAATAGTAGAGGTAGCACGAGTGGCTTTTGTCTAAGTGGCTTTTGTCTAAGTGCAGTATCATGAGTGTTAGTGTTTTATCCTTGTTCGCATAGAACCCCATCCAGACTCAAACGCAAAGGGGTGGGGAGTTTTAAGCTTACAAGATTCAGCAGACTTTCCTATGTTGACTTTGTATGTTCGAAGGAGTACGACTGGAGTTGGTAGCATGACCATGTGTTCTTCATGTACATGCTACTTGGAAGTTGAGGAATTGCCAAGAACCTTATCTGCAAGACGGGAGAAACTTGCGTCAGTTCCACGAGTGTTATCTTATATGGGGAAACTTGAGCTCTGAGTGGTTGAGTTTGAAAGGAGGAAAGATCATGAGGTTGGATACAAAGGAGATGCTTTAATGCTTAAAAAAAAAAAATACATAACGTTTGAAGGGAATTGCATGGTGTGGATATCTCAGAGTTTTCGAACTTTTAGAAGTTCCATGATGGTTTATTTGGGGCGACTGAGAGATGACTGTTCTAAAAAAAGGAAGGTTAAAGGAGCTGGGATGGAAGACCTGCACATGGTGAGGTCAAGATGAAACTGGAGGAGGATGATGTCGTTCAAAAGACTTGTGAAACAACATCGCGCGGAGGAAGTATTTGAGGGATTTTCAAGGAAGAAAGCGACTTGTCTGTAGATAATAGTAGGTTAGTGGCTTGAGAACATCAAACAGAATTCCGTTGATAGGAGACGTCGAGAAGCAAATCAACAGCAGCATGAAGACACAGAATCAGAACGACCAAAGGGAAGGAGCGCTCGTCAGCTGCTAGTGAAGTGGTTACGTCAAAAACAGAGACGCTTGTGCGAATTCTAGCCTACGTCTCATTTTTCAAGAGCAATCAATTTGTATCCTATGTCAGGAAGTGTCACTGTTTCCTCGTCACGTATTTAGGGCAAGTCCTCTACAAAGTAAGACAGCTGTGTAAAGAAACGTTTTCCAATCTGTTGTTTCGTCTTGATTCCTCGTCACCTTCACATGGAGAAGAAGAGCACAGGAAGCGGAAGCCTTGTTTGCTCAAGAATGATGTTGTCGTAGAGCGGTTTGGAAGTGGTGGATGGAAGGGTTTTACATCCGTCGGATAAGATTGAAAATTATACATAGGAGACCTGAGGTGGATGGCGTTCGCGCGCAATGCACTGGCATGGAACGACAGACTAGCACGGTTCACATAACAGTAGTCTAGGCTGGACAACTCCATGGATTTTGGAAGTTCTGAAGGGATGCAGATAATCCAAGATGGCATTGGATGTGGGGCGTAATAAAGGTGAGAAGACGAGTGTTAGAGTTTCAGATCTGCCGGATGTTGTAGGTGCTAAGAGTTCTTGTATAAGCTAGATGCACTCTGAAAAGCTGAAGATGCTCGCAAATTATATCCTTGTGTGGGCTGCCATGGACAGGGAACAGAGCAACCTGCGACTTTGAACCGAGCTGTGGTTGTTTTCTTCGTCAAGATCTAGTTTTAGTGATGGTTCTCTCGATGGAAGCGACAATCAAAGATCATGAGTTTCTTCTTCCACTTGTTTCCAATGTTGTGGATGAACACGTGCCAATATTATTTCACCGGCAAGTATGATGCATCGAATCTCAAACATGTGTTCATGCACGTTCTTTTCAGTATATAGAACTTGTTTTACCGGTCTCCAAGAAAAATGAAAAAGGCGTATCAATCTCACCCATCATGAATCCAACTTATCGATGCAGATCAGACCAGGCGAGGTCAAGTATGGTCACAGGTCATATGAAGGTCCTTTCACTATTGGACTCAGACGTAAGATGGAGCACTTGGAACTTTGAATCCCAGGTATCTTATCTGCCCCATCTCTAACCTAAGGTTGCAACAGCTGTAAGTGTTACACCAAATTATTGCATCTCCATTGCTGTCCTGTTCACCAGCTTTGTAGATTTCTCCACTGTTCGTGAACTGCTAGGCCGTACCCGCTGGGTACACCACTGCTCAGCCCATACCTAAGACCTCCCTAGGAGTACTAATAAAAGCAACGATTCTGATAGAGCTAACTGTTCATTGTTCAGCGACCCCCTCTGTAGGTATGGGGCCTCCTTCGTCTTGAAACCGTATCACTAGGAGCTGAGACTTGGAGAAATTTGGCGATTCAAACTGAATTTGGGTTTGAAAATTCAAGAAATTTGAAGACACTGGCACTGTTGCACAATGTTTCCGTGGAAAGTCAGTAAATGCATCCTCATGGACTCAATTCAACGTCAGCCTTACAGGAGTTATATAAGAAATGAACGACAAAGTTTGGTGAGAATATGAACCTCATCAACACTAACGTGCTGCAGCTAGTTGTAGAATGTTTTGGGATATATTGGGGTTAAGAACTCTTGTCCTTGTGGTAATTATTATTAGAGTTTTCTTAGTCCGCTGGGTGGTTGGCCTCTTCAGAATGAGAAGTGAGTAGACTTAATCTTTTTATCGCTTGATGTAAGAGGTCACCACGTTATTATTATCGAGAAAGTCCTCATGTCGACAATCATTGGAACTTTGTTACAGACATCGTTCGGAAGGCAAACAGTTATGAAGTGGAGACTTTGTTGATGTCCCGAATATCTTGCAGGGACTAGGGCTGTGGGAAGAACTTGTAATCATTCACAGTCACAATCAAACCTCACTTTTTTAACAAAAGTGGAGAAACAACAGGTGTTAGTTTCTACATAACGAACTGTTGTCATTTTCAGAGACTCATGACTTGTGACTTCTCAGGATTGTTCTCTATTGTTTTTGTTATTGTCTTTCATCAAAGAGAAACCCACAGGAGGTTCGCGGAGTTATTAGTTAGCGTAGAACATCTGAAATTTTCTTCTGCCTAACAAAATTTACTTTCTCGATGCAGGAGCAGCCCCTTTGCAGTCCGAGTGGATGTAAAATGTATTGCAGGCATCTACCACGATGGAGAAAATTAAGAGTGAATATCTTGTGCCGGATGTGCAGTATGTCGTATTGCTTCAGGGTTGCTCGAAGGCAGCATTCTGAAAGCCCCGCGAGTCAGCCTCCCATTCGACGCCATGTCGATGTAATTACTCCGTCCATTGTCCACTTGTGTTCAGGATAGTGTCTTCACTATATAACTTGCCAAGGAGGATTTTTGAACTACTATCAGACCACTAGTAGAGACTTACTATCATACCGTGTGCTGGACAATGTGAAGGTCTGATTATGACTTTACTGCTGGTATTTGGATAATTCAGTCATCGTCTGTAGCAGACAGATTCGTCCACTACCTGCAACGATGACATCGGCACCTGGTTTTCCAGCATCAGAAGATCGTGAAGCAGTGGAAACCCCTGCGTACGGAACCGAGATCGCTGGAACAGTGGATTTGTCAAGCTTCAAGCTGTCGTACATCTCCCTCGCCAGCTGCAGCTCTGCTCCAATTCTTATCAGCGTAATTTCTCATAAGTCAAGTAGCGAGGAGGATTGGATCACCACATCAACATCAAGGAGGACATGGACATGGGTGGATGAAACCAAAGGGGTCAGATGGGGCTAGGCCTGAGCCCCATCATACGTCTATGACAAATGGTGAAGCGCATGAAGCTTCATGCACAGCTCCTGGCATTCTTCCGAGCCTTTCGACTGTTCGATGGACTCAAGAGGTTCTCTTCGCATCATCGAGTTGCACGGGCTTCCAGATTCTCTATATCCCGGGGCATATTCTGGCAGTGGCAGCAGATTCTCTCATGCGCACAGGAAAGATTTTGTACATCATCGATTGCTCACTCCTCCAATACCCATGAAATTTAGAAGGATCCACATTGCATGGTCTTATTTATATCCAGCCTTTTTGTTTGGGGATGGGCTTTGAAGAAATTTTGCGATTAGCCATTGACCAGGGTCAGATAGAAGAGATTTCAGACTTCAAGGATTAAAAAAAATATTCATATGAGCTGTTTCACTTTCTATACAAGTTATTTACTCAGCATTGTGTAATAACCCACCAAAGGCTAAAACTGCAGTATGGTGGTAAAAAGATCGAACCCACAGGGACAGAGGCAACACACAGAGTAAAAGTGTCACGTTTAACAGACTTTTGTAGAGTTTGAATTCTAGGCGACTGTCACTCCCAGAAATACTGCAGTGCTCGACTCGGAGGCTCGACTCGGAGGAGGATCTCAACTCGGAGGATGCTCGGAGGATGCACGGTACAGCTTGGTCACTCAACACACACACACACCTGAAACTGGCAAAAAGCACAACTCGGAGGTCGATCAGGACCTCCGCTTCGGATTTCAGGAGGAAAGTGTCTCACAAGTTCACTCAGAGGTTCTGCAGGTAGTGCCTCCCACTCCGGTTTTTACTGCCCTTCCGCCAGGAACTAGCGGGGGTACCCGGACTGGACTTCCCACTTCGGAACGAAGCCTCTACATACGCCGTGGACGTCACCCTCGACTATCACACCAAACGCAGGGAGTGCAGACCCGACTGAGAACTTACTGAAAACACGATCCAGTAACACACACACAACCTGAATTACAAACCAAGGTTTACACGAAGTAATAGAACTTCACATTGGCATTCAGGGGAAACTTCCCGTAGGAGTACAATCAGGATATGTCACTCGAAGGAGTAAGGGGGAACTGTTCAAGTATCTAACTCGCAGCCGGCTCTGAGCATCAGAAATCACCCGCAGGTGCAGATCCGCACTACTCAAGTCTCTAACCGGGTGCTAGCTCTGAACATTCAGCCGAAGGCCTTCAACTACAACATACGGTAACTTCGCTATGCTGCAGCTTCTCTACGTGGTGCCAGGACCAAAATGCACAAACACGCCAAGAAAGTGAGTTCCTGATCTGCACTTCCGAAACTGGAAGAGTCGCAAGGCAAAACGCCTTGATCTACTTTATACTCTCAAAAGATCCTAACTAGCACTACGCTATCCTATCTACCACTCGCAGCATCTGCGCGAAACCAAACTACTCTACTGCACTCAGCAGATCCGGTGCTGCGCCTCCTGCGCGCCGGACTGCTCCGCTTACTATCTCTACCTTGCCAGTCTTCCGACCGGCTGCGTAACCCCAGGCGTCGGAGCGCTGTGGTGACTTCCGACTGCAAGTGCGCCATAGTGTCGCGCGCACCCGACAAGAAGGTTTCTAATTTTCTTGCCACTCGCCGCCGACTCCGACTGTCACCCTCCGTCAATGCCGCCGCCCGAAGCTCGAACTCCCTGAGTGTAATCCTCTCTTGAGCTGCCACCCCCCAATGGGCGTATCCTTTTAGACAACGAGTCACCTGTGCCGCCAACTCTCCTCGCGCCCTGCAGCTGCTCTCCACCTCGGCCAGCTGCATTTCTAATCCCGCACGTTGTGCCCTCAAATCCGAGCACTCGGATTGCAAGTTGCACAACAACTCCTCACCCTCCTTGCGGGCTCTTTGACTTTCTTCTAAGGCGCGCGTCTGGCGCGCAAGCTCGGCTGCTAGGACTTGGTTCTGTCTCCGCTCCTCCTGCAATTCCGACTCGATCTTTGCCCGTATTAGTTCGGCATCCGCCTGACTTTTCGTTGCCGCATCCTCCTTCTGCTGCTGCAAGGCTTGGTATAGCTTCTGGGTGACCGCCAGGTGTTGTCGGAGGGCGGTGTTCCTTTCCACATATACTTGGCAACTAGAGGCCCACTTTGCCACCTTGATCCTCGTCCTTCGCCTGATAGTCTCCACATAAGACTGCGGTTTTAAGGCACTTGCGTATTTGGATGTCTTGCGATCCAGATATCGCAGGAGTGGAACTATCTGTTCGCACAGCACCCCTATTGGCGTTTTCTGCACCGAATCCGCTTCCTGCTCTTCCGAGCTCGTATCATCCTCAGTCTCGAGGATTTCAGTCGCCACCGAATCCCTTGGCGACTCCCAGGAACTGTGGCGCGCAGCAGCTTCCGCTGCAACTGCTGCTCCACTGCCTGCTAAAATATCCAGGGCAGTGGGAGATCCCACTGCTTGAGCCCCTGTTCCGGCTCGATCTTCGGTTTGTGAAGGGGTCGACGCCGCAGTGACTTTTGTCACTCTTGCACCGCCCGCTTCTGCTGCCTGTCCTTCCGGCGCAATCTGCGCGGAAGGTGTCCTTGCTGAAGGTGCGTCCGCCGAAGGCGTCCGCACACTGGTCGTTGGCCCCATCCGTCTCGCAGTCGGCGAATCCGGCTGACTTTCTGTTGTCCGACTCGCAGTCGGCCGACCAGCAGTTGTCCGACTGGGAGTCGGATACACCCTGCGCGTCTTGACTCCACTTGGCCTGCTTGCTGGTGGCGTTCTTCCGGAAGTGCCTTCCGCCGAAGACGACCCTCTGAGGATTGTTGGCTCGTCAGCCAAACTCTCTTCTGCTTCCGGCCTGCTGTCCGGTTCAACGCGCCGTTCAGTTGGCCTTCCTTCCGCTTGTCGACCTTCAGTCATCCGACTCGCAGTCGGCCGACTGTCAGTCCGTCCATCTCCTCCCGAAGGCCGTGGTGCCTTCTGAGCAGAGGTATCTGCCGTCTTCCCTAGGATCTGCGTGATTATCTCTTCCTGTGTGAGATTCCGCCGGGTCGGAGTTCGCCCGGTCTCCTCAGTAACAGTTGGCATTTTGCGTGCCCTCTGTTTTGGTCGACTGTGAGGCTCGGGGGTGGGCCGACCATGAGTCGGCGCAGCTGGCACTTCCGGCTGCCTGTCCTCAGGTCTCTCATCCCACTTCCGCTTTCGCGGAATGCGCTCACTTCGACGTTCTTCTACTGCTCTTGCTGGAGCCTGAGCCGGAGGCGTACTGGCAGGTTCCTCGTCCGGATCCGTGTCTACTTCGGCCTCCCTCGAATATCTACCTGGATAAGTCTGGGTCAGCTGCGGAAACCGTGTTTTCTCAGCATTTGTCAAACATCCCATCGCCCGGTAAAACACGATTAAGTAAGGCGATAGATGATTGAGGGTTCCTCTCTTCTCTTCTTGCGCATGTTGGCGCGTCACCTTCCACAGGAGCCGTGCCCAATGCACCGGAGCTCCTGACAGCACTAGCTCCACGAACTCTACCTGCCAACCATGCATGTAAGCGGTCTTGGTCGGCTGCAATATCTGCAGCAATGCCGTCGCGACATTTCTCCGCAATCGATCCTTGTAATCCCGTGTCCGGAAACCGTTCTTGGGATGTCTGGCCACTTTGAAGAGCTCATTGTAAGAGACTTCTTCCTCCTGGGACACCTTCACGCTATCGGCCTCGAAGAGGAGATCCCCTTCCTCGCCGGCACACCTGCCCAACACCTGCGCCCAATTGCAAATGTCCCATCTCTCTGGGTGCGGGCGGAATCCGCGAGAGGGCTTGTGTCTCTCTTGCAGATACTCGCGCACCATCTCCGGACATGTCCAGTTCCACCCCCATAGGAGAAAATCGAGCTTCAGCCTCAGCAGCACATCTTGAAATGCGCGTAGACCGATCTGCGGCACCCTGAGTGGAGACACTCGCAGCTGGGGAACCTTCGACATTGCGTTGCCTGCACACACACAAACGTTCTCCCTTTCGCTCGCTCTCTCACAATCGCCACTGCGCGTCGGCCACTCAAGCACTGACTGCTCACTCTCTCTGCGCTCGTTCAAGATCGCTACTCACAATTCTTTCAAGACCCGCCAAGATCCTTGCGCAACTCGTCTCCGCACTCTCTACTCTCACTGCAGGTCGCTCCGCCCTTGCGCGTAATCTTGGAAACTGGAAATCGCAAAGTCAAGAATGAGAGAATGAGACTTGAGCGCAGTCTTTTCTTCTCCGATTTCAAGAACGTCCAACGTTCTTACTGGTTGCAACGTACGCAGCCGGCTATACGGCTTAACGGTTCGCCCTTTGCATGCGCGAATTCACGTCTCCGCACTGCGCGCATTCGCATGCTTAAACGTTGAATTCTCCCGCCGCCGCCACCTTCCGGACTCGAGTCCGCTGCAGGGTATACGTCGGCCCTGTTGTCTTTTCCTGACCCGTCCCTCACCGGAGGCGTGTCGCCGCTGGTGCGTTCATTATCCGTCGGCGCCTTGCTGGAGGCGCACATCCAGTCGGAGCAAATTACGCCGGCGCGCAGTCGTGCCGCCTATTTTGTCCTTTATGCCTCGTCCGTTGCTGCCGGCGCATATCTGTCGGCGCAACTCATGCCAGCGCATCCGGCCGTCAGCGCCACGTCGGAGGCGTACATCCGACCGGCGCTTTCCTTCCATGGACAGCCGCCAAAGGCGGTTCCGACTCTAAGTTGGTTTCCTCCTATGAGCGCGTGATTCCGCCGAAGGCGCATCGTCGAGGGCGTACGGGAATCCTTTCCGGCTGTGAACCCTAGCGCGAACGGCGCATGTCCGGCTACGAGTTTTCCGACGCTCATAACTTCTCCATTCCTGATCCATCTCCGACGCTCTTGGACTCGTTAGAACGAGCGTCCCGAGCTCTTTCTAATGCAATCTCAACCAACTGGATCTACCGTGTATCCCGATTGTTATGAAGGTTTCCCCTTTCCGCGCTAGCGGCGCTTCGCCGAAGGCGCACTCATGGTCGGACGCCTTTAGAGGTCCGGGCCCTTCTCCTGACGTCTTTAGCAAAACCTCCTCCTGAGGTGTCTGCGCCGGAAGCGTAGCTTCCTTATACGCTGGAGGCGCGTGAGTAGAGACACCTCAAAAAAGGAGCTTTTGCCGAAGGCGTCGAAGACGTTGGCGTTGGTACATCCGACTACGTGATTCTTTGTGCCCTCGTGACGGTCTCATCAATCCACTCTATTTAGCGTACCCTTCTCTAGCTACAAACACTGCTTTGGTACTAGTTTTCTAAAATTGTTTAAATTCTGCAAAAAAAACAAAAAGTGTGTTACCACACATTGGTCAAAATTGTCACTAGCATTGTCGAGTTTTACTTGGGATTAGAAAGTAGCTAAATCATTATGACTTGGGGGTGACTCCTATAAGTTATTGGTAAAGTGTCCATTATTTGCCCATGTCCAAATTGATAGAACCGTGACAATGCCTACACCTCATCAAATAATTGAGGTTGTACATTCTCTATTAGTCATATCTATGTTACGATGGATTTGTGTGTCGTATCTCTAAGTAAATAGATTTAGAATGTTTGTTGTGAAACTTTCTGCTTCTATATAAAGACCTCTGGATGAAAGGTCCGGGAACTTCTTTTTAGTGCTGAGTATAGTGATGGTTAACGTAAGAAAGATTTGAATGACTAGTTCTTACGCATGAGGCCTCAACTTTTTTGATCAAAAAGGTGGAGAGTTACGTATTTTTATGAAGTCTTTATGTTGTGATTCTTTCTACCTTTACTTTATTTTGACTCTGTGCCAAAAGAAACGACATTTGGTTCCGTGACGGAGACCGGAGTTAAATAACGTTTTAATGGCCGTTACACGAGAGTGTTCTTTTCGTCGTCCGGTTGGGAAAGGGCATAGGCAATCTTGATTCTTGTTACCATCTTCAGTGACTGAGACATCGCTGGCGTAAAGTTTGTGAAGGAGAGTATGGAATCTAAAGGATGTGATGGGATCACATCGGCAACAAATTCCATTTTTTATCATGGGAGTAACATTGGCATCATCCGATTCCGCAAACAATTAGAAATCTGAAAAAATTTACACGTACGATTTATTGGATGATGAGGTTAGAGTTTACGCAATTGAAGCAATTTCAAAGAGAGTACTCTAGCCACAAAGACAAATTTTGCAAAACAAACAAGAGAGAAGCTGATTTTGTCAAATGAAAAAATAGCGTGGCAGTTGAATCAACTTAGTTGGGTATTGAATTATGTTTTCAAGAGTGAAAACGTTTTCACATCCTTTTGCATGAGTTTATTTATTTTTGTTGCCTTCAATTATAAAAAATTGCAATTCTTCTTAAAAATTCACAGAATTGAGCAAAGGCGATAAGCTAGAAACCTCACCGCATGAATCCCAAATTTGCCAAATTGGAAAAAACAAAATTAGAAAATTTCATAGAAGCTAGATTAATCCGACTTGTGAAAAATACCAAGTGGGTATTTCGAATTATCTTGAGTAAAAAGAAAAATAGAAAGTTGAGGATTTGAGTGAACTAGAAAAATTCAATGAAGTTGGGAAGAATAAGTGATATCCTAATACATTTTGTGATGAAATCCTTAGAGGACGTGAGAGTCCATGAATTGAACTTTTGGGGGTACATGTACAATGGATATTAGTAAATGAGTATCACATTTGAAGATCAATTGAAGATAACATTCACTTCACCATGGTACACCTTTTATTATGAAATAATGTCATTGGTATTATGCAATATTGTATCTATCTTTTCAAAAACTAATGAATAATGTCACAGAACCATACTTTGTACATTTTGTAAGAGTAATTATATATGATTTTGGAATTTATGTAGATTGTATCTCATATTTGAAGAATTTGAATAAGATTTTTGAACGCGTAGATGTGTCATACTTGGCGAAAAAAGACAAAATTTGAAGTTTTGTCTTGACTTTTGGTTGTTACATAGTTTTCACGGAGATAATTGATACATTCGGAGAAAATAAAGACTATGTTAGGAGCATAATTTTCTACTACCAAACATGAGGTTAGAGCATTTTTGATTCAATGTAAAGTTCAATGATTGTCAAAATTGTGATGTCAAAATAAATTTTCTGCAATTTTGCAAATGCATTTTTTGATTTCCGAGGACTACTTTTTTCTCAAAACTTATAATTATTCAATCAAGTTAAAATATGAATCTATCATAAAATATAAGTAGCTTTTATTTGCATATTAAATTAGATATTATGAATAGCTATTAGCATAATAATGATAATACAAATTGCATTATCAAACTTTGACCATTACTTCAAATATTGCAACTGCATCTTTGTAGTAACTTACATTAGCCAAATATATTTTACAAACAAATTCAATCAAGTTTAAAAAGTTCAACTTAGCACAAGTTTTATTGTAGTACAAAAGCTTGAATTGACGTGAATGTAAATTGACATTTGCAGGTTGACAGAAATTGGAACTTCCTGATTGCAATTTCACGTTAGAATTTGATGGTAAAATTCAGAATTTACAAGGCATTTAAATGATTGCAAAAACGTTGTAAGTTTTTTTGACAATTAGATTTAACCGTCATAAATTTCATGACCTAAATTTGTCTAGGACTAAAGTAAACACATTTGAATAAATTTGCAATTCAAACAATTTCCTTACAAAAGATATTTTAAAGTTTTAAAAATATCGTGTAAAACAATCTTTAGCTAGGCTGTGAAGCTTGTCAAAGTTAGAACGAATTCAATTTGATTAAATTTATATAACATGATGTTATATAAGTTGATCTAGTTGTACTATATTTAAATTTTATGTTATTTATTCAATTTATAATATACATTTTAGAATATTTTAATTATAATTCAATTGAAATAAATACAATCATCAAATTTTTGATAAAAAAGTTTTATTTCTTGTGCATAATGCAGAATTAATTAAACTAATTTATATTAAAAATAAATTTTTAGAACTCTTTGAATTTAATTAAATATATTGGTTTCATTCATATAAAAAAATATTGAATTGTCTTGAATTTTTTACATGTCTCATTATTTTATTCTTTTGGCTATACATACAATAATCTTTTATACACATTGGTTGTGTTTGTAATTTTTTGAAATAATCTCAAGAGAATTTTCTATGCTATATTGATATAAGAAGAAGACAATATTCTTAAATGAGTTAATCCACAGTTGAAAAAAAATTTCCATGAAGTACAATGTCAATTTAGCACCAAAATAATAATAATATTATACTTATTTTAAAAGACTAGACACATTTTATTAATTATTTTAATGTATATCATATGAGAACAAATCCCATCGAAAGTATTTCACACCATGGATTCTTGACATCTGAGTACATGTTAGCATGTATATGTCGCATGCTTTGATATTTAATATAAGAATATTCTCACATGACATCTACAATCTTTCCATCCATAGATGATTATAGATTATAGCTACAGTATCTCGAGTTTTTCTTCCAATTAGCGCAGTGAGTCAGGTGCCACAATCTAGACCGACGGTGAGAGGGTCACATGAGCTCGATGCTCGGCATTCCTGACAGCTAAAATTCTGAAGCCCTCCCATGTCAACGACGGGCTCAACAGCCTGACAGCGAACAATGAACAGCAACATAATCTGTGACAGCCATGGGTCCGAATCCGGACAGGCTGCCCCGATTTCGGCTCACAGGTCTTCCTCCTCCGGGTCTCGAGGCAGCCATTAGTTCGTCCTCCAATTCTGCCTTTCTACGAGCACTGTCATGAACTAGTATGAAACTGTGCTCTTTGGTGCCCCCAAGCAAGCAAGAAGAGCTGCGTTCGGTCTTTTGGCCAGCTCGCCGCCTGCTTGAATCCCAACGTCGACAAAGTTTTGGAGTTATTGTAAGCACGTCCCTCGATCGCGCGCTGATCTGTGGCCGATTTCCCGGTAGGAAAAGCTTAAACTGAATGGAACATTAATTTATGGGCTGATATTTATCTCGCTGCCTTCCCAATGTGCTATGGCTCTAGAGAGTGATATCTCAAATGTCATATTTAGTATGCACTGTAATGAGCTATTGTTACGGGCAACTGTATTTGTGGTTTTAGACGATTAGATCATATGAAGTATTTTTCCAATGTTGAAATCAAGAGATGCAAGAAGATATAATATATGGATGAGGAGTTATGAAAGCTTACAATGACATGTTTTTCAGAAAGTGCCTAGAAAATCCAAAGGTATTTATTTAATGGGACTCCATCAAAGATTTAGGTCCATGGACCTAAATTGTTTATTAGGAATTTTTAAGTTTCGTTTTAATCTATATGATCCAATGTCACCACAAGTCACGCATGTTCTAGTCTCAATAGACAATTCTCCTCATGTGACCTTACACATCATATGACTAGACAATTTTCCTCATGTGACCTTACATATCATATGACTGGTATCGTGGTACATCATTGAATCCCTCAAATCTCCACTTACTGCAATCATACCCGGACACATCTTACTCGAGATTTCTCCATTACACCAAAATCTATAAAATTAACTGACACTTGAATTCCTAAGTACTCCGCTGTTGCTCACGGAGTCAAATTTTCGACATATCAAAACCCAAACCACAGTTCACATGTAACAATCTTTGTCACAATTCAACTCTCTGCGATTTCCGATCGCAAGGTAAAGAACTTCGTGACCGTGTGCTCGTCGGTGGGATCCCACCGGTTAAAGTAAAATTTGATAGATTCCATAAAACAATTAAGAATCCGCTGTGATCAATCAAATAAATTTTTGTAAAAATCCCTCACATATATCATCGTTTTTTGTTTATGTTATATTTTAGAAAACATATTTCATCTACAACATGACACGAAGATTATACTACTAACATAGTAATAATCCATCTTTTAATTTTAGTGCATAGATATCTTAGGTCCGTCGAAACATATAGCATTTTGAAAGGCCCTATGTAACATTTTATGGGAAATAGCACCAAATTAATTAATCTACTTTGTTCTTTAAAAGCATTTTCGAGGTGAGTTGTGACAAACGCACTGTGTGATTCATTACAATAGTCAATGCCGGCACAACAACAATGTTTAGGCCCACCACCTGGCCATCTGAGTCAGCTAGGACAATCAGGGGCCCACGTGGCACACAAACTTAGGCTATTGGTCAGAGGCTCTGGGACGAGCGCGTTAGAGCCCTATAATGCCCTGGGAAATGATAGGACACTTCAGGTGTGGACCGCAAGATAGCAAGTTGTACTGGTCCGAGTCTCGCGGCGGAAGGAGCCATGGAGAGCAAGGGACTTCCCCTCGTCGGCACAAGCAAGACCGCCCCCGTCCCAGCGGTCCCAGGCCGTTTTATTCCAGAGGTCAGCGACCCAGCCAGCCACCCAGCGGACATGGAAAGTTTGTCTCTTCGAGTGACTGATCAGTCCCCCGCTGATTCCCCAGCAGACGAAATCTCTCGGTGATTTCTCGGAATGAAGCTCGTTCCAATTGCAACGGTTTCCGCAGCTGATTCTCGTCCCTTGTCTGCAGAATGCGCCAGGGCTAGCAGCTGCGAATGACCATGGCAGGGCAGCAACGGGAGAGCGTGCCGCCATTGCCAATCGGTACAGGTACTCGGAAGTTTCGGGGACGATCAGCACCGTGAGCAGCGATGGCAGGGACGATGCGAGCCGCCGCCGGACTGAGGTGAAGAAGACCTCCCACAGCGGAGGCGAGACTGTGCAGGAAACCGTGTATCAGATGAGTGGCCTCTCGTGGCAAGTGAGAAGCATCACTACGATTGAGAAGAACCGCAATAAAGAGATCACCCACAGAGAGACCAAAGATTCACGAGGAAATTTGAGGTAAAGCTTCGGTCTCTGTACTGGCTCCAGGTTGGTTCATCACTCGTCATCACAGCCACTTTTTGAAAGCGTGACAAGAGTCTGGCAGCCAGTGCTTGCGCTTGGAGTACTAAATATTTGACGGCGATCTTAGCGGTAACGTCCGGGTTCGTGCATTTTGACCTCGTGAGGCGAGGTATGGTTTCTGGTGTGGAGCATGTAAGTCAGCGAAAATGGCAGTGATCAATCCTACAGTTGACAACATGCATTCTCAAGGTCGGCTCCGAAAGATGAGATTTGTTTAGTGATTCTGTGTTCAGTATCACGAGGGAACATTCTGTGACAGGTTTCTAACAGCTCCTTGGTTGTTCAAGCTCCTAAACCTTCAGGCTCAGTGACGTGATTTTGTACCAGCAGCTTTTTACACATCATCCGGTAAATATTACATATCAACTAAAAAGCAGGATTCGGTCTCCCAGATCAAATGCAGATCATTCGATGGAGGAAATAGAAGGTGATGATAAACAATCTGTTTAGTTGGTGTCGAGATTAGTCTGAATTGCCGTTGAAATCCTCGTAACACGAGACTTAGCACGAATCGTAACCGCTGTTGGTTACCTCCTCGTAAACTCTCGCGTTTTATAAAACTGAAAAAATGCAATACCCGGGATACCGGAAACTTCTGAGCTTTGTACAATGTTGCTCTATTTAAGGTTCAGCATTTGACTCGTTCATCGTTTGGGGATCTTTTGCTCATGTTCAGTTGGAGTCTATGGGGCTCCTTAGCCCTTCTTGGCACACACAATTGATAGCAATCGCGTTGACATACTGGCAACTGCAGGGATTATCAGATTACTTGGCTGACAATGCGCACCAGGAAGATATGATGTTCATGGGCCATAGTAAGGCGACCAATGTTCGTTCTCAGTTTTGACGTAGTGGGCAAGCGTTTAGTTTTGGTCTTTCGTCACTGATTCATTAGCTCTGTATCGACAAACTTTCTGCCCAAGGGGAGTTCGTGCTTCTCTAACAAAGCACAAGAAAGAAGATTTGTTCCGTCTTCAGCAAATGTAAAAGAAATGGACACGAACGAAAATGAGAAGTAACAAATGGCTGTCAAAGACGGTCCCAACTGCGACAAATTTCGCGCATCCATGGCATATCTTGCGTGACATCGTAGAGAGAGTTATTTTGGTGACCGTGGTGATAGTGACGATTTCTGCTTACAAATCGCAAGTAATTTTTGGTTACCAAATAGATTACCAAAAATGAATTTACCGAAAAGATATCCCCAGATTTTCCATGACACTGATACACTCCAATACATACATACGATTGCTATTGATTTATCTGAATACTTTAGATTGTGGATAGATGATTTATATCAATATAAACGAAATAAATTATGACGAGTCCGTAAACAATTTATTTGAAATATAGTATGATGTATTTAGAATAAAGATATTAGACAAAATAGATATGGGATGTAGATAAACAATTATTATGGATATCACAACGCAAAGGATTCATAACATTACAAAGTATATAATCTGAAAATTATCACGACATCAGAAATAAGTATAAAGAAAAATTATCTAATAAAAAGTAATTATAAATCTATATCACATAAGAGAGTCAGGATGAAAAGAGAATATTCCCTAACACGTAAACTCGCTGAAACTATATCAGATACAGACAGATTAACCAAAAAACAGCTTGAAAGGAATTTTTTTCGGTCCGAGTTCCGAATTTAGCAGATTTTTTGTCTTGGTCATCACATGGACCAACATCGTTACGGTCAGACCAGAGCTTTAAAACATTGCTGAAATCCAGCCTAGCAATTCCTTGCTGCTGCTACTGCAATCGTCAATCACGCCGTTAGAACGCGTATTTCCTGTTTCTTATCCTTTCCTCATCGGAAGATGAAAAGTGCACAATCATCATGTGACATTCTCACTTGTACCAGCGTCCAATGTCGAATTCGATGGTGGGACTTACAGCCCTTCATGAAGAACAGGAGTTATTTATACTCCTATCTATACTCCACTTGAATAAGTTCCTGCTTACTAGGGGCTCTATGATAGAATACTTGAAGTCTAATATTTCTAGTTTTGTCTTCTCAGTCGACAGTAGCAAAAGATTTTTAAATTTTCTGCTCTACTTTCAACTCATCAGTTACAGATCACACCCACTGGCGCCAAATGTATTGTAACGTAGCGTCACCTCTACTTGTGCTAATTGTGGTATTCAGGGAATATAGCAGGTGTCAATCCGGATCGATTGCTAACTGGGTCAGGTGCAATTTCACTGTAATCGACAGAAACAGTGACAATGCAAGTATCATCTTCAGAAGACTAAACGATATACAGCACGCTCTAAATTTTCAGAAGGCCATGCCGTTTTACATCACAAAAGACCATGCGCTCGGGTCCAAACAGTGTATACATCACCGCTCGGCCACGAGATGACGGACTCGGGTTATGTTTGATTGACTGAAATCCGGGAATCTTTGGGAAAGTCAGCCCGAGCGATAGATTCTGATGTTCCAGAAGTGGATCATTGTGCAATGCAGCTGCTTTTTCGGATGGTGTATGTCCATGCACTGACGACTGCAGTGACAATACTTGAGCGAAACGTGCAGAGGCCCGAATCAGGTTTCTCTGTAGCGTCTCGACTCTTCATGTACATGCTATAATACTGATTTCCGTGAGAGCAATCGATGATCCAACTCAGATGTCATCTTCATTGTCAGTAGGACAATGTTCTCTCCCTAACTTACGCACATGATCCGAATTTTGGTATCATACTGCGATGGCATGACAACGTTGATTATTGGTGTGCACCTGAAGCACACCATTTCAGCTTTGAGCCATATCGACATAGCCGAGATCGTACAATACCTTCGTCCTGACATTGTTTCACGTGATCTATGCGCAGTTTACGTGCTTGCGATAGTGGCGTGTAATACTCTCTTCTTATACTTGGACTGAATATGTATTTCATGAAGATAGTATCGGCTCTAGCCCCTGGTCTCCCGCTCGTTCGTTTGGTCTTGTTATTTGTCCGGCTTGATTGGTACTCCCATTTTCAATGAAACCCATGAACCACATGCAAAGCGATTTGTTTCTTAGCATAGAGCTGAACATGACCTACAGGACAACACTAAGCAAGTGAATACAGCGTGTATAGGACTGCAATCTACAATCCGAAAAGTGCTTGCGGCCTATACTGCATTTGCGGAATCGATATAAGGGGCATCCTGGTAGACCTTGACTTTACCGGAAGACGGATGGGTCCGCTGGTAGGCCCAGGATCGGAAACAGGACTCGCAGGTTCAGAAGAGGCAGGAGGACCACTTTGGCCGGTAATGTGCTCGACGGAGCGCAGGAGAATGTGCATGCACCTTCGGCTGGGGCCGGGAGGTATGAGAATCACAACATGTTGGGCTCATGATGGTGGTTATGGTGTCGCATGTCCACTCGAGAATTACACAATTTCGAGCTCCCCGTAATTTATTCTAATGCAAGTGGATTTCCCTGCTTCGAATGAGATAAAAAAAAGTCAAATACACTATGAGATATTTTTGCTCGAAGTGAAATGGAAATACCTCGTTGTTGCCTGAATTAGGAAATATTTGCTTGATGGGACCCATCAAATTTCAATTTACCCGATGGGACCCCACATATGACAGACGGTGCACATCACACTATCTAGTATGAACAGATGACCGGAGTTCTACCTAACAAACCGAATAGTTGCCCAGTTTGCAGAAGAGAATGGTGAAGCCTTGTGTGCCGTTAGTGCCGAGTGATTGACTCCAATGTGTTTGAGCGATGGCGAATAAAATTGCCGGGAGCATCGCTGTAAAAGGAAGCAAATCTTAATGATGTATCCTACACATTGTCCGACTTTCGGACCGATAACCGGTGACTTTCGGACCCGTTACTGGTGAAGACCGCTCTGTTTAAAACTCCAGTGGCACGCAACACTGTCGCAAAGACACACATATTCGAATATATTTGTACAAGAATACATGCCTACAAGAAAAAATATTAGAACATATTGTTACAAAAACGCGTATTAGAACTTATATATACAAGAACATCTACCAGAACTCAGCGACGGCACACGGTCACATCAGGTAAATTGAAACTTGATGGGTCCCATCAAGGAAATACCTCCTGCATTAGCGATACATGTGTTTACTTGTCTACCTCGATAGTGTTTGTCTTCTGGATTTCTTGTTACTCTGTAATCTATCTTCTCTTCACAAGAATATTGCACCATTGTCCACAGAATCTACTTGACTTTGTTCTTGCGAATAAAATGATCAATTTTTAAGTTTGTTATATATAATTTGGAAATCAAATCCAAAAAGACCTTGTAACCTCTATGGGGGAGCAAGTTCTTTCATGTGGTGAATCATTTCGTTGTATTATTTTTCTTAGGTCTAAACTGCCATGGTCTTATAACTATATGATAAGTAGGAGAGTAAATACAGGCAAATCCAGTAATAGAGTAAGTAGATTGGAAAACTGTACCATAAAAAAATATGCTCTAACTTCTAACGGAGTAAATGACGGAATAACGGAATAAACGACACATTTTACAATCCAAAACAGAGGATAGTTGTGAAATTCAGCAAGTACAATTGGAATCCAGCTCAAATTATGTTTTGTACTGAAATCTAGAATTTACCTCGAGAAATTAATCTCATAATAATCAAGAGGAGCGAGCGAATCTCATTTACTACTTTCCGCTATACATAGTACCCTGTAAACAATCCTCTAGTCTTGTTGGTGCCGCTGTAGCTACAAATCCTAACACCATATCTACTCTTACACCATGGCGTATTTTTTACTTTCTTATAAGCACTGTAATCCGTATGTAACTGATACCATTTTGCTTAATAAACCTGCTAGCTGTATAAGTGCTCTGGATACATAATACCAACGTCATAATACTGTAATTCATAGTATATTTACGAACATAGATCGGAGAAGTATATAAATAGGGGCCACATGGATATTATTGATGAGAATTCTGAAGTCTGTAAACTCGACAATGTTCCACAGACTGCTCTACTCATTTTTCACCTATTCTTTCAGCACTACGAGAATCAACCGACGTCAAACGGAATCTTAAAATCTCATACCAAGCGAGAAGAAGGCTGGACCAAGGTCAGTGATGGCTCTGTTATACCAGAAAGGCTGATGCCGTAGAACTGCTGATATTCTTTGTCATCGTGTACCGAGATCCACAAGCGGATACCTGGGGAAGTGACCAAGGACTTGACTCGCCTTCGGGGAGGTTGAAACGAATTGAAGGGGCCGGGCCATCTTGCGAACTTCAACAAGAGCTTTGCTGTTTGTTGGAGAAATGAAACGATGCGAGGTCATCGAGGACTTTCCTGACTGTTCGAAACTTGAAAGGATTTGAGACGGCCATCCGGGAACTTGATCCAGGAACTTTGCTGTTTCCTAGATAGCTTGAAAGGGTACGAAAGGAGAAGCCAGGAATTTGATCTTGGAAATCTGCTGTTTGCTGGTGAGTTCGACAGGAGATGAGAGAGTCGTGGCGTTCTCACGAACTCTAACCTCCGAATCAACGACAACGAATCACAGTAGCGTCCACCCCAGTCCGACCTGACCTTGACAGGCCAGGATTCTGCTATAACACTTTGAGTGTGCCGTCCTCACTTAAAAAACAATCCAGCAATCGACAAGCGATTCAATACACTGCTTGCCATGACATGAGATTCAGATTCTGGAGCTGGGACAAGTGCAAAGAGCTCAGAATTCTGCTGACTTGCTCTACAGTATGAATGCCAAAATAGGCTCCAGAGACACACACTAACACACACAAGGTCCGATCCTTTGCCGCTTCCCGTGCATGTCTTGTTCTTCTACTGGCTCATGGGTTAGTCTGCTGCCTGCTGGTCGGGCCCGTCGCTTCTGTCAACACCAATTTTCTCTTTGGTCCAAATTTTATCTCAGGCGGGTCCAAAAGAGGGCGTTGATTCACGATACTGTGACGGTCTCTGCAGTTCAAGAGTCCCGAGAGTCCACTGGAATCCCGAGAGACTCGATGGACAAGATCGCTCTTCGGAGGACTCGGAATCAATAGATCCGCAAGGAGCCACACTTACTCTTCAACGACTCTCTGACAATGAATAAAAGTGAGATGAAACATCACACAGTCTACTACACCTCAAATGTCAATTCTGAGTTGACCATGTCTACGATGTTACTAAGCATGTTATATTGAGCTCACCAATTTCGTCTTTCATTACCGCGAACTTAGACGTGAACTTCAGTAGCTACAAGGTTATGTCACAAGGTCTTGCCTTCATGCCCAAGCTGCAACCGACCGACATTTACGGTCAAGCATTCCTTCCAGACAGCGAGACCTTGTTCGTCACAAACTTCCGGTGTAGCTTTATCGTCTTATTGCCTCGTCTCCGTTAGAAGTTCTGAAAGATGATAATTTTTCCCGATTTGTATGAAAGAACAAATGTCATGAAGGAAAAGTCCGTGGAGTTAAAGTCTTTGCTTCGGCGAAGTTGTTACTTAAAGTGTGTAGGATGCGAAAAGTCATCGTAGCTCACAGCTCAGGAAATTTCAAAGCAATTGCTAACGACAATTGCTTCTACGAGCTTTTCTTAAATAAAGATAAGTCGAGGACGTGCGCAAAAGTCAAATTTTACCAGATACTTCAACCAGAATCTGAAAGGACATCTTTTGGAGCTGTGCCCTGAAAGGACGAGGGCTCTGACAAGCCCTCGTTATTCCCTGCACGGTTACCTTGTATTTTTGTAACATTCGGGAATTTTCCAGATTTATTTTGTCCATTCGTAAGACATGCAACCGGTTTCAATTTTTCTGACAGAATATGTAGGCAACTATAATCAATGCGGAGCGTAATTCGTAATTTCTTTTAAGCCGTGCCTTCGGGAGTCCTTTCTCAAACAGTGCCGGGTTGTTCGTATTATATCCTCAAGATCTAACCAGATATACAAGTGAGTAACCTTTGCACAAATCTGGCAGTGGTTAGCCTCCTCTTAAGCGGCGGCATTTAGACCGAAATAGATTACTGACAGGCAATCCTCTAGCTTTTATATATCTCTGTTCGTCCTCTCGTTTTTATCCCATTCCTTCTCAGCTAGTCTAAACTTTTATACTTTATCACTTAAGGCAAGTGATATGCAAGTCTTTCTCTCCTTTCCCAAAATTCTTCTTCGGTAGCATCTCCAGTCCGACCACTAAATCACATCAGTTATTAATAAAAACTAAAGTTTACCCATTTGTCTGCAGAGAGAGCAAGAAGGTGAGGTCTAACCTGGAATGTTTTTGTTCGTATCCTTAATTTCCCTAGCCACGAATATAATTACAATATATTTAATTTTACCTAAATCCAAAGGACAAATATTTTTTCTTGTGTAACGTGTAATAAGTACCAGTGCGTTTTTGATGGGGAGACTTAGTTTGAGGTCTTGTGTCACCACTTTAATCTTAAGACTCTCGTGCATGAGATTCGAGAGAAGAGATTCAATCCACACCTGTTTCAAATTGATGTTTCAGCTGGCAGTTGCTCCGTATCCCACTCGCTTATTTGACGATTGCTATCTCCATTTCTATCTCTGTCTGAGCTTATCTGCGAGGAACTCCCGTGCTATTGCAGGTGAGCGCAGTTTTCAACGACCGACCTGCAGCCGCCGCGTCTGTTCAAGAGGAGCTATACTTGAAAGCTTCAAGTATAAAGCCGAAGCCTTGTGTTCCAGCATCGCATACAATTATATTCAGCATTGCTACGAAGTGCAGCCTGGGAAGTGATTTCACGTGTACAGCATCTGCATCTTCCTTCTATTCTATGAACTCCTGAAGGCTCGGCGTTCGAGAGTCATGGTGGCTAGCCCATGTCAACGGATTCTTTCTCATTTAGTGGAAGAGGAGGAGGATGGGCGGAGAGTTAGAATTTACCGACTTCCTATCTACATCAAAGACTCGTCGTTTGAGGATTTCCGGCCCCAGGAATTAGTGGTGGGATTCTACACTCACAGAGCTCTGGTCATAGACGAGGATCCCATGCATTTGGACAACTCGAAAGTCGCCATTGCCAGGGAGTTTTGTCGAGGACCCGGTCCAGATGGCCCGCCAGTCGCCTCTGCGCTCGAGCGCCCCATAAACCCTCAGATTTGGGTAGAATTCGGGTCGAGTCTCGAGGTAGACCTGAAGCTTGCGAGGGAAAACTACGATCGATTGAGCTGTGACGGCGATGCATCATCCTCATCAGAGAATGCCGCGGTGGCCTTGGACGCTCTTTTCATCGTCGCCTATCTGCGCTACAACTACAGCTTTCATGACACTTGGGGCTATGACTTCCGGGCTGTGTTCGAGCGATGTGCGTACAACGCGCAGAGGTTTCCTCTGCTACGTGATCTTCTCATGTTGGAGAATCAAGTTCCCATATCGTTGTTGCAGGCAGTCGTGACTCGAATCTGTAGGCCCACTCCGGCGTCGCCGAGCTCACAGTTGTATGATATGTTGCAATGGTTCGTCATGGCCATTCATCCTTTCAGCGGCGAAGGAGGTGTGGGCTCTGTCCATCTGCGACGCCATTTCGAGAGATTTCACCAGAACAGCTGCGATACTTTCGTCAAGTGCGACCATCTTCTGCACTGCTCATATCTCGCAATCTGCGGGCCAGAAGATCCTTTGCAATCGTCTCCACTCGACAACTCTGAGTACTGCGGCGTCGAGCTCCCATATTTCAGCACACCAAGCAAGGAATCATGGACTCCAGCTCGAACCACGTTCCGAATCCCATCTGCGACGTCTTTGCTGCGAATGGGCATCTCGGTTGAAGTCGGCGACGGTGTCGTCACGACGAACGGCGTCAGATTAAAGAGGAGAAAGGGCAACTGGTGTCTCCTTCTGCCGCAGCTGACCATGAACGATGACACGGCTTCAATTTTCAGAAACCTCGCCCTGTACGAGCAGATCATGGACAACGGAATTCGTCCCAGAGGAGACATGAGGACGTACCTGGTTCTGATGAGCAGCTTGCTCGACAGCGTGCAGGATGTCCGTCTTCTGATAAATCAAGGCGTGATTCTGAACCAGCTCGGCAGCTCTGAAAAGGTTTCCCAACAATGGAACCGAATGTGCGATGGTTTGTACATTCCGTCCACCTCTCCTGCCTACTGGTCCGACCTCCATCGCATTCTGAATCAGGTTGAGCTCCAGAACTCCACAAGCATGAGACCGACGAGAAGTTGCTTTCTGTTGTCGACATGTTTGGTAGTCATCGGATGTTTCCTTGCATTCCTCGCCGTGTTTTTGAGAACCGTCATTCTCATACACGCACATCCTCAAGCTGCAATGTAGCGTCCATGCATTCACATTTTCGATCACCTCTTTCCCTCATCTGCCAGTTTTGGAATTCTGCAACCAGTTGCCACTTTGAAGACAAAACTGGAACGTGGATAATATTGTGCGGAGTTTTTCTGGATAAGACTTTCTTATCCCTATTTAAATCACATCACTTCACAGAAACATCAAAACGTTCTGGCCTACTCACTTATCATTTGAGGTTCGTTTATTCTGACACGAACTCGATGGAGGTGTAAATATTAATCACAGTTTTAATGCGACGCTGATTGACTTGCTGATGATTTGCAAGTAAATCTCTAACTGAAAGTGGCACTCGGTCTTGATACGTGCTATAATAAAATCTATTAGTTGTTTATATCCGTGCATGTTATCACAAGATACGGTATAACCAAGTTTTACATGATTTGTAAGAAAAAGAACACTGCACTATTTAATTTAGTATATGAATGAGTTTAAAGGAATTTGGACTTTTTTAAATGGTGTTTATTTTCTGGCTACAAAATCCTATTTCATACTGGATATAAAAGCCATGCTATTGTCAAATAATGAACTGGAAGTCGTTCAAATCTGACAATGATCTATATTTTTTGTTATCATTTATGTGTTGTATTCAAAACACATCAACCTTTTCCGAAATATACAAAAATATTTTTCTCTATCATTTTAATTTTTTTAGATCAAAATTCTAATCATCTCATAACTTATTGACTGTCATCCAGAAATATCTTCATGTCGAACATAAACATGTCACCTTATACGTTCCAATAATGTTGTAAGTATATCCATCCTCAAGTTTTAAATACATGAGTGGTATATGTTATATTACAAATCAACATGAACTTAAAAACACGTAACCTTGAGAAGTTTATTTTTTAACTTAATTTAGACACAGTATTAAATATGAAACTTTCATTAAATTTTCACATTTAGTAAATAACATATCGCTACTTAACCATTGAATAAAAAATAAAATTTGAGTAATAAATTATCAATTCTATATATTCTTTTTCCTTAACATATCGAATGATTATGAATTTAAATAAAAGAACTAAAAAGCTAGTCATTGTATTATTTTAGCTTTTTTCCATCCTAATTATTTCGATGACCCTATGTATCTATGTATGAGAATATTCATTCGGCTTATACTTTATACATGAACCAGTTTGTTATAGATATTTTTATGTATGAGAATTGCAAGAGGATGAAAACGAATTCCATTATTTAAAATATTATTCCATTATTCTTCGTCTCATATTGATTGTAAGGGTGGTTTTTATTTTACTAGATCTCATAACCATATCATTTGGTTACTTGTAGCGAGATATGACATATTTCCCAAACTGATGTTGTTGGGGTTAGCGTGTACTTCAAATTTGTTCCGTTTGATGTGCTTGATGTAGTATTTACATATTTTTTCGATTCTCGACAACCTGCCCAAAAATGTCAGACTTTTGACTTCCCCGAAAAAAGGTTTGTATAGAGCTCAAACTCTTCAATTTACAAGACCACTTTTTCTTCCTTTTTTCCACCCTGTATTCAAATTAATTAGATTAGAATAATTAAATTTTAAAAAAATTTCCTAATATTTCATCTAAAAAACATCAGACTGTAAATTGTTTTCACTTTGAAGTAAATTTTTCGAAAATCCAAAAAGAAAAAAAGCAAATTTTATAATAAACCATCGACCAAATATTATCCATAAAAAATTTCTCAATTAGCTTACATTGAGAATCTGTTTCCAGCATCCTTTCACATACTCTACCAATTCCTTTTTATATCCAATGATTCAAGTATCTTCAGAATTGATAAAAGTAATTATTCATAGCTTTAACCCTTTTAATATTTCTTAATGTCACTCTTTAATCATCATTAACTTACAATCGTTGGATTTACTCTTAGTCATTTATTAACTCTAGTTAGATGTGGATCAGGGTAAGATAATTAACACTACTATAGTTGACGCATGGTTGAAGCCATTTTTTACGTACCACGCTCGATCTCAATGATGTTTTTTTGCACCCTCAATTAGGAAAACCTTGTGCAGTTTTTTTGTTTATCTATCATATTTTGTACACGAATGGGTACACATAAATTACAATCAACAATGTCATCTTGACCCCTATCACATCCATCATTCACACATGTTTAAACGCTACAGACTTGAAATTGATGGATACTATGCTAAGAAAAAAATCTCCTCAAATCACCTTCCCTCACATATAAACTAATTAAATCAAAGTAACTCGAGATTTGAATTGCTATACTGAACAAGGTAATAAATATAATAAAACTTCATTCCAATCTTGATTCCATGACAGTTTTCATATATATACATTAAAACTTTAAGTTCAATATCTTACCTAAACGTATATGCTCGCTAACTTTTTTCAATCTTTATTACTCTCTATAAATCTTTATAAAAATTGATTATGATTATATTCACTGAAATGCAAGAAATTTGGACAAAATGTTTGTGAATACTCATGCTTTATGTATTTTTTTTATTCTATGTATCATAAAATCCATTCGTTAAATAATGCATTTAATTTAGCAAGTAGTTGTTTGAAAGTCAGATTCTTTGATCTGATTTTATTGGTTATTAAATTTTAAAAACACCAATTGTAACTTCATGCACACTTTTCAATAATTTAATTCTTTATCTGTTTAAAAAATGTAACTTAGAAATCTTTGGCATTTATTTTATTGATAATGCTTCCTTACCACCAACTCTTTTATAAAATAAATCTGTTAGATTAAATACATAAGAAAATAAAAATTATATAATTATTAGAGTTATGTTTTCATTCTTGTTTTCAAAATAAAAATATGTAACTAGTCCTGTTTCTTAAAATTATAATGGAATATCTACTTCGAAATGTAGGATACAATATGATTCGAATCTTATTCTAGAGATTATCATGTTAAGACCTACTCTTGTCTCGTTGCAGTTCTATGGAAGTTGCGTACTGCAGCCTGCATGTTCAGAATATGAAACCCATCTAAGGAGCACAGTGCTTCAGTAGAAAAGACCTCAAGTCATGTAAGCGGGTTCATAGGAGATTTAGCTCGGAGACCAAACCGACCGAGGAATATACTTTGGTCTCCCACATAAGCGCGTGTTTTGCATGTCTGAGAACGGGATCATCGAATAATTCTCATGACTGCATGGCACAGAAGGTTTAAGGTTGATCAGAGAAGGTGTACGATGGATCTGGGGTCAAGAAGTTACTGGATGTGGTAACACGCTTTTTGTTTTTTTGCAGAATTTAAACAATTTCAGAAAACTAGTACCAAAGCAGTGTTTGTAGCTAGAGAAGGGTACGCTAAATAGAGTGGATTGATGAGATCGTCACGAGGGCACAAAGAATCACGTAGTCGGATGTACCAACGCCAACGTCTTCGGCGCCTTCGGCAGAAGCTCCTTTTTGAGGTATCTCTACTCACGCGCCTCTAGCGTATAAGGAAGCTACGCTTCCGGCGCAGACACCTCAGGAGGAGGTTTTGCTAAAAACGTCAGGGGAAGGGCCCGGACCTCTAAAGGCATCCGACCATGAGTGCGCCTTCGGCGAAGCGCCGCTAGCGCGGAAAGGGAAAACCTTCATAACAATCGGGATACACGGTAGATCCAGTTGGTTGAAGTTGCATTAGAAAGAGCTCGGGACGCTCGTTCTAACGAGTCCAAGAGCGCCAGAGATGGATCAGGAATGGAGAAGTTATGAGCGTCGGAAAACTCGTAGCCGGACATGCGCCGTTCGCGCTAGGGTTCACAGCCGGAAAGGATTCCCGTACGCCCTCGGCGATGCGCCTTCGGCGGAATCACGCGCTCACAGGAGGAAACCAACTCAGAGTCGGAAGCGCCCTTGGCGGCTGTTCATGGAAGGAAAGCGCCGGTCGGATGTACGCCTCCGACGTGGCGCTGACGGCCGGATGCGCTGGCATGAGTTGCGCTGACGGATATGCGCTGGCAGCAACGGACGAGGCATAAAGGACAAAATAGGCGGTACGACTGCGCGCCGGCGTAATTCGCTCCGGCTGGATGTGCGCCTCCAGCAAGGCGCCGACGGATAATGAACGCACCAGCGGCAACACGCCTCCGGAGAAGGGCGGGTTAGGAAAAGACAACAGGGCCGACGTATACCCTACAGCGGACTCGAGTCCGGAAGGTGGCGGCGGCGGGAGAATTCAACGTTTAAGCATGCGAATGCGCGCAAGGCGGAGACGTGAATTCGCGCATGCAAAGGGCGAACCGTTAAGCCGTATAGCCGGCTGCGTACGTTGCAACCAGTAAGAACGTTGGACGTTCTTGAAATCGGAGAAGAAAAGACTGCGCTCCAGTCTCATTCTCTCATTCTTGACTTTGCGATTTCCAGTTCCAAGATTACGCGCAAGGGCGGAGCGACCTGCAGTGAGAGTAGAGAGTGCGGAGACGAGTTGCGCAAGGATCTTGGCGGACCTTGAAAGAATTGGAGTAGCGATCTTGAACGAGCGCAGAGAGAGTGAGCAGTCAGTGCTTGAGTGGCCGACGCGCAGTGGCGATTGTGAGAGAGCGAGCGAAAGGGAGAACGTTTGTGTGTGTGCAGGCAACGCAATGTCGAAGGTTCCCCAGCTGCGAGTGTCTCCACTCAGGGTGCCGCAGATCGGTCTACGCGCATTTCAAGATGTGCTGTTGAGGTTGAAGCTCGATTTTCTCCTATGGGGGTGGAATTGGACGTGTCCGGAGATGGTGCGCGAGTATCTGCAAGAGAGACACAAGCCTTCTCGCGGATTTCGCCCACACCCAGAGAGATGGGAAATTGGCAATTGGGCGCAGGTGTTGGGCAGGTGTGCCGGCGAGGAAGGGGATCTCCTCTTCGAGGCCGACAGCGTGAAAGTGTCCCAAGAGGAAGAAGTCTCTTACAATGAGCTCTTCAAGGTGGCTAGACATCCCAAGAACGGTTTCCGGACTCGGGATTACAAGGATCGATTGCGGAGAAATGTCGCGACAGCATTGCTGC